AACCTGCAGCCCTAGCAGTTCCAGTACGGTTGACAGAAAACATATTGAGTGAGAGGGCTGAGGCTATTGCTGCTGTTCAGCAGCATACCAAGCCGTCAGCATTAGCTGCTCATTCTTTGTCTGAGACTCTGGTTCCTCTTGACGAATCCTCTGCTTCTTCTCCAGAAGACTCTTGTCAGGCTAACAGTGATGAAATTGATCCTGGGTATCGCAAGCATGTCGGTGATGGGTTTGTCTCCTTGGTAGGGAGTGATAAAAAAGTTCCTGTCAAAATTTTGCGGGACTCTGGTGCTTTGGACTCCTTCATAGTGGCATCTGTGTTGCCGTTTACATCAGCCACTGACACTGGTGAGTCAGTTTTGGTCAGGGATATGGGGTTGTCTGTGTTCCCGGCACCATTGCATAAGGTAGCTCTCTTTTCAGATCAAGTTAAAGGGGAAGTGGCATTGGCAGTGCGTCCTGCCCTGCCAGTTCAGGGTGTGCAGGTGATTCTGGGTAACGATCTGGTTGATGGTCCATTCCCAGGGGCCCTTCCCTCACCAGTGGTAACTTGGTCTCCTTTGGTGGACCAGGTTGAGTGCAGCGACCACCAGCATGTTTTCCCAGCGTGTGCTGTCACAAGGGCTCAAGCACTGAACAAAAATCAGTTGGAGGTCAAAGTTCAGAAAATTGCAGCAAATGTTCAGTTTCCCTTACCTGCCTTTCCTTTTTCTGTGTCCCGTGCTGACTTAATACAGGAGCAGCAGGGGGATCCTGCTCTATCTGAGCTGTTCCAGCAGGTGCGTCCAGCAGAAGAGATAGGGAATGTGGCTCATGGATACTTCCTTGATGAGGGCATGTTGGTGAGAAAATGGTTACCTCAGGGTGAGAAATTTGTTGGTGATGCTATTTTTCAGATTGTGGTTCCCACTAAGCTGAGGGATGGTATTTTGAAAACTGCTCATGACATGGTAGCTGGGCATGTGGGGGTCAAAAAGACCTATGACAAAGTTTTCAGGTACTTTTATTGGCCTCGGTTGAAGAAAGACATTTCTGCCTACATCAAAACTTGTCACACATGTCAGCTCACAGGAAAACCAAATCAGTCCATCAAACCAGCTCCTTTGCAACCTATAACAGTAGCTAGTCAGCCTTTTGAGCATTTATTAGTCGACTGTGTGGGCCCACTGCCTAAGTCCAAATCTGGTAGCTTATATGTGTTAACGGTAATGTGTCAGACAACCAGATATCCAGCTGCTTTTCCGTTGCGCAACATAACGACAAGGTCCATAATAAAGGCTCTGACCCAGTTCATTTCTGTGTTTGGTATTCCCAAAGTGGTGCAAAGTGATCAGGGAACAAATTTTACATCAGGACTGTTTGCGGACATGTTGAAAAAGCTTGGTATTAACCATGCCCAGTCCACTGCCTATCACCCAGAAAGCCAGGGAGCTATCGAGCGCTTTCACCAAACACTCAAATCGCATTTGCGCTCATATTACACTGAGCTTGGTCGTGACTGGGAGGAAGGGCTTCCATGGTTAATGCTAGCTGCTCATGATGTTACTCAGGAGAGTACGGGTTTTAGCCCAAATGATCTTGTGTTCGGTCATTCTGTTCGTGGCCCTTTGGCTGTCTTGCAGGATGACTGGAGAAAGCCTTCCCCTCCTTCAACTGTGGTGGAATATGTAGGTGGGTTCAAAAGACGGTTGTATGAAGCTGGTAAGATGGCAAAAACAAATCTGGAAAAGGCTCAGGGAAAAATGAAGCGTTTGTACGATCGCCGGGCCGAGTTACATGTGTTTTGTCCAGGAGATCAGGTTCTGGCAAACCTTCCAGTAGTGGGTTCTCCTTTCCAGGCAAGGTTTTCAGGCCCTTATTCTGTGGTGAGGCAGGTTTCAGACTTGAACTACTTGATATTTACTCCTGACAGGCGAAAGACTACAGTTGTGCCATGTTAACATGCTCAAACCCTATTTTCCTTGGTCCAGTGGGGGGGGGAAGTGAAGCCAGTGGCATTGGCAGCTTCAGTAGGTTCTGTGACCTCTCCATCCTTGGGGGAGGAAGAAGAAATCAATGATCCAGATGATTGTGTGATGCAAGGCAGACTCAAGAATTCAGAGTCCTTGAGTAACTTGAATAAGTTGGTGGGACATTTGCCTGAGGTTCAAATGAAAGAGTTGTCTAACCTTATTTTGTCATTTCCATCTTTGTTTTCAGACAGTCCTTCCCGAACTAACTTAATAGAGCACGATATTGACGTGGGGGATGCTGAGCCGATTCGCCAGAGGTTCTACCGGGTTTCTCAGGAAAAACGTTCTCAGCTGGAGGTGGAGGTGAAGTATATGTTAGAACATGACATTGCAGAGCCATCTTCTGCTAGTTGGGCTTCCCCATGTGTGTTGGTCAGTAAGCCAGATCAAACATTTAGACCATGCACAGATTTTCGAAAAATCAATAAAATCACTAAGCCAGACTCTTACCCACTTCCTCAGATGGAAGATTGTGTCGATCAAGTGGGCACAGCAAAATTTGTCAGTAAGTTTGATCTTTTAAAGGGCTACTGGCAAGTGCCACTCTCAAAGCATGCTCAAGACATTGCTGCGTTTATAACTCCTTCAGGTCTTTATTCTTATACCGTCATGCCGTTTGGGTTGCGGAACGCTCCAGCAACTTTTCAGCGGTTAATGAATAAAGTTGTAGCAGGGTTGGAGGGGTGTGCAGTATATTTAGATGATGTTGTGATCTACAGTGACACATGGGGTGAGCATGTAGAACGCATCAGAGCTTTGTTTGACCGGCTGGTGTGGGCCAAGCTTACTGTAAATCTGGCCAAATGTGAGTTTGCTCAAGGTACGGTCACCTATTTGGGGAAGTGGTTGGTCAGGGGCAGGTCCGACCTGTTAGAGCAAAAGTCCTTGCCATTGATCAGTTTCCTACTCCCTCTACAAAGAAAGAGCTGATGCGCTTTCTTGGCATGGTAGGTTACTACAGAGGGTTCTGTAGAAACTTCTCCACAGTTGTTGCACCTTTGACTAATCTTTTGAGTCCAAAGGTTAAGTTTGATTGGACCCCTCAATGTCAGTGTGCTTTTGAACATGTCAAAAATTTGATCTCCTCTGCTCCTGTCTTGGCAGCTCCCCACTTGGATGAACCTTTCCAGCTGCAGGTAGATGCTAGCAATGTGGGTGCTGGAGCTGCACTTTTGCAGACAGGTCCTGATGGCATTGACCACCCAGTAAGCTTTTTCTCAAGGAAGTTCAACTCTTATCAGTTGAACTACTCTATTGTAGAAAAGGAGGCACAGGCTCTCATTTGGGCTCTGCAGCACTTTGAAGTTTATGTGGGTGGAGGCAAAACTCTAGTAGTTTATACAGACCACAATCCATTGACATTCTTGCATTCCCTACAAACCCAAATCAACGGCTGATGCGTTGGTGTTTGTTTTTGCAGCCATTTAACCTTGACATACACCCCATTAAAGGTTCTGCAAATGTTGTGGCTGATGCATTGTCTCGTGCATTGCCTCTAGTGTTTTACCAGGTGTCCCTTTTTGCTCTGAACTGCTCTTCTCTCTCTCCTACTCTTAATCTGCTTCTCCAGGTACCAGAGTTGCTGTGTGGGTATGGTTTGGGTGAGAGGTTTGGAATTGGATTGGGCTGTTCTGGTAAGACGAGAGAACTATTGAAATGTCCCTGTTTATGGTATTGTGTGGTTCAGTTTTGAGGCACCCGTGGGGCCTCATTTTTATGGGTGGGGGTGTGACGGCCTTACTAATGTCTGTTCCTTCACAGCTGTTCCTTGTGGTTGAAGAGGCGGGCCGTCCAATCTTCTGGCCACACCTGAGGGTGTGGTCTTACTTTATAAAAGGCTTCAGTTGTCAGCCTGCTCGCTCTCTCTCTCCCTGACTGAGCAGCTGACTGCCACATGGCCAACATGGTGTAGTTTGGTTTGCCTTTGTTTCATTTGTTCTGTTTTACATACACATCCACACACACACACACACACACACACACACTGCAGCCACTCACGACACGACAACATGTGTTACTTCTTATTTTGAAGTAGATTTAGTTAAATAAATCACCTTTGTACCTTAAATTGTTTGTGTAGACTCTCTTTTGTTGCAAACTGTGAGCCAAGTTTGTAACAGCCCTTAGATTAAAAGTTCACTTTTTTTTTAAGTCTGTGTAAAAACAAGTAGCCACAAGCAAGCATAACAGGCAGACGGTGCTGGAACTGATGGACAGCAGACAGAGGAAGTGGCTTAGGGGAGTAAATTAAATTGTAGGCCTGAACATGGATGGAGCTGCAGGAATCAGAGTTGAGGATGAGGGTTATCTCTAAATGTTTGGAAAATAATCTTCTGAGAACCTCCAGGGAACGTACCCCAGAGGTGGTGTGAAGGCGTTTAAAAGAAACTTTCTAAAAACCTTCAGGGAACATATTCAGATGTTCTATAAAGTTTTGTTTTTTTATTCAAACCTATTATTCTAAGAACCTTTAGGTAATGTACCCAGAGGTTCTCTAAGGGTTTATTTTCATTTTTTTTTTTCCAAACATAGTCTTCTAATAACCTTCAGGAAACCTCCCAGAAGATTGGATTAGTATTTACTTTCTTCTGTGACAAACCTCTATTGGCCCAAACAAAGGGGCAGCAAGCTCATTTTCTACCCATATTATTTCCATTATTCCAATGTTTAGCCAGTTAGTCATACTATTTGGTAACATCAGCCCTCCTAAATTCCTGGCAGTGTATAATTTGTGTATGTTTATTCTGGGTTTCTCCCCATTCCACAGAAAATCCCTAATTAACTGATTAAACTGTTTGAAATGGAGAAATGCTGACTGGCTGCAGCTGGCCATTTATGGATTCAAGCCTTGAGTCACCATCTTGAACTTTAGGCTCAGTGCTTCTTTTAAGTTGTGAGAGAGGATCTCATAATCTATTTAATACTGAAACCTTTCTTGTACTTGTGGAAGTGTCCTTGTGTAAAAATGTATAAAAATAACTCATCAGATTAAATAATCAACATATTTTTTAATGCTTATAAATTATTCACTTATATAACATGACATCATCAAAACATAAACTTCCAATACTGATTAACAAACTTTACATTTCAGCGATTATGTCATAGAATTTTAATGCACAAAAAGAATCACTTTAAGGCATTGGTTTATTCATATAATAATAATGAGGGGTAAATGACTTGAATCTTTACTGCATTCATTTCTGTTCTTTGATCAGATGAGTAATTATGTCAGCTCATTTCCTCTCAGATAACATAACACCGCAGAGACGTTCAGCATTGTGTGTGTATATGCATGTTTCTATTCAGTCTATTTTATCAGTGACACACGATCCATGAAGTTACACAGAGAAAAAGATAAATTAACAAAAAATGGTAAACACAAAGTTGGTTAAAGAAGACAGCGATCAACAAAAAACATCAATATTGTGTGTGTGTGTGTCCGTCCGTCTGTCTGTCTACTGGCGGTTTGAAACGGAGCTGGTGACTGATGGCCGGATCAGCTCTTCTATTATCAGAGCAAGGATGTGGCACAACTCCTTAGCCTGAAAGAGAGATCAACAGATTCAATCAGACATGGCTGCATAAATCTCCAGGACTATTTCCAAAACATGTTTGACAAGAGCATTTAAGATTCTACGATACACCAGAATTCACAGTATCTAACTGTAATAACCTAACCCTGGTGTCTTGTTAACAGCACCTCACTTTAACATGGTTTGGGGTCCACCAGGCCTCACTGCTGTATGTGTAAAAATCAAAATAAATGCAAAATTCAGTTTAAAAACCCAGCAATTAGTAAAGTATTGACATTCCCTCCCTTTTGCCTCAAACTGGGATTGCACGTTTGAGAAAGAAGACAAAATGATTAGAAAATGACCATAAAGCCCAGACAATTAACCAGATAAGGTTATCTTTCATGTTTTATGAGCTTTACATGAACAGCAGTCAACATTTCACCTACAGTTGTAAAAAAACATTCATGTCACAGGAATTTGGGAATCTCAGTTATTTCTGTTCTTTTTCTATGATAGATTGATTGGGAAATGTACTTCTTAAAAACACTGGTTGCATTAAAGAATTTGTCGTGGGTCTTTTTGCAAGTATGACTGAATGTCACAGGTGAAAAATATAGCCTACATACAAGTCTGTATTACAAGTATTTCAGTTCAGTTTCAGTTCAGTTCAGTTGGGACAAAAACTTTTAGCCTGGCTTTTATTTCGTCACTAATGTTTTTCTCACTCATATTTTCTGTTTGTTGTCATTGGCTTCTATCTATTTTCATCTGATGAATTTTATTGGTTATTGGTTTTATTATTACATGTTCATTGTATTTTATTTCTGATGTGCATTTACCTAAAATTGTTTCATTTTACACACGTTTTTATATTGTCCGAAGACTGGTTTAAGATCCAGTCTAAATTCTACCTGAAGCTTGTTGAGGGCCACAAAAAGCAAATGATTATGGCAAAGGGCTAAGGTATATGTAACAAAAGTCTAGCAGTGCTTTATGTTTTTTCTTTTACTTATCTAATTTTGTTTTATTGGGATTCATTCATTTTCCACAACTGCTTATCCTGTTGGAGGTCGCAGGGGGCTGGAGCCTATCCCAGCTGACATTGGGTGAGAGGTAGGGTACACCCTGGACAGGTTGCCAGACTATCACCTGGCTGACACATAGATACGGACAATTCATGCTTACATTCACAATCTAAAGTCATCAGTTAACCTAACCTGCATGTCTTTGGACTGTGAGAGGAAGCCGGAGTACACGTAGAAAACCCACACTAACACAAGGAGAACATGCAAACTCCGCACAGAGGGGCTCCCCACCCTGGGGTTCAAACCCCCCACCCCGGGTTCGAACCAGGAACCATCTTGCTGTGAAGCGACAATGCTAACCACTGCACCTCTGGGCCTCCCTTTTATTATAAAAGTATAATAAAGACGTATAATTAATTTGTTGTTAAAGAAACCATATTTATGAATGTATTTTTGTGAAAAAGAAAGTGTGTCTCAAATTATTCTGTTGCAAAAGTTGAACAAACAGCTATATACAGTATAGAGATGATAGATAGATAGATAGATAGATAGATAGATAGATAAACAAAAAGAACTTGATGTCGCCAATATGTAATGTACCAATAACCAGTGCAAGAACTGGTGGATCACACCATATCTAATTCATAAATTCATTTTTCAACTACTCATCATGGATTTCATTTGTTCTTGTTTTTGTAAAATATTCATTTTGAGTGACTGAAACTTTGTTGTACAACGCTACAGAGAAATTAGGATCAGCATTAAGATTTGGATCATATCATTATGAGAGCTTCTCTCATGTCTTGAACACATTACTTTAACAGAGTGAATCCAGTACAAAAAGCAGACCCAGATTGTTAAAAAAAAACAAAAAAAACAAACAAACTGAATTTTCCTGTCAGTACTACACAACATAAATATCTCTGGTACCTCTTTGAGATGAATGGTGACTTTTTTGGGTCGGCTTGGATTGCCATAGTCGATATCCATAGATGGCACTTTACTTTGTTTCTTGGGGCGGATGGTGCGCATGGACTGGACATCCGCCAGAGGAATCAGAAACACTCGCTCCTGCAGAAGAAAGAAACATAAATCTTCAGATGACTGACACTGGCTTTTTATTAACAACTGCTGCTTCTGCTTCATTTCAGCTGCTGCAGTGTTTTTAGTATTAGTGGAGAGATTTGCATCCAAACTGAGGCCAAATGCTGCTTCAGACTGTAGCTTTGCCAACCTGACAAGAGGGGGTTTCTGCAGGACTGACTGACTGGCTAAAGAAAAGATTAAAGTCCCTGAATATTTTAAAGGGACAGTATAAGAAAAAGGACAAAATATATTACTCCTAAACCTATTCTGGATTCATCCTAGATAGGAAATACAGTGCAAGAAAATATGACTGCATGCATGGTGAAAATGTCTGATTTTATTCTGCACTAATATTCATTAATGATACATGTGTTTAAACAAAGTTAAATTTGAATATTATGACAAACAAACAAAAATGGCAAACACCATAGTTCTCGTTAAAAAAAATTAACTGGATCAAACCCGAGTATACTCAGTAAAACAGGCACACAGATTTGAACTTGGACCAGCACAAATAAAAAAGGCAGGACTCTTTAATACTGATAAAATAATGTCTTTATCCCCATACAATTTGCTCAGACACACGCGGTGACATACAACATAATGATTCTTAAAGGAGCGTTTTACTACTGTGGCTGCTCAAAGTACCTGTGTTTTGGGGTGAAGGAACAGCACCCCCTCCTGGCTAATGTTGACCATGCATGGGGAGGGACAGCCGCGTTGACTGACCTTCTTGGCCAAGAAAGTGCTGGAGCCAAACAGAGGCAGGGTGCTCAGGAACTCTGAAAGATAGTGTTCAGACAAATATGATTATTATCAGGAGAGGAGAGGAGAGGAGAGGAGAGGAGAGGAAAGGAAATACTACCCCCTCACCAATGAATTGTATTTTGGCGTCTTGAGGGCTGAGGGAGTGCATGGCAGCTATCTGGCCCAGACAGAAGGAGTGGATCTCTTCGACTTTACTGCTGAGCCTGTCCTGTGAGGGCAGGTACTCCTTAATCTCTGGCCTTGGAGAGAAATACAATCAGCAAATGTCAATACACAGACTTAGAATTAGAGGACACTGAGAGTTAAGCCTACTAGTCAACTTTGGTGTTTAGTGATGACAACATAGAGACCAAAATAATGCATATGTTACCAAATGACTGTTGGTGATGGTAGTTAAAGGAGATGATCAGGATACTGTGATATGAGTGCACACTGGAAAGAATTGGCCAGTCAGTGCTGCCAGGTACAATGGAATTAATCTATGCAATGCTATGCACTGAACAATTTTGGGGACTAACTAGTTACATGTTACAGAGTTACGTAATCATATTACAAAATAAATGTAATTGTAATGAGTCACAGGTACTGAGAAGAAAAAAAAATGTAATTAAATTACAGTTACTAATCAAAAGCCCCAACTTGTCCCTCTAACCTCTAACCCTAACCCCACTCCTCTAACCCTTGACCCCAATCCCTCATACCCGCCACCCCTTTGGCCTAGCTGTAAAAGGATATTCCAACAATTTATAACTGGACTTCATAATCCATACCCACAGTATATGAAGGAGATACCACAGGTCCCTCCTTCCTGCTGCTGTCAGACTATATAACCAACACTGCTCCCAGTAGACCACACACTAAAACTATGGACAATCAATCATATGTATATGCCAACTGTGAAATATCTACACATGATAGTGCAATAATTCAAATTCTGCCATTCAGCCTGTCTATTTATTATCTTGCTTTTATTTTTTACTGCTTGCAAGCAATCACTCAGGTGCAATCTCAGTACATGCTAAACTGTGTGATATCGGTACCTCAATCAGTCAATAATGTGAAATCAGCCATTCAGCCTGACTGTATGACTGTACTTGATTGTATTTTGCAGCTTTTTGCTGCTTACTTATTATATTGCTTTGTATTTTTATATTGTTTGCTTATTATATTGCTCTTTGTTTTGTTTCTTTTTATTGATACATACTTGTATATTGCTAATCTTTTGTTTTCTACTGATGCTTCCTGTTTGCACTATCCCTCTGCTGCTGTAATGTTACAAATTTACCTGCTGTGGGAAGAATAAAGCATAATCCATCATAATCCATTTTATTGTATCGTATCATATTGTATCGCATCACATCATACGCACTCCATTGCATCGTATCACATCATATAGTACCGTACCGTATTGTAAAAAAAAATACCCCTACCAATACTTCTAAAACTGAGTAATTAAGATTTATCTCATTTGTTTAATTCGTACACAAACACAAATGTAAACAATAGTTTTAGCGGTTTAACTAATTGACTAAGTTACCAGTTGACTTCACGTCGGCACTTGCCCTCAGGGGGAATCCCCACCGCCATCATAAGCGTTGCTCCATATGTCTTAAAAACTGAAACTTGGTGAGATTGACCCTCGGAGGTCTATTACCCACGGTGCATTGCAGTTGTGCATATAATGCAATAAAATACATCAATGGTTAGGTAGTTTTCATGGATTCTACATAAAATTCCAGTTATTTACCACTGAAAAATTAAATAATAAATAAAAATAAAATTCAACAAATTCACTATCTGGCATACTTTTTAGTTCACTTTTAAAATATATCTTATAGATCTGTAAAGGTAGATTAATATATGTATAGGTTCACTAGTTAGCATATAGTTTCTTAAGAAAACCTTGTTGATAACTTGATATTTTACTAGATAAAGTCATATAAACTGCTGCAGTTTATTTTATTCCTAACATTATTTGTAAACACATAGAAAATGTGTTGTTTTGCAAGATATCATAAGCCTATGGCAATAATAGTTATGCTAATCATGGTACACTTTCTGTCTGCTCTCCATGTGGCCTCCGTGAGATGTACGCTTTTGCATAATACCAAAGGCTGAGGGGAAGTGACTGAGGGGAAGTGGAAGTCTTGATGTTGGATGAGGTTGCCAGGTTGGATACAATTGTACCTGAATGGAGACCAAACCCTATGCTTAACACCTGTACCTGGCAACCCACACCATAGCCAGAAATGCTGCTGTTCATCGGAAATAGTTTCAGTGTGTCTCCTCCTAATATTACTGTTGTTTTGTGTATCTTATATCTCAGTGGTATGTTTGTGTGAGATTATTTTCTGTTGAGCTGTCCAGTCTCCTTAAATATTACATTCCTGATGAGTACTGTTTTATTGTGACAGTCAGTGTGGGATGTGACACTCACAGTGAGGGCTGATCGTTCAGTCCCTGAGCCAGATGCTGCAGGGCTGACAGCTCTGCTATCTGCTGGACTGATGAGGAACCACCCGGAGCTGGAGCAAAAATCTGCCGCCCACTCAGGTAGTCACCCAGGAGCTACACACACACATACACACACAAATTATACAATTATAGATAACAATAAGATGGACACTGGACCAGTGGCTAGAAATGTCCTACTGCTGCTCCTGATGTTGTGAACTGATGCTCTCACCTGCTGGTAGTGGAACTCCACATAGAGGTCACTGTTAAAGGACAGAGGGCTTCTCCACATCACTCTTCGCAGGCAAAAGGAGATGGAGCCATCATCCAGCAGGAAGTCGAACAGATACTCCTCACTATGGAGAGGACGCACCATCCCATCTGACAGAGAAGGAGTAGAGGAGTAAGGAGGAAGTGAAGGAGGCTGATCTGTTAATCGGTCACTTTAAATGGACTCTGGTGGGGTAAGTGATAGCGATTTTGGGGCTGTTTCTGGGCATACAAAAAAAAGATCTTACTCTTTAACAAAAAGGTCTATGTCTGTAGGGATCCTTTCTATGATGTTGTCAGACACTTAGAATAACAATCTGAGCCTGTCAGTGGCAAGAACAAGAACCCTTAGCAGACTAAACCGCTAAGGGCTCCTGTAAAACAAACTATACAAGGAAAAATAGTAGAAAAGGCAGATGAGGCAGAAGGCATGTAAATTCAAAACGTATTATTGTATTTAACTCAGGGTATTAGCTTCTTACAACTAGCTGAACAAAGCTGTTTTGAACTAAAATCCAAAGACTGACTCACATCTACAAGTTAATGTGCGAGTCTAGCTGGAAATTCTGTATCAATTAGAAACCGTAGCAGTGATTTACCGTGACTTCGGATGGCAAAGATGGAGAACTCTCTGATTTCTGTGAGATCTGAGATTCCCATTTCTTTACAGAACTCTGTTACCACCTCTGCTGCCAACTAGAGGAGGATACAAAATGGACCCACAGAGTTATTGATAGGACTCCTGTTTTGTTCATAGATAAGTAAGTATAAATAAATCTTACACTGAAGCTGCGTATCTTGACTGGGAAATCCACCCCTCCTGGCAGCTTGATAGGAATACGGCGAGAAGTTTTGCCGCCCTGCAGAAAGAATTCAGATTATGATGGAATGTAACAGTTGAAATACACCATGACAGATATACTTTGATTTGTTTAAGTGTGTAGGTGAACTTGCCAGAATGGCCTCCATCTCTACTTGTGAGGGGATGTTACGGCGGCCGCCAAATTTGAGAGATCGCTGAAGGTTATCCTGACACACACACGCCAGCTCTGAGGACACATACAGTATGTTATGTCAAAGACTGTGTGCACTGAAAGAGCCATTGTATATCTGGATATCAAGCTGGTGTTTTTACCACTCATTACAATGACTTATAAGATTGGCGTATTTGTGGTTTTTGTGTATTATTGTTTCCTCTACCTTGGTATGGGTGTTCGTAGTCCTGAGAGATGTCGTGTAGGTGACGTGTGACATAGGGCTGCAGAGTACCAGAGCAAGGGAAGAACCCGGTCACCAGGTTGAGCAGCCGCCAGCCAAGAGTACAGCTCGATCTGTGAAGGCAACACAACAGGGCAAATAATGTTTAGCATTTTTAAAATGCAAAATTACAGTGGGCAAAACAGCTCTGGAGTGAGTGGCTTGGTTCACTTTGTAACTCTTTAACTGTATATGTTATACATTTTCCACAAATAAAGACCTTAGCAAACTTGAACTACTGCCTCGCTGTTGTATGCCTCTGTGAACCAGTCAAGTTGCAGTTGTAACCATGACAGTTGACATTGCTTCAAATAAGGATGTTGCTGCAAATAAGCTGCATATTCTAAAATGTGGATGCTTCACACATCTTTAATCCGGCAGAACTGAAGATGTATACAATCAGCTTGGTTTCAAGGTGTACATCCAAGATTAGTGTCACCAATTCAGTATCTGTCCAAATATATCCCCTTCTGTTCCTGAGTAACAGAGTTGAAAATTGTTCAGGAAAGTGTTTTTGCAGAACATTATGATGTCACAGTGAAGTTGACCTTTGACATTTTGGGTATAAAATGTCATCATTTTACCCGTTTAGACATTTGTGTGAAATTTTGTTGTAATAATATGAATTATTGACTAATGGCCAAATTGACTAATGGCCGGATTCTTAAGGTCACAGTGACCTTTGACCCCCAAAATCTAATCTGTTAATCATTGAGTCCAAGTGGACATTTGTGGGCAATTTGAAGAAATTCTCTCAAGGTGTTCTTGAGATATTACATTAACGAAAATGGGGCAGACCTGGACACATTGACCTTGACCTTTGACCTTTTGCCACCAACATCTAATCAGCGCATCCTTGAGTCCAAGTGGACATTTGTGCCAAATTCAAAGAAATTCTGTTGAGTCATTCCTGAGATGTCGCGTCCACTTGACCCATTTAAGTTCAATATTCAGTTCTTTCCCAGCTGGTCAACAAACATCATTAGATGTTGATATTTGGTTGACTTTAGGCTATAATGTCAGGTGACCAAAACTCAAAGTCAGGACAACGTCTAATGCCAATGTCAATTTGACACAGAGTATTGAAGAATGATGATGTTGATATTTTGTTGGTTTTAAGCTGTGTCGTTAAGTAAACAAAATATGCCTCCCAAGTGTCTCAAGCCAATGTCATCTTGATGTAGAATAAGGACATTTAGTCGTACAGTATGGAGAACAAAAGCCAACATCTGCAAGACATAATACTGTTCACACAACGTGAAATTCTAGCGCCTAGACATTTAAAATGTTGCCAACCAAAATTTAACGTTTGTCCAACGTAAGAATCCAATGTTTTTCTGACGTCATGTTGACATCTGGAGCCAGCTGGAGTTTATCTCTATTTTGGTCTCAACCAACTCCAGAGAAAAATGTGTGTCTCTTTAAGTGCTAAATACTCCACTATTGTAAATGTACTTGCATTTATATAGCACCTATCTAATTTTCTGAAAAATAAATGCGCTTTTATAGTATATGCTATATTCACCCATTCACACACAGTCATATGCTGGTAATTTTGGAGTTCAGCACAGAGGCAAATCCAAGCGGATAAATATATGCAATGACATATTTCAAACCTATTTAATTTGTTTTAGCATAAAAATTAAATCACAAATCCCCCCCCCCCCCCCCAAAATTCTCTGTATTACCATGTATTGTAATGTTATCAAAACTTTAATAAATGACAGGCTAACTTTGTTGGGTTGTTGGTGGTTTGCTTGATGACCTGGCAGTAGATTTCATCTCTCAGCAGCTCCTTCTCATTCCCTAACTGAACAGAACATAACAGAACAAAGACACTCTTCATTAAATCCAATCAAAGTCTTTTTGAAGTCTGTGACACTCAGAGGTTCAAGGAAACTCTAACTCTAACCATAATATCAATGCAGTTCATTAGATCCGCTGTTTGAATGTTAACTGACCAGTAAGATGTCGCTCAGGCAGTCTGACTGGGTGTTATTCTTCTTCATTGGCATGTCACCCATGAACTGCATCAGGTCTGGAGGGACAGATAAACAGGAGGATGATAGTAGAACAGAGTAACAGAGGTCTCAGTGTGTATTAGTATGGTTAGTGTGGATGTACTCACTCATGAAGCACTGGACAGATAAATCACTGATTTCAGGATCATTGTAGAGAATTAAGGACTCCTGTATGAGACTCTGGATGAGCAAAACACAATGCAGTTAGCTGAGTTGTATTTATTCAGGAAGTCCCATTGACATCAAGATCTATATTACAATAGACCTGAGAACAAATTACATGTTTTTCTATCCAATCAAGACAACTGACTCATCTGTGGACATAGTTGTTCACTTAAATCTTAACCAATTATGTTAAAGGTTCAGAATGCAATTCTGAAGAAAGCCAGTTGATTTTTAAGTCTCATTCCCAGATCATCAAATACTGCAAGCCTTAGGTTGGTAGTCGGATCAAACCACCAACCCAAAGTGTCAGTATTTAGCCACCTGGGAATGAGACTTAACAATCAACTATTATAAGAATTACACACTGTACCTTTAAATATCTTGACAACTTACTTGTGGGTAATATAGCCTTGTAAACAAAACATAGGAATACTGATGCCTTCTCAATGTAATGACCTCTGACCCTTTCATAAAACTTATTTCAACGTAGGTTTTGTGGGACAATCTGCAATTTAAAGGAGCTGTATGTGACATTCAGAGCATATCTATTCACACTCTGGGACAGGATTGTCTGCAGGGGCGTCATTTCAGCAAAAGCTAAGGTATGGCAATATGACATGATGTCACAGAGCTACTGATGATGGAGTTTCAAAAATATGAACTTAAATAAAACTTCACTTTGGTCTTTGACCTGTCAGAAGTACATACTATGCTACTGAAAACTGTTTCAAAGGACATGAAGCTGTTTCTCACATTCATAATAGGCTACCTTATGTCTGCATGTAATGCACGACTTGGTGAGAGCAGTGAAAACATCGGACCTATTTCGGCGCATATTTCAGCACTACAGACAGCGAGCGGACGTTTAATTATCATTAGTCATGTGTTTAACTTCACAGAAAATAAAGAAAATAAATTAATTACAAGCTCATTTCTAGAAGATAACCAAGGCGTCCGGTGTATGAAACACAGTAAAACAAAGGCCAATTTGGTACAAAACTGTATCAAAAATACAAGCTTAACATGCCGACATGAAGAAAAAACCCCACATACAAAAAACCCCACATACAATCAGACAGGCTTCAAGACATCATTTAGACAGGCTGTCTACAGCAGCAGAGCAAAATGCTTACAACACATAGATACCGTATTTTTCCAAATAGTAGCCCGGGCGTTTATTTCACAAAATCGATTTTGACCCCAGGCGTTTAAAAGAACCAGGCGGCTTTAGTGCAAAAATACTGTAGGGTGAATTCGCCTAATGTGGGACATTTTTTACAATTCAGACTTCTGGTCTATATTGCGATATGAAGCAAACACTTTCAATATACATCCAGTACCATTCTGAAATCCCTGGGTTGTTATCTAATAAAATTAAAAGAAAAAATACTGATATTACATTCCTAAAAGAAATGCTATACATATCAAAATTCTGATTGCCAAGTTGTCTCGGGCAATCAGCATTTCCTAATGTGGGACAGTCATTTCCCTAATGTGGGACACTGAAAGGTGTGTTTAAAAGTCACCTTAATTCACATAGGCTAATAAATGCTAATTTTCAAACGTGTCTGTTTACTAATATAACCTTTAAGGTTATTGCTGTTAATGGTAAAACAAACAACAGCAAAGAAAATTGATAGGGTTGTAATAGTGCTCCATGTTTTATTACAAAGTAGCCTACACGCCGTTTATCTTATAGAAATTCATCCAAAAAATCATGAAACTTGGTAGCCTACATCAGACAGTGTATAAAAACAACCTGCAGAAAACATCAGACTGTGTATAAAAACAACCTGCAGAAAAAATATCATATTTCATGAAACAAGCAATCTTTACATGTGAAGGAATCATAATCTAAAAAATCATGAAACTGTTGTGCACAGAATAGCTTATACAACCATGACAAGAACTTGGTAGTCTACATCAGACAACAATAAAAACAACCTGTAGAAAAATAACAACTGATCACATTTCCTGAAGTCTTTACATGTGAAGGAGTCATCATCATCAATTACTCCATTATCTTCTGCACAGCTCTCATGGAACCACTGGGAGCAAACTGCACAATTACAGTCTTCTAAAAATTCACCTAGAAAATCATGAAACTGCTGTGCACAGAATAGCCTACATAGCCTACAACCATAATAAGAATTTGTTAGCCTGCATTCGACTGAATAACAACAAAACAATCTGCAGAAAAAGTAACAACAGATCATATTCCATGAAACAAGCAGTCTTAACACATGAAGGAGTCATCATCATCAATTACTCCATTATCTTCTGCACAGCTCTGATGGAACCACTGGGAGCAAACTGCACAGGAAAGCCACTCCTCTGTGGACCTTGGATCATTTCTGTCCCCGTATGAGTGCTTACAGTTTGAACAAGCTTCCTCTCTCCCTTGTCTTGTTTTCTTCTCCCTTGGTTTTTGCTTACTCCCCTTTTTCTTCCCCTCTTTCTCTCTTACAAAAGAGAAGTGATCCTCACTTGTCAAATTGTAGGGAGGAGGTTTTACCCTCTGGCGGCTGGTGCTTGCCCGTTCTCTGACTGGTAGTTTGATAAGAGATTGAAAGGAGACTTCAGGCTGCGCCATCACTTCAACCTCCTGTGCCACAGATGATGGGGCTTCACTAGAAGATGCAAGAAGGTGGGGTGGAGAGGACTGAGGAGTGGAGATGGCTGGCTGAACAGCATCATGCAGAGGGTGGTACAGACTCTGCTGGAGGTTCCATTCAAGTGGAATGGAGAAATCCTCATCATCATTGCCATTATCATGTGAGGCATGGCATGTGGAGGTTCCTGGTGCAGGGATGACTGGATCCACTGGGGCCTCTTGGATAGACCGCTCACTTGTAAGAGATGGGCTGAAAAGACTGTCATCAATCTTAGCTGGGTTGAATGGATATATCCCAGACCCCCGAAAGCCAGCTTGGGCATTTGATGATGTAGCTGCCCTCTCCCAGGCCTTAGAAAACAGTGGCATGAACAATGCCCTGTCAAGCCGTTTCCCTCCATTCTCCCTGGTGACTGTGCGACCCTCAGGCTTCCAGTAGTGTTTCAAGCTCTTGAACAGAGCTCTGTCTGCTGGCTGGAGATAGTGAGTTGTGTGAGGAGGCAGGCTAAATACATAAACATTGTTCTCTCTCATCATATTCAGAAAGTCAATGTTGTAGGTGTGAGAGGCATGACTGTCAAGAAGGAGCAGATGAGGACGTGAGTAGTCTTTTGGAAGGCTTCTCAGAAAACACTTCCCCCACTCTGTGAACAAGTCAGCATTAATCCACCCATTATCGGACATCCTCACAAATGTGTTCTTTGGAGCCCCAAAGACCCACTCTGCCTTCATCCTTTTACCTTTGAAAATGATCATTGTGGGTCCATACCCACCAGCAGCATTGATGCTGGCCAGACATGTTGTTGTTGTTCCTTTTTCACCACCAGTGACCTCAAAACAGGGTGTCCCAACCTCTGCAACCACCCTGGTTGACAGGAAGTGATCCTGGAGCCCTGTTTCGTCACAGTTCCAGACGTGGTCTGGGGCATTTTCCAAACCAAGCGTCTGAACCATTTCTACGTAGGTTTCAAACCACTTCTTGACCACGGTGGGGTTGAACCCTGCTGCTCTTGCAGCAGAGAGTCCCTCTGGTTTCCTTATACTAAGATGTTTATTTCGTTTTAAAAATCCCTGGAACCATTTGTAGCCTGCCTTCTTCGCAACATCACTGAAACCCTTTATGCCTTTTTTCTCTGCGAATTGGTAGGCTAACTTTTGGATTTCTCTCATTCTTAGGGGGAATCCACGCTTTCCTAGTGTTGCCACAAGCTGCGCTAGATCTGCTTCATCCTCAGAGGATATCCTTGGTTTTCTACCAATGGTATGATGATGGTTCCCATCACCTTTAATCCTGCGTTGTAGTGTGGATTTTGGGACATTCCAGGCCCTGGCCAGCAACCTCAGCTGTGGGACTCCACCAGCCTCAGCAATCTCTCTGAACTCTGCTATGGCTCCCGTCATTCTGTCTTATCTCCACTGGTTGAGCTTTCTTTCCCTTCTTTCTTTCCTGCCCTTGTTTCGTCTCCCTGCCTTACTCGCCTTTGCCATTGTGGTCTGAAATGCATTTGATTTAATTAATCAATGATGCTGTGCTAACCTCTGAACTTAAACATTTATCATGAACATTATAAAAAAACGTCAATAGTTAGAAACAAAAAACTCCTAAACTATTTTAGCATTTGATACAATGATACAGCAACTCCCAGTTATTGAAAAAAGTTTGCTCTTTATTTAAAATATCCAAAATAATGCATTATAACAATAAAATCATGTAAACAACCATTGCTATTGCTCAGTATATTCAACTACACATAGTCTTGCCTAACAGAAGCACATTTGGAGCTGTCCCACATTAGGCAAACCATGCTGTCCCACTTTAGGGAGACATGTTCCCTAAAGTGGGACAGTAGGAATTTTTGATTGAAATTCTAAATATTGAGAATATTTACACCACATAGGATATTTTCTGATGCCTAAACATGTTATAAACACATTCTGATAAACAATTAGCAATATTGTTGTTTCTTTAAGAAATGTACAGTACAGGCCAAAAGTTTGGACACACCTTCTCATTCAATGTGTTTTCTTTATTTTCATGACTATTTACATTGTAGATTCTCACTGAAGGCATCAAAACTATGAATGAACACATGTGGAGTTATGTACTTAACAAAAAAAGGTGAAATAACTGAAAACATGTTTTATATTCTAGTTTCTTCAAAATAGCCACCCTTTGCTCTGATTACTGCTTTGCACACTCTTGGCATTCTCTCCATGAGCTTCAAGAGGTAGTCACCTGAAATGGTTTCCACTTCACAGGTGTGCCTTATCAGGGTTAATTAGTGGAATTTCTTGCTTTATCAATGGGGTTGGGACCATCAGTTGTGTTGTGCAGAAGTCAGGTTAATACACAGCCGACAGCCCTATTGGACAACTGTTAAAATTCATATTATGGCAAGAACCAATCAGCTAACTAAAGAAAAACGAGTGGCCATCATTACTTTAAGAAATGAAGGTCAGTCAGTCCGGAAAATTGCAAAAACTTTAAATGTGTCCCCAAGTGGAGTCGCAAAAACCATCAAGCGCTACAACCAAACTGGCACACATGAGGACCGACCCAGGAAAGGAAGACCAAGAGTCACCTCTGCTTCTGAGGATAAGTTCATCCGAGTCACCAGCCTCAGAAATCGCAAGTTAACAGCAGCTCAGATCAGAGTTTTTGCAATTTTCCGGACTGACTGACCTTCATTTCTTAAAGTAATGATGGCCACTCGTTTTTCTTTAGTTAGCTGATTGGTTCTTGCCATAATATGAATTTTAACAGTTGTCCAATAGGGCTGTCGGCTGTGTATTAACCTGACTTCTGCACAACACAACTGATGGTCCCAACCCCATTGATAAAGCAAGAAATTCCACTAATTAACCCTGATAAGGCACACCTGTGAAGTGGAAACCATTTCAGGTGACTACCTCTTGAAGCTCATAGAGAGAATGCCAAGAGTGTGCAAAGCAGTAATCAGAGCAAAGGGTGGCTATTTTGAAGAAACTAGAATATAAAACATGTTTTCAGTTATTTCACCTTTTTTTAAGTACATAACTCCACATGTGTTCATTCATAGTTTTGATGCCTTCAGCGAGAATCTACAATGTAAATAGTCATGAAAATAAAGAAAACGCATTGAATGAGAAGGTGTGTCCAAACTTTTGGCCTGTACTGTATGTCCTTAATATCAACTTTGTTTGAACACTATGTCACTAACCTCTTGGTGGTCTTCACACAGAGTGCTTCCTGTTTGAGGGCTGCCCCGCCCCAATCTATGATTGGACATTTCAGATGTCATGTGATTTTGATCATGTGAAATCACAGCTTGTGTGAGCCCACAGTTACATTAACTTTCTTTTGCTAGGGGAAGACCTATAACTGCTTAAGCTTAAGTGTCCCACATTAGGCAGTGTCCCACATTAGGCGAATTCACCCTATAATGTAGGGGTGAGTTCGTGTACAAAAATCTCTAAACATTTAGAGTGAGTCATTTTTTTTCGTGTACACGTGTACACGGGTTTCACCGCTGGGTGGTGCTATTGCATTATACCAGTAAAGCCCCAGTTATCCAAATACCAACCGAACGGGCCATTTAACCAACAGTTACAGGCCGCCACACCGAAATATCGCCATCCCGACGGTCCGCCATCCCGAATTCTGGTCCCTGAGTCCTGACAGTAAGCTATGGCGAGCCTGTAGAAGCTGTATTCCCCATGCAAGTCAGCAATTTTCACCGGGGACGCACGAGAGTAATTCAGGCTGACATTACCTGTTTTTTAGCGAACTCCTCTGGTAATTTTATTAAAACGCATGGCATATAGGTCCACAATAACTTATCATTATTATTATTGGGTCTTATAAGAGTGGGCTACAATGAGTACCGGGCCATCAAATCACAGCATCCACGGTGAGAGGACATGGAATTGTGTGCGCTTTTACGCACGCGGGTCAAGGCGATCACGGATATTTGATGTGGGAAAGATGTAGCCGCCAGATGTATTACCTGTTTTAGATACGTGACTGTCTGTCCGTCCGTCTGTCCGTCCGTCCGTAGCACGAGTCATGTGCACCACTTCACCACCAACCCGTGCGTAAAAGCGCAAACAGTCCCTCAAGGAGGGACAGCCATGAGGCAATGAATGAGGAAATAATCGCCCGAATGTTTAATCAGACAGGCGTTTAATATGCAAAATGGGGTCAAACCCCCGGCGGCTATTAGGTGCCCGGCGGCTATTTGCCACCGGGTGACTATTTGGAAATATACGGTAACTCACATAACTCATAACTCGCGGAGGAGCGAAGTGGCGAACAATGGCATATGCCATACCTCGCCATACCTAAATGACGCCTATGATTGTCTGCACACAGTTCTCGACACAGAGGTGGCTAAACCAGTGACTGGCAGATAACGGTGCTAACAACAGAAACAGTGCTAATAGCAGAAACAGTGCTGACAGAGCTAAAAGTGTTAACCTGGTGGGAGACCAGACAGTGGGCACTGCGTTTCTGCAATGATGCAATCCCGATATCAACGGTATTCACAACAGCAGTTGGACATTTTTTTCCTCCAGAAAAACATGTGATTGTGAGTTGACCTGGGGTCCGTTTCACAAAGCAGGTTCAACAAACTCTGAGTCTAAACCTGAACTCTGAGTTGATCTACTCTGAGATAGGAAACTCTGAGTTTCCGGTTCCAGAACAGCTGATTTGAATCAGTTTAATCAACTCGGAGTAGTTTCACCTGGAATTAAGCGCGTGCACCACAAGTATAAAAGCCAGCACCAGTGGAGCCCTGATTCGACGAGTCACCGTGGCAACGGGGAAGAGCAGGGCTGCGTTTTTCACCCCACAAGAATTAGAAATCTTAATACGCTCATATGGCGAGTTTGCACACGTTTTCAAAAAGAAGTGCGACACCGCTGCAGCTGCAAAAGAGAGGGAGACGGCGTGGGAGAACATTGCTGCTCGGGTCAGTGCGTAAGTTTAAATGTAGTCCTTTGCAATCACAATAATATTACAGGGGAAAACTGCTTGAATGGTAGCCTATTAATTTATTTCATTTAGGTGCAATCCCGCAGGGGAGAAGCGCACTTGGCAGCAGTTTAGGATGAAATATAAAAACATTGTTCAAACAGGTAAGACCTCAGCATAATCTCATGGGGCTACCTCATTTTGATCATGTTTTACATTGTAAAGTAAATATTAAGTGGCTGTTTGACTGTGCAGTTGTTTTATCCCCAACATAATGCTGTTTTCACACACATAAATGTCTTCTCATCTATATCATGTTCTGTTAAATAATTAAGCCTATTTAAACTAACACAGACTTCTACTCAGCCAACAGAAAGAAGGCAGATGCCCGTAAAACGAGTACACTTTTCTGACCGCCCTGCATACAGTTGCCTTACTCAAGTGCTCAGCATCTCCGACACTGTACAAAAAACTTCCATTTGCAAAGAAACACAGCGCAACACACAATATCTGCTGGGATGTGAGAGCATGACTACGATTGGTAATGTTGCAAATGTAAGGACGGATTAGGTTGTGTATGTAGATGATGGACTGTGACGTGAAACGGTACAGCTCAAAAAGATAATTGTGTGGAAATGCTAAAACATCTATGCACGGTCTGATAACCATCTCCCGACGAATATTTAATTCTCTGCGCAGTAATGCTGCACCTTAATCCACGGGATTGTTATCAAAAGGACATGCCATGTTAGTGAAAAAAGTCGCCACCTACTGTGCCTAATGGACTTGTAATATACTGACTCTAATTTTTTAAAATGACAGATGGCAGAACTAGGCTACGCCAAAACTCGCCTGCTGACTGAATGAATGAGGAAATCAAATGGAGTGTGTGGCTCTGAAAGAGGGCGGAGACAGAGACACTCGAGGTTCATTGAGAAAAACCTGGTCCCGACCAGGTTAGGTTCATAGAGTCTGTTACTACAGTAACTGACCGAGAGCTTAAGTTACCTCTCTCTCTGAAACAGGCTAGAGTTACCCCTCTTTCTCTGGTTTGAGTTACCTCCCTTTTTGAAAAGGAAAACTCAGAGTTTCCCTCATTTCAGGGTTAACAGACTCTGAGTTTTCACTAAACCTGCTTTGTGAAACGGACCCCAGGGATTTTACAATATAGAGGCTTATTGTACATGGATACAGGTGTTTCTATGTTTGATAACTGTACTATAATCAAAAACAAACCATGAGATATGATGTCAGAGGGATTGTACAGTCTTACCTCTGTGTGTTGAACTGCCTCTGAAAAATTCCTTCCACTTGCTGGCAGACCTGTGGTCCCCACTCTTAAATAAACAAATAAAGGAAGCACAATGCATTATGAGCCCAAATCATCTGAACATAGTCAACAATAATAGTCATCATTCTGCTATCATACCTGAAGTACTTGATGGCAAACTCGGTCATACCCGACAGGATCTCCAACTCATGGACTGAGCCCTGAATTGAGGCTTGGCCTGACCTCTGGCCTGATCCGGGGACTGTGGCCTCTTTGCTGATGGGACCTGGAGACGGGCCCTTGGATGCACTGACAGATGTAGCACCCCTCATGCTTTTCCTCCTGTCATCTCTTCGGTCAAGGTGTAGACAGTGGTAGTCTGGGGCAGCAGAGGGCTGGGTGAAGTCCTCTGGGAAAAGACCAGAACGCCCTCCCAAGGTGCCAAAACACCAGCCTGGTGGAACACACACAAAAGTGTTTGTTCTTTTTAGATATGCATTAAACACATTTTTCCTCTCACCTGTAGTGCTGTTTATCAATCTAGGTTGTTTTGGTGTGAGTTGCTGAGTGTTGGAGATATCGGCTGTAGAGATGTCAGCCTTCTTTTCAATATAAAGGAACTAGATGACACTCGCCTTGTGGTGCTCAAAGCACCAAAAAAAAGAAAATAATTTAAAAAATAATAATAATAGTAATTAAATAAAATAAAATAGAGATAAATAAAAGGAGACATTGCTGTTGAGTTTTTCAAATGTATTTTTGGTGCTTTGAGCACCACAAGCTGAGTGTCTAGCCAGCATCTAGTTCCGTTATATTGGGGAGAAGGCAAACATCTCTACAGCTGATATCTCAAACACTCAGCGACTCACACCAAAACAATCTACAATGATAAATAGCACTACAGGTAAGAGGAAAAATATGTACTTTGATATCTGGTTTACAATCCCTTCAAGGGTTTGGGATAGGCATGTCTGGCATCCAAATAATGACCTTACCTGCCTGTTGTCCTTCCATTGGCAGCAGTTTGATGACATCACCCTTACTGAAGCTGAGTAGACTTTTGTCATCTGTCATGTAACTCTTCAGGGCAACCACATGGCCTGAGTCCTAGAGAGCAGGAAGAAAGATGTCCAGAATTGTGACATGTGGGCTAAAAGTTTTAGGGCTCATATGGTCAAAAGATGCTACAAATAGTGCCATTGTGGAGGGCATACACAGGTTAACTCCTCTTTTTCTGGCTGTTTACAGAAAAGCCATTGGAGTGTACAGGAGAGTAAACCCACTTCCTCCTTGGTAACCTACCCATCTACCTAGTAGTACACCCACCTTATCAACTACCACTACACCACTGGCTACAAAGCATCAAAAAGAAAGATGATGAAATGAATGATGAGGATTAAAATGTGAGTAAGTACCCTGGTGAGCTCCTGGAGGAAGAATCGGATCATGGCAGTCATCTGAGGAGCTCTGGAAGACTGCAGCACCAACTTCTCATTCTTCAGCTCCAGCTCCACTTTGTCTGCACCCTGGAGCTCAACTGACAGCAATTCTGCAAAACTACATTCATGCAGACCTGATTTAACAATCTGTGTGAGAAACATGAGCTGGGAGTGATTCAGATAGCAATTTTAAACCACATGTCACATTCATGCCACCTGCTACTCAGTTTAAATAATCACATGTACTCAAACACCAACGACACAGCCACTGGAAGCATTTCGGGGTTTAGTATCTTGCCCAAGGAAGATTCAACATGGACTTTGCACAGATGCGTCAGTATAGTTAAGGTAAGATATTTGAGGGCACAGAAATAGAAGAAAAACAAATTTTTAAGTGGATGGGACTTTGAATATGGGGATAATGGTGCACATATTCAGACAGTCTGTCCTGGAAGAGATTCATAGTGTTACACAATTATTTCTGTCACTTTTTATATGAGTGCAACATATATAAAGAGAGCTTGAGAGATTACTTCAAATACTGTGAACTTTCTGTCCTCCACACAGCCAACTTCACTGTGTGACTCTGGCATGACTTTTGGATTGAAAGTTACAGATATTGTTGAACACTGCCATCCTCTAAACTCGATGTTGCAAATGTGTGTGGGGTTTTTTTTAAAGCCATTTGACTGTCTGGCAAGCAGCTCTGATGGAACATACTGGCATCTTAACACTTGAGCTCTCAGGGACCCTTGAGTTCTGGGGCCTTGGGGGACACTTGGGGCCCACTTCGTAATCCAGGCTCATGTTTTTTAATTGCATTGAGGATGGGCCCAATATTTTTTATTTACACAGAAATAAAAACTAGCTAGCTAACTTCCTGTCTTGGAGATAAAACTTGAGACACTTTATGTGGAAACATGGATGAAACAGAGAAGTGACTGGACGTAGTTTCGGCTGTGTTTGTCTATGCAGGCTGCATATTTACCTGTAGCTTCTGAGTGGACGCAGGTGTTTGGGGTTGATGCCTGATGCTCTGACCATCTTCAGGAGACGAATGCCACGATGACACACACCCAAGACCTGAGAATCCCCAGTGTCTGGCTGCAACACACACACAGAGGAGATGCTTGTAAATATTAATAAGTGTTTAGTGGTTCGCCATCAACTAATGCCCTTAATGCTAGACTTCTGGTATACCCCTGAAAATACTGTATGTTCTGCAGCACCATGCAATTTAATTTCAACCCTGTGAGCATTTGTTTTTATTACATAAAGATACTGTGAGGTTCACTGTTAACTTAAATGAGATGAACCTTCACTTTTAGAATTTACACAATAAGGAATTGTTCTCACAAACATCTAGAGGAACCCATGAGACACAGTATCCTCCTGAGACCCGAACTGTTGTTTGGTATGCATTTTTAATTTCTCTTAGCTATTTGGGATCAGAAGACCTGTTAAGTATAAAAACCTTAATGTTGTCAACGATTTTAAAGTCCCAATATCCTCAAATGAGACGATGATAAAGTCCCAATGTCTTCAAACGAGTTCTTTCTAATTAATGTCTTAGCTTGTTACTGTTGCTAAAATTGGTCAAATTTGTTGCTATATCAAACTGCAATTGTTTTTAATCATAAATAAACAAGTCTCAACCATAGAATGAGATCAGGTTTTGGACCTTTTGTGTCAAGACCAGCTGCAGACTGACGTGGCAGAGATGGCTGCCATCTTGTTTTTACATGGATTAGTATATTGTGGTTTTGCTGCCACTGGATGGCACAAAAAAGTGGCCACAAACAAGGACAACAGGTCTAAGTTAAGAAGGATGAAGTTTAAGGTCCAGTAAAGCCAAAATGTAATGTCCTCAAATGAGGACACATGGTCTCAGGAGGATATGTGAGTAAGTTGTTGGTTTTTTTTAAGATATTTTTTGGGGGCATAGGAAAGTGAAGTGTGAAGGGGGGAGAGAGAGAGAGGGAGTGACATGCAGCAAAGGGCCACAGGCTGGAATTGAACCCGGGCCACTGCGGCAACAGCCTTGTACATGGGGCAGCTGCTCTATCTACTAAGCCACTGACACCCCGATGTGTGAGTAAGTTTTACATAATTTTTGCCTCAAGTGTATCTTTAAAGGGTAGCTTCTGTATTACTCAACCTGGACCAAATTTTCACATGTTTTTGTGTCTAGATGATTAATGGGAACAACAATTTCAGAATGCCTGATGGTCTCAATTGTGCCCCAACCCGAACCACTTTCTGAATGAAAAACTGCTGTTCTCCTTTTCCTTGGCTGTATTTCATTTATTTTGCCTAAGTCTCATTTAATACCGTCATAATTAATGTCAATCTGGTTTTCATTGCTCACTGTTTTTGACTGTTGTTTTAATGCTTTTCTTTTCCTGTAAAAAGCACTATGAATTGCCACTGTGTTTGAATTTAGTTTTATAAATAAAACCGCCTTACCTTGCTCTACCATTCGGGCAGTGTATCAGTACTTGATACCCTTAAAGTAATACTTTACCCCTCAAATGACCATTTGTACACATCTTGGGGGGTTTTTTGGGAGTCAGAATTGACCCTATTTAGGCAACAGGCTGGAGCTGTGGAGGAGCGAGGGGTGGATCTGACTAACAAGCTGTTTATAACTATAAGCCTTAATAAAATGAAAACTGGTGAGTTATCAAAAAATTCACCCCCGTCCACTTGTCATGAATTTTGAAATTAGCTATAGAGATCAAAACTGTTTTTTTTCACTGTAAAGTTGGGCATTTAACATGGGGGTTTATGGGGATTGACTGGCTTCTGAAGCCAGTCCCAAGTGGCCATTTGAAGAACTGCAGTTTTTAGCACTTCTGTGTTAGGTTCGTTTTCCAGCCTTAAGAAGCTGCTGCTTGGCTAGCCAGTCATATCGCTCTGAATGGGGTGAGGTAGATTACTTCACAGGGAACAATAATGAGGGACTCCCAGGTTCATTTCCTGGTGAACAGGTTAGTTCAAAATAGCCACACTCAAAGTCAGAGTGAAAAGCCCACCAGTCAGAGGATGGTGAGACATGATATTGTTTAAAGTCCCCCTCCAGACACATTTTAAAGTATGTACTAATATTTAATTTAACATGGTTTTCCCACATAGTAGTTGAAAAACTCTGAAAAGGGAGTGGAAGCAGATGTACTCTTTCTGCTTGAGAAAGCCATACATGTCTGAGCCTCAGTCAGATTCAGATAGATCCAGTTGTATGCTCAGTGCTTCCCAAACTGACAGCCCTTTCCAATGGTGAGCTGAACTGAAAGGGAGAGTTTGTGTTTTTGTGTGACGTTGGTGTTTTAAAGGGGTACTTGAGATACTCAAGTCACATAATAACACAAACTAACTAATTGATTGACGCAGCGGTGTTGTGAGCATTTTTAAAATGCATTTGTGTCTAAATCATTTGGATGGGGAGGTGTGGTAGTGGCAATTTTTGCAACTGAATGCTTCCATTCATGTGATGGGTATCAAATTAGGTACTCTATTGGTATTGGTATTGCTTTAAGGCTACTGGTATCATCATTTTATTAATGATAACTAGCTCTACCTGTCATGTAACATCATAAAACAATGGATACTCATGCTTTACACTCAACATTATCTCCAACTTTGCCATGACTCTTTTTGTCATGCTTACCTTCACAGGGAACAGGCGGGTAAAGTAGTTTTCCCAGTTGTCTCGAGCGGCAATGACAATCCTCTTCTTCATATTGTCATTCTGGATGGTGCTTATAGTCATTCCCACATTGAAATTAGCTAAAGCACAAATGAGAAGAATGTGATAATGGTCAGCAAACTAATGCAGAAACAAATGATAAATGACGCAGTTTAAATTCAGTGAATCAGTGAGTGCGATAAAACTTCAATTAATAGCCTGGGTCGTTTTTTGCTTATATTTGGGACAGGCCTTTAATTGCTTTCTCACAAAACTGTTAATCAACAAATATTGGAAATATAATAAAATTGTTAACATAAACAAGTATGATTATTACTTGTATAGAAATTAGGCTTCAGATAAATTATAAATCATTGATCTAGTCCCAACAGACAGCACATCAGTGAGATTTACAGCACTTGAGCATTACAGCTCCTGGCATACTGACACAACACTACTTTATCCTGTTAAAACAATACTCACAACTTGGATTAGTTTCTTTTTTTATTGAAAAACACTTTTGATTCTTTTGATCTGAGGACTCTTATATGGACTAAATGAATGTGAATAACTTGCTGTCATGTTCCACTGTTTGTTAAGTATTTTATTTTCTCCCTCATGTTTCATGTCTTGTCTTCCTGTTTTATTTTGTGATCACTCACCGCTGTCTCTGATCCAGGTTCCTGTCTGCCCTGCCCCCTCCCCGTCTGTGTGCACCTGATCCCTGATTGTGTCTCCCGCACCTGTGTCTAATCACTCCCCATCAGCCCTGCATATATTCCCTCGTGTGTCTTGTCTCATTGCCAGTTTGTCGATGCTCTCTGCTCACGTTCCAGCGTTTCTCTCAGTCATAGTGTGTTTGATCCTTGCCTGTTTTTTGACCTTGCCTTTTTGCCTCATGTCTTGGATACCTCTGCCTGGTTTGTACTGCTTCCTTGTGTATTTACCGCTGCCTGGAATAAATCCTGTTTTACTGTGTGAAACCGGTCTGAGTCGTGCATTTGAGCCCTGCCTTTTCTGTGCCAAAGTTCATGACGCTTGCAGGGTAATTGAGAAATGTACACATAATTTGAGGTAGCCAACAACCTGATTTTATACATACAAAGAACCTCAGTAAAAATGAACTGTTTGGCAACCAGACCAGGCCATTCATTTGTCAATGTGTAGCCACACCGGGCTAAAAAAGGGACTGGCTGTTTAACTGGGACTAGGCTTTTAACTGAAGTTTTATGGTATTTTATCCTGATCGTTTGTGACTGACTTTAGCTTTTGACAAAAACATTTGAATCAACACTGTAAAAAAAACAAAAAAAAAAAAAACAAGAGCTTCAAACACTCACCCAGCAGGTCCTTCATCTTCCTCCTTTCCTCTCTGCTAATCCTCACACAGCTGTCAGAGTAGGTGTCCCTCATAATCTGAAACACATTACATAGTGACATTGTGACTGCTTCTGAAGTAAGTGGGAGATAATGAGCAATGTATCAGAGGGCTTTACATAAGTAGAATAGGATCCCTCAGTAAAGTACAGTACATCAGGTTAAACATGATGACTCCTGTAAATATACTAACCTGCTCACATAACAGATTGAGGATGTAGGGCCGGTTGAACATCTCTCTGGGGTAAAACACCTGCACACACACAAATGGTACTCAAGGGTAGTGACGGGGGCTTATAACAAGATTTTCTCTTCAAATCTCCTGTTTAATTGAAGGCATCATTGATGAATCTAATGCACCTGTGTCAGCCTGAACACTTCTGTATTTCTACTGGGTTAGTGATGGATGAAGATTTGTCAGTAAATATTCATTCATTCATTTTTCTTCCCAATCACTTCAGCACACACTGCCAACATAAGCAATATATATATAGTAGATCCATAACATCCACATTTCCATGAAATGGAAAGCAGACTTAAGAAAGCAAAACTAAGTAAATTGATTCCTCTACATTTACCTCTTTGAATTTTATGAATGTGAATTTTCCTTTGTTTTCTATGAGTAAACCTATACAAACCAACACAAAAGAGCTGAAATCAACCCAACCATCTTTGCTCGACTCTCCTTTTGTTTCACAGGTACTTAATGATAACCCTGTAGTTGTTGTCTTGACCGGTTGTGAAATAAAATCCTGAGTCCCCCCTGTCCAAGACAAGACCGAGTAAACTAAGTCAGAGACGAGACTGAGAATTTGAAAAGGTGGTCTAAGATTAATCTCAAGAACTACAACACTGTCATTTGGACTAATTCAACTCGTCGTGAGACTGGTTCGAAACAGAGACGAAGGGCCTGTCCCAGTACCCTACCCCTTGGCCCTACCCCTAGATTTGCGCGTTCCTGCGAGGGGTATGGGTGTCCCAATTCCTTTTTGCGTGTAGGGGTAGGGGGCATAACGAGGGGTAGTGGGTATGAAACTAGCCCTTTGGAGCGAGGGATTTCAGATGCTGACTTGCCAGTGAGGGGTAGACGTCGCCATGGCTACCACTAAGCAAGAGATGGGGAAAAAAGTTCATATATGTATGTATAATTTCGCAAATAAACATGGAACTTTTGTAAAAACGTTTTCGAATAACTGTGTATTTGTGTAGAGAACGGTATAACATTTTTTATTGCTATTCACAATGTCTATGACAGAAAGCTAGCCAGCTAGCTAACGTTACCGTTGTCAGGTTGCTTGTTAGCTAGCTAGTTAGTTCGCACTATCTGGCGTCTGTCATCTGTCCTGTTTTGCAAAATTGTCGGATTTTTCACATTACGATAACACGCCAGCTAGTATAACTATGCTGCCTCGCAATGTTAGCTGGTTAGCTAGCTAGCTAGTTAACAGAAGTCCCCTGTGGTACATATCATTTTATCATCTGTCGTTCATCAAACGAAGCATAATAAATACAGCAAATGCGATTGGTAGGATGAACTCAACTGGAGACTCCATTGTAGATGTCGGTTGGAAATGTAGATGGCCCACGGCTTCCTGTTTAAAATAGTTACGTATGCATGAATGTAACAGACACGGTGACGTAGGGAGTGGTGTCCCAAAGATTTCAACCCCTACCCCTCCTTGCTTCATTTCGAGGGCCAAAGGTTGGGCAAGGGCTAGGGGTAGGGCCAAGGGCTAAGGAGTAGTGGACAAGGGGGCGTTTTGGGATTGGGCCTAAAACAAATATACATGTACCTCATACAAGTACAAAAAAAACAGAGAAAGAATGATAATTTCAGTTTAAATTGTGAATGTCAAGAGGCCTGCTACCAGTGATAACTTGGCAGGATACTCCAGTGCCCTATTTCTCCATGATGATGCACATCAACTCCCCAGAAAAGCAGCCATTTTATTACATTTCCTCGATGGATCAGCATATCCAAGCTATGACTACAACTTTCTTCTTCATTATGTCCTACTGTACATGCCTCAAGTGATCTGATGCTCTGCATGTTTTATACTTTGTCCCCAGCCATTTCTGTATGCAAAGACTATAAAGGGCCAAAGGCAAAAATAATAGCTGGGCCCCTCTACCACTTGCAGGCTAAAGGAAACATTTTTTTTAATGACTGGACCCCAGTTTTGTGTATGAGGACTCACAACCACGCAAGCTGACGAATCAATACACGTTCCTGCCAATGGTTTTATCATATTGTACTAATCTACAGGTGGCAGTAACGTGCCGAAGCAATGTGCCAACAAAGGCACTGAAGAAGAAGACTGCAAGCTAGTAAACATGGATGTTAACAATGTTGGTTTCAAACTTTTAAGAAAAATTGATTTTTGTATATTGTATATTATGTATATTGATTGATTGATGTTTTATTGTGGGTGGGGATAAATTCAACACGTGTTAGATCTCAAGGACACACATGGTGTGTCCTTGAGATCTAACATTTTTTTTAATGACTGGACCCCACATGGCGTGTTTTGATGAGTAGCATTGATTGTAAACAAAACTTTTGGCTGTTTACAGGAAAACTCTGCAGCGCACCTTAAGGTTAATATTTAACCCACAATTAACTTTGTTTAACTATTAAACCTGTATTTATTGCTGTTTGGCCACTTGGGTGGTGCAGTGGAACAAGCTGTAAACAGGATAATAGCATGTTATCAACTTTAAGTTGTCATGGCAAAAATGTTAGCAAACAGCGGCTAATTACACATCCCGCATATGCATGAAGCATTGTGGGCATTTATTTGGTGCTGTGTCTGTGTCCACCTGATCAATGAAAGCCCAATATTCACTCTCTTTAAGTTCTGTTTGTGGTCTCTACCAACTCCTGAGGGAAATATCTGTCTCTTTAGCTGCTAAATGCTTCACTGTGATCACCAGTCTCTAACTGTGTCTGTCTGCCGTTTTCTGCTGCAGCTGGTAGTGTATAGTGGGTTTATCAGAGCATTTTCATGGTAAACAGTTTAATGGAGCTACGAGTTTGAGCCAAAACAGTAAAGCTGTGGGCCACCAAACCAAAACAATGAGCTGAAAGACACTAAAATGTGGCACAGAGCTGAGGGTAACTGCAACATTAGTTGTAATTGTCTGTGGGTTCAACACTTTGAAAGGGGAACTGCCCATTGGTCCGACAGCCCACTGGTCTGACCATATTAAACCCATTGTTCCGAAGTCCCGTTGTTCCGAAATCATCATGATGCCCTGTGGTTAAGGTCTGGTTAGGTTTTGGCACAAAAAACACTTGGTTAGGGTCAGGAAAAGATCATGGTGTGGGTTAAAATGAAAAAGAAAGTGACAAACACATAAGCCGTGAGCCTGCTTCGCCTCGAGCCTTTCCCAGCTGACCCAGAGCCGGTCGCGGTGCACCATCAAGGTAGAAATATGCCCCCAGGAGCCGTTCAGCACCACGGACCGTCGGACTAATGAGATGTCGGACCAATGGGCTGTCAGACCAATGACATGGACCCCTCTGAAAGACACCTTTCTCATTACATAGTCATTTTATCTATTATTTATATAAAAACATTGATTAGCGCAGCTTTAAATGAATAACAGGTCCTCTGATAAATGTCGTATGTGTGTCTCACTTCTTTCCTCAGGAACAGTTTTCCCGGCATGTTGGAGTAAGAGAAGTAAACCCCAGCAGAGAAGCGGAAGAGCTGGGAGTGAATGCCATCCACATCTAGCATCACAGCTAAAGGAAACAAACAGCAGCTTCAGTTACTGACTGATATGAACCTCCTCACATTCGATAACACCAAGTTAAAATGCTGGTTAGCAGCTAATTGTTAGCTTAAACACATCATATAAGTTCTTTTAATACACATAAACATAATGAGAGCAATACCCACCGAGAGATGGGGCAGCCATGGGTGGTGGGTCTGGGATGTCCTGAAGGATGGGTGTTGGTTGCAGAGGTGGTGGTGGGGAGTCTGGGGGTGGAGGCGGATGGTTCATGGAGCGCTGCGAGCCAAACAGGTCCTCCAGGGAGCGCTGTTTCTGCCTCATGCTGTTGGAGATGACCCGGGGCCCCCTGGTGGAGGGAGGAGAGGGCTGTGGGGATGGAGTCCTGGGAGGAGGTTGCTGCCTCTTAGGTTTTACTGGTGGAGGCACCCACTGCTTCTGCAAGCAGGAGGAAGTGGAAGATGTGAGGATGTAGCACACAGTATATTCCAGACAGACATACTCAATGAAACAGAATAATAAACCTAACAATAAAATAACTTTTAATTTCTAAAGAAATGTAGACACATTTTCTTTTGATTTGCAGTTGGACTTCCCAGACCATCCTGACCTGTTGTTGTGGCACTGGAGCTTTGTTTCTGAGTTTGGCCAGAGCTTCCTCTTTGGGATCATTCTTCTTTATAAAATTCCGTGGTGGAGGTCTGTGAAGAGGACAAAAAAAAGTACATCACAAACATTATAGAACTTATTGTTTCTATTGGATGAGGCCATTGTAAAATCCATTTACTGTCTGGGTTGCTAGAATAAGGGGAAAACACATTTGCCATTCATTTAAAACCCTCAAAGTAAAACTGGAACATTTAAAAAAGCAGAAATGAATTGTTATGAACGTTCTGGTTGCCAAAGGTTCCCAACCTTTTCTTTAAGACCTACCCCTATCTGCTGAACTCAAGTACCCTTTCATCAACACCACCCATCAGGTTCCAAATATGTTTATTCAAATGTATCATTAACTAGATATTACTTACCACAGTTCACATTTTTTTAAATACAATTTATACAATATTCAACTAATTGTTACTTTTTTTTATCATAAAATTATAAAATTACACTGTCAATGTTTACGTAATTTTGGTCAAGTTTGTATTTGTACTATAGTGGCAGAAGCTAGATGTTCAGCTATTTCAACCATTTAGCCATTGCTTGTAATGATCATTACTTTTAGCTAACTATTTTAGCCACTCATTCATTTTAGTTAACTCTTTAAGCCATTTATTTTTTTCTTTTAGTTAGTAAATAGGGTTGCCGTGCTATACTGTTGTCAGTGTATACCGTGGTATCATATTAATGGTTGTTATACTGTGTACATTTGCTTATCTACAGTATTTTTTTAAAAGTGCAACCAGAAGGAAAATCTTTCATTATTTTCAAAACTCCTCTGTTTCATTCCTTAAATGATACTGTTTACCGTGATACTGTGAAACTTCAAAATTTTCTGAGACAGTTATCTTACCATGGAAATCTGATACATCTGCAACCCTATTAGCACATTATTTGTGATGTATATTCATCATTTTTGGCTACTTTTTAAGTATTTACGCATTGCCTTCAGCCAACTGTTTAGACTTCTCTGCTCGCTTTTGCTAACAACTTTATTTTTTGGAATAATGACTGTAACTTAAGCTGACTCATGTATATGTATATTTTTATTTTCTAACTAAACTGATTGTTTTTTTCCGGAAATTGGTTGAGCTACACCAAAAATTTCCCATACACCCCCTGGTAACTGTACAAGTACCCCTGGATGGGAATCGTTGGCCTATGGCCTATGTACTCACAACGTCTCCAATTCAAATCTGACCAGGGAAGCTTCTTGAATGTCATTCTCTTTCTTCCTATATTTCCCAGTGAGTATTTTGGAAATAAGAATTTTAAAGTTTAAAACTAAGGATTCTTTCATGCATAACCTGTTTGGTATTTGACTGTTGTGATAATCAAATTCTGGGAGATTACAGACTACACAACCAGACCAAGGCCGCCTGAAAAGGTGGGTCTTGATCCGGTTCCAAGTGGACTCTGGTGCGGAGAAACTACAGGATTGTATGATAGTAGATTTGATTTTAGAGCCCGTCCCTCAAATTATGACCATGTAGGTCATTTGTACAAGCAGAAATTACAGCACGTATTTACGACCTCTAGTGGCCATTGTATTTATGACGGAAGCAAAGGAGGAAGCCAGTGGGAGGGAGGGAAGGTGGACAGATCTCTTTCAGCTTTGCGTGCTGGGATCTCCAACACAGTTTTAATAGGGTCAACTCTTTGCTTTATTTCTCCTTCATTTCTTTGAAGGTAAATGTTTGTATTGACTGACATCTCTCTGAGCGGTATGATCAATTTCTGCAAAGTGTGTTTAGAAATTCTGAGTATAAAGCTCTGTAATATTGAAAATGTTCCACAGCAAACGTAATTCAGACATTCAACTTTCATTTTCATCTCTTTCACCTTTCAACTATAGTTAGAGGAATACTTAATGCCAAAATGATCATTTGTTTATAATTTAGTTAGCCTGTGCTAGGTTAAATTTTTGCAGAAAACTGTTTTTCCCGCACACCTCCATGGTGAACGAAGAATCCAAAAACAATGAACAGTGTTGATGAATTAAAGTAAACAAGGGCTGTGTTTAACAACAGCAAAAATATCAAAACGTCATACAAACAAATGCATTTTCATTAAAACCTTACTTTTTAAAACACTCCAGCATACATATCGCACATGGGCAAGCGTGTTTGTTTGAGCTCTGCTGGTTCATTAAATTGCAGAGGCGTGCCACGTGTCATGTGTGAGATTGTATATGCTGAAGTTTTCAAATAGCAGGGTTTTTGCGAAAATGCATGTGAGTTTGCAAATGAATATTTTGATATTGTTTTGCTGTTGTTTAGTCTCTATATACAGACTCTACATTCAGTGAATGTAGAGCCCCGGAAACCAAGGCTCTTCCGCTCTTCTTCTGGAAGGCAAGATCTCCGGGGTTTGCCTACAGACTTTACATTCAGTGAATGTAGAGTCTGTAGGCAAACCCCGGAGATTCAGTGAATGTAGAGTCTGTAGGCAAACCCCGGAGATCTTGCCTCCGGAAGAAGAGTGGAAGAGCCCTGGTTTCCGGTTGTAGGCTGTTTGTAGTCTGCGTGATATTGATCAATCACGTTTGAGCCGGCTGCAGCTGTTGCCAGGTTAAATGCTCCGCGCGGTGAACTAATGAGGCGGAACATAATTGGTGTCACTGCAAACTCTGAATCCATTGCAATGGTTCAGCATATTTACTTATATATAAACGGAAGTCGGAAACGGAAATTCGCCTCCTCCGCCCAAATCAAACCAGAATGCCAAAAAATCGGGGGTCTGCCCCCAGAGTCTGTATCGCCGTCTGCCGGAAGTCAGAAGCCGGATACAGCCGATGGGTTCCGAGAATGGCTGTTTTTAAATGTGACCCCCTTTTACTTCAATTGATCATGAATTGTCTCTGTTTTTGGATTCTTTGCTCACCATGGAAGCATGTGAGAAAAACAAAGGTTCCTTCACAAATTCAACATAACACAGGGTGAGAAACTGATATAGAAGTGGTCATTTTGTGGGTTAAGTAGTCCTTTAAAACTCATTTTTAATGTCATGAATTATGAGCTTGATATACCCTCATACCAGCTACACAATAACACGACAACATAGTTCAAAAGGTCAGAGATATTACACCCTTCCAGTGTTTCTTTAACCACAGCATGATGTTGACTCCCATTCAGTATTTTGAATTCATACAGTTGTGAGGGAAACGGTGTCCAAGCAGGATCTAGCAGATTTTAAGATTAGATGAAACTCTGTTAAAATTTAGAGAAGTGTGCATAGACCTACTAGGAAGCAGCGCTGAAACTGACCTGACAGGCTCAAAGGGTTTGGCTTCTGGTTGGGGTCGGCTGTTAAACTGTTTGATGATATCCCGAATGCTGGAGGTGGGTTCAGGCTTAGGCTCAGTGAGAGGAGTTGGAGTAGGTATTGGTTTTGGGGGCTCCACTTTTCTGGCAGGAGGGGTGTTGAGACGCTTCACTGTGGAAGATGAGAGACAGAAACGACATCTCAAGTTCTTCATTCAATTCATGTTCTAACCAATTTGTGTCTTCTCACACCTGAATCACACCTGTAAAAACTAATTTTGTGGGTTCTTATGAATGCTTGCATACCCCTGCAGAACATTTTTGTAGGGGAAAAAATATTCGAACAGACCTTAACTTCAGCAGATTTTTCCCTGCAGAAATTTATGTTTTACAAATAAAATTTCTTTGTTCCAACTGATGTCATACCTCCAGGTCATAGCTAACTTGCTGACAAAACAGGGGAACATCCTATCAATTTGGTTTCTCAACACCCAATATTATACTACAAACACAGCAACAGTGTTGATTACGTTGATGAAAACTATGATGGAAAATTTTCCATGAAAAAAACGAGACAATGACGAGCTAAAAGTAAGTTTTGATAATAAAAACTAAGATGAAATCTATGTTTAATTTTCGTTGACGGGACGAGATGTGATGAAAATGTTAGTGGTAAACTATCAGACATTGAAAGCCATGAAAGGCTGTGCCTGTAATTATCTTAAAATGCTGATAAACTTCAGTAAATATTTTGCACCAGGATGTTTTGTTAGCCTGCAAAAACACTCACACCAGAGCAGCATAAGCTGTTGATTTGAGTAGTGAGCTGTAATTCAGCAGTAGGTATCAGCCATGTGTGTCTGAATGTGGATGGTGGAGCTTTTGAATGGATTTGTGGAGTTTGTTAGTTGCAGCGGTGGCTGTTAGCAGCTAGGTCTGCTTGTTAGCTGCTGAATGGCAGCAGAGCGAACAGCCACCAGCTTTTGGACTTCACAGCTGATCCCCACAGAACTCCACTCATATGCGGACAGCGGACTTTCTAGGTTGATGCTGTTTGACAGGCAGGTAGGAGGCTTAGTTATCTGTGAGTGTAGCTGTGCTGCAAATAGACAGTCTGTACTCAGAGCAGTTTTGTCTGACAGAGATGGAAGTTTGATTTTAATCACCAACTCTGTGAGAGGACACAAGTTTAATCCTCCAGACTAACATGTTGCAGATTAAGAAAGAATTCAGGCTTTAATTAAGTTATTTTTCTGCTTCTTAACAGTGAGATGGATATGTCAGAGTTCACAATGAACCTGGGCACAAATCGTAGTTGTCTCTGATTAGTTATTTCTGGTGTCAAAGTTTTTGAGACCATAAATAGAGAGATTTTGAGCTTTTCAAATGATGATCAGTAAGTGTGTGTGGTCATAGATTCCCACTTAAACCTGTTAAACACTGCTGGAGAAATGACAGTTTGTAATTGTGTAGAAATCATTGGTAGTTGAAAAAATTGTCTAAATGAAATTCTTATACAACCTGTCACCTTGATTCTAATTTCTGATACATGAATTAGCCTAACTGGATTAGTTTAAAGATGAAAAACATAAAGAAAATATAATTACTTAAGTTACTTAAAAGTTGACAAAAATGTTGTGGAATTTCATCGACTAGAAGGTTTTGAATTTCCGTGGTATAAAACTAGACTCACACTATGAAGGATAAAAATGACTAAAATGTGACTAAAACTAATGAGCATTTTTGTTTCCAGACTAAGACTAAATCTAAAATAGCTGTCAAAATTAACACTGCACCTAACGCTAACAGCTAATGGCATTATGCCTAGTGTAACCATCAAATCTGGGGTCTGATTACTTTATGTATTGTGTAGGTAATGTTAGACATTCTTTGTCTGTGCATAGTTGACAAATGTAAAATTCTGAATATTTTCCCATAGTTCCCATGCCGCATTTTCGTATCACACCGGTGAGAGATGGCTTTAGCAGCTCTTTAAAGGTAATATTTTCAGATTCCACAAAATATAATCTAGTCCATTGAACTTATTATATGTTCTTACCAGGAGGCTTAGGTGCTGTAGGTGGGGGTAATGGCAGGGAGCGTTGCTGCTGTCTGGGTGGGCTGGAGGGGGCTGGCTGAGGCATTTGGGGTTTTGATCCACCTTGGGGCTGAAAGCCTGGAGGACAGTCAGACAGAGAGATGGTGTGGAATGAAGAAACCCATGACTTAAATTGGAAAATAATTATAAACATGATGATTTAAAGTGCTTAACATTTTAACATCAGTGAGCCATTACAATATTCATTTGAACACATTCACGAGAGAAAGCTTGTAGCCCAATTTCTGCTGCATTTATATTCTATACTAAGTTAGATATAGTGGAACAAAGTACCATAGTATGAGATCTACAGTGGCATGCAAAAGTTTGGGCATCCCTGGTCAAAATTTTGTTTACTGTGAGTAGTTTAGTAAGTAGAAGATGAATTGATTTCCAAAAGACATGAAGATGAAGATGACACATTTTCACATATTGACACATTGTCAATATTTTAAGCAAAATTACTTTTTAATTTCAATCTTTTACAGTTTCAAAATAACAAAAAAGGAAAAGGTCCTCAAGCAAAAGTTTGGGCACCCTGCATGGTCAGTATGTAGTAGAGCCCCCTTTGGCAAGTATCACAGCTTCTAAACACTTTTTGAAACCAGCTAAGGTTCTATCAGTTCTTGTTTGGGGGCTTTTCACCCGTTCTTCCTGCAAAAGGCTTCTAGTTCTGTGAGATTCTTGGGCTGTCTTGCATGCACTGCTCTTTTGAGGTCTATCCACAGATTTTCAATGATGTTTAGGATCGGGGGACAGTGAGGGCCATGGCAAAACCTTCAACTTGCACCTCTTGAGGTAGTCTATTGTGGACTTCAAGGTGTGTTTAGGATCATTGTCCTGTTGTAGGAGCCGTCCTCTCTTCATCATCAGCTTTTTTACAGACAGGGTGATGTTTGCTTCCAGAATTTGCTGAAATTTAACTGAATCCATTCTTCCATCTACCCGTGAAATGTTACCCATGCCACTGGCTGCAACACAAGCCCAAAGCATGATTGATCCCCCCTGTGTTCAACAGTTGGACAGGTGTTCTTTTCATGAATTTCTGTGTCCTTTTTTCTCCAAATATACCAGAAAGTTATATTTTAACTTCATCAATCCACAGGACTTGTTTCCAAAAAGCATCAGGCTTGTTGGATGTTCCTTTGAAAACTTGTGACACTGAATTTTGTGGTTACATTTAAACTAAGGAAACAGCTACCTGAAAACACTTTGCTATCTTATTATAGCCTTTTCCTGGGGGCTGTGGCTCAGAGGTAGAATGGGTCGTCCACCAATCGGAACATCAGTGGTTCGACCCCTGGCTCCTCCAGTCTGCATGTCAAAGTATCCTTGAGCAAGGTACTGAACCCCAAATTGCTCCCGATGGCTGTTCCATCGATGTGTTGAAAAAACAACTGAGTAGCAGGTGGCACCTTGTATGGTAGCCTCGGCCACTAGTGTATAAAGTGCTTTGAGTGGTCGGATGACTAGAAAGGCACTCTAAAACTAAAGCAAGCGCACCCACAAGGAGGCAGGAATCATTTCATTGGTCAACGATAAACCTGGCGTTCTACTGGTTGGGGGATTTTGACAGAAAGAGCAGAAATTCCACAAACGCACAGAAGCAGCTTGAGCAGTAGGAGAAGAGCTGAAGCTGGAGCAGGAAATCTGTGTAAGCAACATTGTATCTGAGTGCGAGCACACAGTTTGAGCAGAAACAGAGTAGATCTAAGTGCAAGCAGAGGCTATTTGAGTGCAAGGGCAGGGTTTTGAGGGACAATATTACAAAATCTGAACTTGAAATCAATAAATAATGGACTCAGATTGATATACCACTCTCTTGAATAAAGATAGAAAAAAAGCTCCATACATCTGGCCTTTCCTAATGATGACTGTGAGCAAGCCATAATCCTAACAAGCTAATCATGGTCTGAGACCCTGGTAACAGTTGTCTGGGAGCTCAAATGTCTTGGGGTGTCCAAACGTTTGGATGGTGCTCCTTTCATTTTTTAATCTAAAATTGTACAAAACAAAAATAATACTCTAATCTTGCTTAAAATGTTGAAAAGCATGTTTCATCTTTCATCTTAATGCATTTTGGAGATCAGTTCATCTTCTACTCACTTAACTATTCACAGTAAACAAAATTTTGACCGGGTGCTCAAACTTGTGCATGTCACTGTAGTTGAAGGTCTCCTGGATAACTACATGAAACACAATATGTGTTCAAAGTTTTAAGCAATGGGTGGATGGCCTACAGTGTTCTTCAGTTTTCTTCAAAGTCAAAGACACAAGAAAGGGATGAATCAGTGGGGTTTGTGGAAATATGAGAGACAGTTTAAAAGATAATTCATTTTAAAAAAGAAGAAACTAAATATATTAGTTGCTTGCCAGTGCCACTCACCAATCTTTTTGAAGTATTCCTGCTTGTCTCTGAAAGACTGAAGGTCATCTGGATCTGGTAAGTCCACTTCTCTTTCTGGCTGTAAAAGAAATGGATATGGGCACACAACATGTGACCACATGAGGAGGAACCAGACCCAGTGATACCAGTGCTCCAAATTTAGGGAATTAAAGTATAAAGGTGCAGTATTCTACATCTTTCTGTATTGTCGACAAATCTCATATTCAGAGCCAAAAACAACAGAGCATTCATAAGGGCAATAAAATGTTTGGACAGTCAGTTTTTCAACACCCAATAGACCCTTTTGGGGCTGACGCCACAACAACGTCATTTTATTAGCTGGAGGCAAAACAGGACTCGCCACCATGGGGCTGTAGGCTACACAGGAGGTTTAAAATGTTGTCTTGTTGCGTTACTGGGAGCCAGAATAGAAGAAGTCATGGCTCAAAACTTACATTCTATCCCATACCAGCCGCCACTACACATTAACAAAAACAAAGGCCACTATGGTTAAATGCCATAAGATGAGAGGACTAGATGGAGGGTCATCAAAAATGCTCGCATGTGCAGCGCACACTTCATATCAGGTTAGGGGAAAAGTCTTTACTGTTGTGAATAACGTCATGTGTATTAAGGGTTATCATGTCCACCTAATCAGAAACTGGGGAGGTATTGAGAGGAATATTGGATTTCTCAGCAATGCTAATTTTATAGCGCTTTAGCTAACGTTTCCTTCGATAGCAAGGAAAGTGTTCATCCTCCTTTGTAAGACTGGCATAGTAATCAGTAGGCCTGTCAAAAGCACCATGAAATTGAGTTTGAATATTTTCGAATTATTATTATTATTTTTTTTTTACAAAAAAACACAAAAAATAAGATGCTTATTGCTGACGCAATATGAACGTGACACTTGGATGAAAACACCCATTCTGACCTCACTGAAGTGCCAGGTATGACCAACTTCTGCCTCGCTCTCTGAGCAATGTTTGGATACTTCAGTGCGTAGTTTTCCACCACAAGAGTGGATCCTGGTCGGCTTGTAGTGGTGTCTCATTCTGGTAATGTTTCATCTCTTCTTCAAAAAGTGTAGGCAGGGAGGCAGCAGGTGCAACACTCTCCCTGTATGTCTCCCCGAACAGGTCACACATCGCGGACAGCGCAGTGGGTGGTGTTGGTGCAGTGGGCTCCTCCGTTGGTGCCTCTCCATCCGCCCGAACGGGATTCACCATGATACACAACATTTTTTTTTTTTTTAAAGATTATTTTTTGGGCTTTTTTGCCTTTAATGAACAGGACAGAGTGAAATGGGGTGAGAGAGAGAGTAGGGGTTGACATGCAGCAAAGGGTTGCAAGCCAGAGTCGAACCTGCAACCGCTGCAGCGAGGCATCACCTCTGTACATGGGGCACCGGCACTATCCACTACACTATCAACGCCTCGATATACAACATTATTGATAGTATTAATTAATTATTAATGATACTGGAATTATCAAATTTAGGTTCGAACTTATAAAAAATATTCGAATATATTTCGAACTTCGAATTTTTTTTGACAGCCCTAGTAATCAGCCATAAAGCCGGCCATCCCATGTTCAACAACCCTGTCAAATCATCCATCCACTGAGTGAGAGCATACGGGTCGGCCAGTCTGGTCCCGTTGGTCAGTGTTTACTTATTCAAGTTACACTCATGGTCCAAGAGAGTGAGTGACCTGACACGGTGCGTTCGTAAGTTCAGTCTGACATTACGTGAAAATGAGAGCCCTGTTGGTCTAAGAAAAGGAGCGTTTTATTTCTACAGGAATTAACAAAGGTTAAGTTAATCACACATTCACTCCCCTCGGTGCTCTGCTGCTCCATCTCCCCAAACAGAGTGATGAGAGCTGCCACTGACAGTGCGGTGCTCTGGAGAACTGAACGGTACATTCCAACAGCGCTCTGAATTTACAAACAGTCCAGTTTGTGCCAGAGTGCACTCTGGCACTCAGAATGAGTATATCTGAATGCACCACTCGCATCATCTTCCTCCATTGTCTAAAACAAGCCAACAGAACTTGTCAGTGGAGAACTGTTTTGCCTCCAGCTAAGCCCCGCCCACCAAAAACGTCATACTGCTTACTAACAGTAAAAGGGTCTGTATTGTACGAAAAACATTGCAACAACTACCTCAACAATGGGATAGGATGTAGATGGTAATGTCGCAGATATGCACTTGCTAACATTATATATTGGTCACAGATCGAGGCTAGCCACAACAGCTAGCATTAGCATCAGATTTGGGGCCCGATTAGTTTATATATTGTGGAGTGGGCACTATTTTATTTTATCTTCTTTATTTATTTGATGAAAATGGAACATAGCTATGCATATAATTCACACTGAATCCTGTGTGCATCACATGCTGACTTTGTGTATTCTGCACTACATTTTCACATTGCACTGGTGAGAAAAAACTTTAGCAAATCACTACTTTTGGTCTTTTTAATGGGATTTGATGACAATAAGAAAAATAATTTCTTGATGAAGACAGTGACATGTGGGAAAAGTTCTGGGGAAAAAGCACTTGAGATTTTCTTTTGTCAAGAAAATATGTAACATCATCAGCATACAACTTGAGGTTACATCCACTGATACTGCAGTTTAAGGTTAAACAGAGGAGATGTTAAAGGGTACAACCAGAAGAAAATGAAAAACAAATGTGAGGGTGTGGACTTGAGCATGAATAGGGACGTATTGTAGAAATGTATGAACGAAAGAAGTAAAAAATAATCAGGTATAGTTAGATAAGGATGTGTAAAAAAATCAGCAATGCAATGCATTGCAAAAATATATAAAGTACTGAAAACAGAAATACCTCTGGCTCAGGCTGCCTGCGGCTGGAGGTGCGTTTAGGTGCAGATGCTTTGGGACGAGCAGGTGGGGGTGAGGGAGATCGAGGGGAAGGGGAGGGTGAGCGTTCCTTGGACCGTGGCTCGAAACGACGTCTCCGCTGCCTATCCTCTTCCTGCTTTTTCTCCTGCTCCTGCAGCTTCCTCTGCTGCTCCTGCGTCTGCTGCTGGGACAAACTCATCGCCTGCAGGGTCATCTGCTGGGCCTGAAGATGAGGAAGAGAGAGGACAGGAGAACATAGAGTTGGAGGGGAGGTGGGAGAGGGAGTTTGAAAAGTGAAATATGGGTGGAGGGGCAAATACAGGATGAATAAACTGACCATTGTACTATAACAGAAGTGCGCTAAGAGTGCTAGTCCTTACCATGAGAAAGGCCTGTTGGTTGATGAGGGCCTGCTGTGATGCTGCCATCTGCATGGGGTCAGCCATGGGAGTCTGAGGCATCATCATGGCTGTGTAAGGATAAATATGACAAACTGTTTTTCACATAGAAATCAGCTACATCTAAATCAGTAAAGCCATTTTTTTTGCTGCAAAAAAATGGCTTAAGTGTACTAAAAAAGAAATTGATTATATTATTCTAGATGGCTACCTAAAGTTTAATTTGTATTTGTCATATTAATAATTTATATAATAAAAAAATACTTGGCACTGTGTGATGATACGATATTGCCACACAAAAATATCATGATAAGTATCCCCCACCCCTACTAATTAATGAAACATCACTGTAACCTGTCATTGCTAAGTTTCCTGCAGTTCCTGCATAATTTGCGCAAGAATTCCAGTGGCCTCGTACACTTGTACATGAGTAAATAAAAGTTTTAAATCTTGAACAATGGTGCTCAAGGGCATATTCAGCTAACATTTATGTCTTTATTATGTTATATTTGTCAGATAGCCCACTAAGGTGTCAATCATTTACGTTGCTGTACTTGCTTATGATAGAAAAAATGATATAAATGGAAATAAGTTTTCAAATTTTCTGGATGGGGGGGACCCCAGACCTCCTGGCAGATTTGACTCCATGGCTTGGATTACAAAGTAATCATTGATTATTTTAATAATCAATAATAAACCTTTTCAAGTTTTTGGTTTTATTTAGTTGTCAATTGAATATCTCTCTGAGGCAGACTCAAGATGCCCAATATATTATTGGCTGGTAAGAAAATTAGATTATTGTTGTTGTTTCAATGATGGAACTTCAAATCACAACTCAATCAAACTGCATCAAATCCTCCTAAATTGTGTATGGTATTATTTCACATTGATCTCTATAGTTTTTGTATCAAGTGCGTAAAAAATCAGATGTGTGACCCTTAGCACACACAGGGTCATATTTATGGTTTTAGAAATTCTGAGATCCAAATTCTCCCATCAAAACTTCCCTCATAAATGTTAAGCTGGCCACTAAAAACGTCACTGAATCATCAATTCAAAAGAACACCTGTTTTAGAAAATATCCTGTTCTTTGATAGAAATAAAAATTTTTTAAAAAATTCAGTTACGTGAGCGGCAAAGTTGCTCAGCAGCAGGTTGCAGCTAAAGAGGGCGCTGTTGAAGAAAAAGATTCTACAATCTGCAACTTCAAGTAATTCACTTTTAGTTTTAGTTTTGGGTGAATTCAGTAACTACGGTGTCATGTTTTGTTCTCAACCTCAGCAATGAAGTGTTTTGAATTTATTTTTGCTGCAATCTCAGAACCCATCAGCTATAGGTGTGGAGACGATAAAGGCTCTGGGGGCAACGGCCAATATTTCGAGGTACGGCCTTGGAATACCTGGCATGGTTGGCATGGCTGGCATGGTTGGCATCATGGGAGTTGCACCAAAGCTGGGCATTGCAGGGTTTACTGGCATTCCTGAGCAGAGGCAACAGAGTAAAGATTAGAAACTGAACAATAGTCTCTTTTTCTGCCAACTGATATGAAAAGGATTCAAGGCTTAAGGATATTAACAGGACACAAAAAGTTTTATTCCTTGTGACACAAATGAACTTCCTCACTCACCCATAGGATAGCTTGGCATTGTCATGGGCATACCTGAAAAACAGAATGATCAGTTGTTACTACAACTTACAGAGACTGAATTACTTCATTCAAAAATGAGATAAAAAAGGTCAGAATCCTTAAACAAAAAGAGGTTGTTTTTTTATTAGAACAGTAGCAGCAACCAGCTGTTACTTTATACTTCTTAATGTTATTCCTAATCCTAATACTTTGTAGCAATGCTAATTTGTGGTTCTTGGTTGTAAACTGCATAACTGCTTTTCTAAATTGGCATTTATTAAGTCAAGGTTTCTGCAGGGTTTCCCAAATTAAAGTTATGATGTTTTAAGAGCTGTTTAATACCACATAGAATGATCAGAATTTCATACCTGTTCCACAATCATACTGACCAAAGTATGAAAGTATTATAAAAACCAGTAGGAACAATATGGCCTAGAATTATTCATTATCATATTACATTTACAGTACTTCCCATGAATAATTAAATCAATGCGACCTTGCAAAGTAGATGGATTAAAGTTATACGTTTTTAAGTTCATTTAGGTCTGTTTCGTTAAAATCAGCACTTACCCAATACAAGGCAATGAGCTTCCTGGCTACTGTAGCTAGCAGTAGTGATAGTGTTTGCTACAGGTCTGATGGCTCTGGCTGAAACTCCCCCCTGCTCCTCTGAGCAATCTACTGTTACAACAATCTGTCTTTCACACCTCCTGACAGACATCAAAACATTGTATAACCAACATAACTGCCCACATCAGGCAGGAGAGGATGTAAGACTTTTGTAAATTAAAGTGAAGACTTGTTAATGGCGTCTGGTGCCTTTTTTGTGGAAACTAAGGCTTTTTAAGAATTTTTCAAATCTAGATACCCTGTTTTACTACTGCTACTTCTGTCTATTCTGTATACACAACACCCATTGTATGTCTGTCTGGTCTGAAATTGGGAATATGCATAACTTTTAATATGGAGTGATGTTATGGCCTTAGTTTTTAAATTTTAATCACTGCTTTTTACCTTATTTTCATCTCTAGGTTTTATCTTATTTTATTTTATAGACTTTTATTTATTGATTTTCAATATGTTATTGTCATTGTTACTCTTTGAAATGGTATTTATTTATTTTTAATTTTATGTTTTGATTTGATTTTATCAGTTTTGCTATGTGAAACACTTTGGGCCACATGGTTGCATGAAATGTAGCCTACTACATAAATAAATTTGCTTTTCCTAATTTCTCAAACAATAATTTATGTGCTTGAACATTTCAAGCACATAAATTATTGTTATATTGTTATATTATTATTATTATATTTTTTTTCTGTGCTCAGATTCCCATCATATGCTAACAAATGGGACACAAATAGACTTCTATCGACCTCACTAATTCAAAATTCTGAGTCCTTACTGACAAAACAGTTATACCTCTACAACTATACCAACAGCTGTAATGTAGTTTATTTCTTAAATATAATGCAAGTCAGGTTTTTTATTTTATTTTATTTTGATATAGACTGTTTCAGATTAATGAATGGCGGTTTATGAATGTTTTATAATGCATTGTACAGTACACTAAGGCACAGATCACGCAGGAAGCGTTATTGCAGCTGGAGGCAGCTTTTTCTAACAAGAATGAAGCATTTTGCTCGTTGTTTTTGTTCTGCTACGCACCACAGGTTTCTGCACTCTAGGTGCCTGGCATTTTTGCCGGAGTGCTCTGAGCTCCTCAAGTTGAAAAACTTCAACTCAGAATGGAAAAGCGCGCCACATAATCTCCACTTTATGGATGATTTGAAAGGCCTTCTGTGGTGGTCATGACAACAAGTTTACAGTTGGCAAACAATGGAGGCGAAACTGCTCAATCACTCAGCAGGACTAATGGACTCCCTGCAGTTAGTATTCATTTTTTGTTATGCTAGGCCTGACGATAGACAGTCATCTTAAAATAAGCCTGGAAACGGTCATCATCAAGGCGAGGCTCCTGGACCACCTGGCAGTACTCCCTGTGATCCACCCTCTTTTTTAGGGTGTAATGTACCCACACAGATCTCTGTTCCCCTGTACCCAACAAACTATTTGCTGACAGCCTCTCACCCTTAACCAGAGCTAGAACAAGTACCCTCAAGTAGCCACTAATTACTGTGAAATAAATAAAATAAATAAAGAAGTAGATAAAAGTAGATTAATGACATGGGAAGGTTAGGGTAAAGAGGTGATGGGGTGGTTGCCTAGCAATGATAAAAAGGTGCAGCAAGCGTTTTTCTACTAGTGGCATTAAATGTAAACAAACAAAAAGAAAAGGCAGTGCAAACTGCAAAACACTTTCTGTGTGATCAGGACCTAGGTGATTTTAATCTACATGGTGTGGACTGTATGGTGGAAATCTAGTTGTCCTACCAGTTCCATACATGGGTCCAATCCCTCCTCCTCCTTTCATCCTGCTGTTTAGCATGGCTACTCTTTCCATGTCCTACACACACACACACACACACAGCAAGAAACACAACCCAGTGACACACGCAGTAATAGGATACAACCAGAGATAGACAATCCAGCAGAGAGCAATGAGCATGCTCAATCTGTCCTGTGCTATAAAACTTTAACACTTTACATGGACAGACAAATATAGCCTTGACATTTCTTAAGATTACGGTGTAAGTAATAAAATATATCTGATGACATCACTGACCGGAGGTCCTTGGTCCAGTACAGGGTCAAACAAGTCATCAACATATGCATCGATCTGTCGACCACGGCCTGCAAACAGGTGGAGAAGAGAGATGAGAACATGTAGTATATAAGGCTGTAGCTGGGCATGATCAGAACTGCTCCTCAGGGTCCTGTGACAAAAAAATAAAACATACTACTGTGTGTACAAATTAAATAGACATATTATATTGAAAATATGCACTGCATGAACACACTATAAACTTCACAATGAAAAGGTATTAAATTAGTTTTTGATACATTAGCATAATGATCAGTCTGAATAGTCATTTTCAGTTTATTGATTCAGCCTGACATCATGTTCATGTTAACCAATTTCTGACACTCATCATTGTATCAGGCAGCTGCTCTCAGCAAACACACTCTGATTAACACACAGAACTCTATTGTACCTGTCCAGCACTAAATGGCACACAGGTAAAGTTAGCACCTAGCTAGTGTTCATCGTGGATGAGCAGCTAAGAAGCCAGATATTTTCCTCAGATGAGTACAAACTGGACTTCTATTTGCAGCTGTGACGACCTCATTTACACTTGCCATTTCTCTGATGCCATTTTTCATGGATGTAGCTAGGAAGCTAGCTATGTAGCTAAGATAATATACTCATTTGTAATTCCATAATTCAGACTGTTCAGCCAGCTGAAAAAGCCAACAATGTGCACGATACCAGACCTGTTTGAATTGCTGAACAACTGGTCTGGAAAAATGTTAGACTGAGCCTCAGGATTAAATTATAATGACCCCAGTAAAAAACCCTTGTCATTTGAGTTGTTTTTTAATCTAGTGGTATATATTGTCAAACACTTTTACAATGCATCAAATTACCATAAAGCAAACATATTTTAAGCCTGTGGCCTTCAGGTCACTCTGAGGGTCCAGGACAGTGATACTCAACTTAGGACCTGCATGCCAAATCTGACCCATAATAGGGTGCCTGGTGGCCCACACACAGTTCTGTAATTCACAATGAAAATAAATTCACACTCGAATTTTTATGTAATTTGAATGTAAATAATGTTCCAGAGTGCATAAAAAATAGAGCCTGGTTATTAAAAAAAAGTGCCAGTGGAGGATCCCCCAGACCCCCGACAGAGGTACGGGCTAATCCTAGAAAAGCCCCAGTGTGCACCTGAGCTGTGCTGGGTGGCTGTGACTGGATTTTTGGTTTGGCAAAGATGAGCGAGGACAGCAAACATCAAAACGATGAAAGGTTGCAATTAATTTATAATATATATTAACAAATATTATTACATTGGTTTATTAACTGGCCCCTGACCTCTTATCATTTTGCAAAAGTGGCCCCTGGGAAAAGCAAGTTAAGAATCCCTAGTGTAGGACCTGTTGGTGCAGTTATCTGCTTTGCCCAGTTAGTAATTGAGCCTTGAGCTTGGACAATGCAAAGTCACTTGATTACATTTGTGCCTGAGTTCAAAACATTTGCAGTTACATGATCCTGAAGGTCAGCGGTGTGTGCACAGTCACTTGCAACACAATCGAGTAAAAGTAAATCCAGAGTCACTGATAGACCAAGAGAGCCAGAATGAAAGAATGAAAGAGGTGAAAGTTTTGCTGTTAATAGTCTGTTAGTTTGGAAGATAAGGATGTGTGTAGGAAGAGATCAGGGGATCAGTGCTGACTTCAGGCATGTGTGGGACAAATCTGATTCATCGTTTGCCATTGGTAACAAACACCAGAGAGATCCCAGCAGAGCAGTAGAGTCTATGGGGTTCAATATGATTCAAACACCTAGTTTGTACTATGTTATCTGAACACCTCTAAAGGCAGAAGAACAGACTCTGTTTGATGATCCAGTAAGCATTTTATCTGAAGCACACTGATGCCTTAACGTTTCACACCCACCTTCCTGTGGATAAGCTCTTCCCCAGGGGTTTCCCTCAAAAGGAGGCAGCCCAGGAGCTTGCATGGGAGGTGCTGGTGGAATGAAGTCATCCAGATCTGTAAATGGCATCCTGGGGGNGAGAGAGAGAGAGAGAGAGAGAGAGAGAGAGAGAGAGAGAGAGAGAGAGAGAGAGAGGCACAAATGTGCTCATTGTGTAAACAAATTCTTTAAACCAATCCTGGATTGGCCCCTAAAAGCACCCTCTTGTTCCGTGCTCTACCTGTCTCCCTGGCTGCCGAACAGGTAGTCAGAGTTTGTAGAGGAGGGGGTCCCTGGTGGTGGCAGCACTTCAGCTTCAGCTCCAGCCAGAAGATCCATGACAAAGTCCGAGCCAGCCAGATCTGACCAGCCGTCATCGGTCAGGAGAGACACCGACCAGCCCTGCACAGCCTCTGACACACCTCTATGACATAGCAGCGCACAGGAGAGGAGTGAAAACCACCACATGTGTAAGGATGGACATGTAGAGACATTAACAAGGAAATGGAGGTAAATATATGCATGTTCAGAAGTACCTGAAATGAAGAAGCCATGAGGCCAGCTGCTCTCCTGTGGTCCATGACTCCACTTCAGTTGTCAGCTTCTCATCTGAAAAAAAATTAGTAAGAAATTAATCAATAACAGCAGATACTTTTACACTGCTGGTGTTGCCAATCACAAGATTCACTCAGTTTGTTGCTGTGTTTCTAAAGCGTCAGTCAGTCTCACCGTTGAAGGTGTGTACGTCCAGCAGCATGGTGCCCTTTCTCTGGTTGCTGGTCCATTCCAGCTGGGTGGGGGGGTAGATGCGGGCAGTGGGCGCTGGGAGCTGCAGAGATGTCAGCAGTTTATGTTGGCACAGTGAGCGGTATTCCCCTGGACCTTGGTCAGACACATACCTGCACAGGAAGCACTGGAGACTGAGTCACGTCAGACAGATAAAGTGGTTTTAAAGTGGTTTTAAGGCAGAATGTAGTAAAAAAAAAAAAGAAAAGATAATGGCTGAATTTTCATTTTTTGATGCACGTTCCCTTTAATGTCAGACAGTGATTTCAAACTAGAAATGAAGCTTTTACATTGCTCTCTTTAAAGCCAGACTCCATCGAGAAAAATAGCACTTAACATGGCTGAATATGGGAGTTATGGGTCTACCGCTGCCTCAAACATTATTTTGTTTGTGTTATTGTATGACTTTGCCGCTCGAAAGGGTAAGATCAGATTTACTAATGTCACACAATAACACAAACTAACCATGTGATTGAGGCAGTGGTAGATCAGCAGTTCCCTTGGAGTCTGGCGACTTTGATGAGAGCTTAGATGGGGAACTCAGGCTGCCAGTGGCTTCCCTGTCAGAATGGGCTGTCTGACTCTCAATGTAGTGTACACTTAAACAAGGTACTAGGTAATACTCCTGCCTGCTTCTCTAAACTGTAGGTGTGCCATCTGACATGTACTGTAGGTAATAAACTGACCATCAATAAACACCTCATACAACCGTATTTCAAAAATTCCTAAATATCCCTCTAATAATATCTCAAAACAGTACAGTCAAGTTTGCTTAATTGTATTTCAGTCTGTCATTAACAACAATGATATATCATTAGTATATTAGGTACATTATTAGCACACTTTTAGTACATTATTCATGTACTGTACACATGGAAGTATACTAAGTATACTTAAATTAAGTGTACTTCAGTACACCTGTTCTTTTACCTGGGTATTCAAAGCTGCATCAATTTGTCTTTCATCACTTTAGGACCACAACAAGCAAACCCACTGCCTGTTTACAAATCAGATATGGAGCAATATTAGCAATCACTGGTGCCATATTTCTGGCAACCTGACGAAGTCAAATATTTTCTCTCCTTCAAATGTTGTTTTGGGTCTCCATCAATTCCTGAGAAAAATATCTGGCTGTTTAGCTGCTAAATGCTCCACAGTGTTCATGAGCAAGTTACTGGCTTTGTCTGTCTGTTGCTTGGTGCTGGGCAGGTCATGTACAGTGGGTCTGTCAGAGCTTTTGCAAAAAGCAAAACCATAGAACTTTCCACTTATGTGGCTGAACTATTTCACCCTTATTCATCAGCTCACTCTCTTTGGTGAAATACGCTAAATTTGCTGTCCGTCTAACGCCCCCGCCTTAAGACCTGTGGTGCTTGAGCTTTTGAGGCTGTATCACCTAAACTGTGTTCTGCCCACAGCCTTACAGTCTGCTGATTCTGTGATTTCTTTAAAAGGCTGCTAATGACGTACTTGTTTAGACAGGCATTTGGGTAACCTTTATGTCTATATTTTGTATTCTTACTGTGCATTGTCTGTTTTTTTTCTGCATTATGTATTGCATTTTTAGTTTTGCATTTGTAATGTACTACAGATTGACTTCAAACCATTATGATTTAGGTTAGTCTATACAGGTGCACAGTATATCCTCCACCTACTCCTGTTGGTATAAGCAGACTAACCAAAGCATATCACCTACTTGAGTAGGGGTTTGTCCAGTGTTGGTGAGGGGGTGAATGCACTGAGGCAGCAGGCCAGCAGGAGCCAGCCCCTCAGACTGTGCTGCTCCTCCTGCAGGCCCCATGTGTGATAAACCAGCTGGGCAAGGATCTCGTCCCTCAAAGCCGGGCGGCTCTGACCCCTCTCCACTATGTAGTTACCCAGCATCTGCTCCTGCCAGCCGCTGAGGTCTGACTCACCTGTAAACCGCATGATCTGAGGAGAAAAGAATTGAAAATCATAAACGTACAGATGAAAATAAAAGTGATGGAATGCAATTGATTGAAGAATCTAATCTAATCGCTCCCATATATACCAATTTGTAAATCTCTAGGGCAGTTCTGGCATCTTCAGGCTCCAGAGGGGTGAGGGATCTCTGGAGGGGGTATACCTGAGGCTGGCACCATGTGTCCTGAGGACGACACAACATGAGGAAACTCACAAAGACAGGAAATATAATCCATCTTCCTTCATCCATTCAGTTCTGTTAGATGTCTATGAGTATTGTAGAGAATAATGCACCTTTTCAAGGTGCTGTCACACAGTGAAGTGGATGTGTTGTCTAGTGAAATCGGTTATCTGCGAGACTGCAACTAGACTCTTCCCAAAATGACCTGCGGACAGAAGGGTAAGTCCTGGCCCATATATCCGCTGGCTACACCACATTTTTCCCAAGGATGTCAAAGGCATTACCCCTCCAACTATCACTCTGATTGGCTAGAGCTATCGACTGGGTCAGTTAGGTGAGGCATGAGGACTGAGATTGATGAGGGTTAAGGTGAGATTGTCAGGGTAAGCCAGTGAGGAAGAGTAGTGTCATGCCTTCGCCATCCTGAAATTTTTTATTGCCAAATTCCCAAAATATCGGTCATTACCCCTAGACGCTCATTATTGTCAGACTGATAGCTGATGGGTTTTGCAGTTGATTTTCTGTTAACATATAGTTGATATAGTTGACAAAAAGGTAATGATATGTCAGTGTTGTGTTTATAGCTTGTTGTACTGCCCTTAAGTGGCCAGATCAGTAATGCTGGTTTAAGAGCAGCTACATAATCCTTTGATGGAAAAATTCTGTTGCTTTAAGCAAAGGTGTTTTTCATCAGCCAGCCTCTTTTGCAGTTGGTAATTTCCTTTGCTTCCTTTAGAACTTCACCTGAGACAGGTGTGTAAGTTAAGTGCAGACATCTTTCCATACCATTGTCTCATTTACATTTACATTCACTGAAGTGACATGCTTACACATTGCACTAGCATGAGGCTTCTGGACCACGGGTTGACCGAGGACACATTTATGTCTTTGGTGTCTGTGTTCTGATCTAGTTCAACTTCATTTACAGTGGAAACAGACAACTTCTTAACTGATTGCTACCAGTGAAAACAAAAGCGCTATCCTCTCCCTGTTTTAGTTGCGCAATGTCTGACGCACTTCCTTTGTGCCATAAATGGAGCCTACATTTTTCCAAGACATTGTACCCAAGTGGCAGGATTACATGTGAAAGCGAGGCTTATAGGGAACCAATCTAAACTCTGACGGTGTCATTACTCTATAGTCATCACACTGTGCAATCAATATTTACTTCATAATCAGATATGCAAAAAACCTGCCTATTTCCACTTTAACAAGACAACATGCCCAACTGCAGACCACAAGGTCAGTTTCTTAAAAAGTCTGGATTGTAAAATTGGACATGTTTTTGCAGTGCGTGGGCAGCCATATTAAGTGTGAGGTGCAACAGGATATACAGTGTAATAAACCAGGACTAGACTATAAATATGTGCATGTGTGCGCCCAACCTTGCTCACCTTTAAGATGGACTTGGCATAGCGAGAGAATGGGTATCTGTCGATATCCTGAGGCAGGGTGAGCTTGTGTTCTGCTTTCACCTGTGGAGGTGCCACATCTGTGACCCCTGACCCATGCTGCTGCCCTGGTGGACAGAGACGGAGCAACAATCACAAACTGGCAAAACACAATGGCAGCAGAGTGGCATGTGCGCGGACTTAAATTAAGCTGACCTGCTGCACTGCGGAGTCTGGCTGACAGTTCAGCAGGGATCTCCAACATTCCCACATCCTGATAGGAAAACAACATGAAACAAACATCACCACTGGAGAAACCAGACAGTTGGTTCATCTGGGGCTGATTTCTCGATTTTCTGTGGTACAGGATTAGATGTTATTCCCTTACCATTGCTGGAGAGACAGACTTAGTCTTTGTCACTGCCTTCACTTTGTTCTTCTCGTGAAATTCCTGAAATTGACACACACATACGCTGCCAGTTAGTCAATCATTCTGCTTGTCACACTGTGACCTGCATTATTTGATCTCATAATCTTTCAGTCTTATTAGCACTTGATTTTCACCTGCAGCGTGTTACTGATTTACTGAGTAATCCTCATATTATCCATGTACATTAAACACACTCAACACTCCTCATCTCTGCCTGAGCAGTGTGTTCAGTCAGACCTATTCTTAGATACACGGTCTGTTATATACTCCTGGAACACCCACAGCCCTGTTGCCCCGCCTCATACAACAGGACACACAGTTCCAAGAGTCCAGAAAGTTTATTTTTTATCAGGAGGTTTACAGCCTACAGAGAGGAGTCACCTCAATACAGCAGGGCAGCATCACTCACTTATGATTATGATCAAAACCCTCCCATGCACCTCTGTCCTTCCAACTATTTATTTGTATTCCATGACCAGTCATTTATTGTGCTGTTGATCTGAACTGCAAACGTGAAGTTTACAGCTCACATTAAACATGGGCGTGCGCATGTATTCATGCAACAAATACTCCTCCTTTATCACAGCCTTACTTGAACAATCACACTTAAATCAACTCAAATAACACAAGCAGCCCAACCCTGCTCTACCTCCACATGGGAGGATTTACAATGACTGACCCTTCCAAACCAAACAAGTACGTCACAAATCATAACCAATCAAAACGCACCCTCCGGCTCACTGGCTCACTACAACCTGACTCCTGACTCTATTTTACTAGATTAATCATTTCTCAATAAATTCTGAGTATTGGCTTCACAGGCCTATATGCTATATATTTTTGTTCAATATCTTTTGTTTGTTTTATTACTGTTGTTTCCTGGAAGTAATAAGTTGTGTTATAAAACGATTTGTTTTACGATAGTATCTGAGGGCAGATGTTTTTACTCAGTACATTTAAAGGAACAGTTCATTCCCTGAGTCAAAAATAAATTTTCTTCCTCTTACCTGTCGTGCTATTTATCAGTCTAGATTGTTTCGGTGTGAGTTGCTGAGTTTTGGAGATATCGGCTGTAGAGATGTCTGCCATCTCTCCAATATAATGGAACTAGATGGCAGCTTGTGGTGCCCAAAGTGCTAAACTAATACATACCAACAACCATCGAATTTCACCTGGGAGGCCGGTGTTCACTTCCCATAAGATTGTGAAGCCAAACCCTGTTTTTTTCTCTTAAAAAATGTCAATTAACAGTGTTATACCAATGCAGTGCATTTATTTTGAAAGAGCCTAGCAAACTGTACACAAGTGTATTTTGAAAACAGATAAGGCATGTAACAGACTGAAGAATGAATCCTCTGACTCTGGTGATCCCCTGACTTTTCATCTGCTATGAAAAGTCTAATGAGCAACTAAATTCTTTCAAGGGTACTGCAGAGATTTAGTATTGCACATAAAGTTTGGGGACTCAACCATGATATCATCACTATGACATCATCAAGATTATTTAAACTTTTATTTAACTTTTAAAGCTCCTCCAAAGCCTTTAATGATTCATTTAACCCAAGTAAATATTTATTTAAAATTGCTCTACATATTCATATTGCCTGTCTGTTATATCAATGCGTTCTTACCCCCAATTTGACAAATTTGCTAGCTTGGTCAGTGGCCCTTTGCCTCAAACTATAATGTTCTAGGTACCCTCTAGTCTCAGTTTTGGATGCCCGGGGACAGTGCGTCAAGTTCCGCTCGTAACATGATACTGTGTCTTTCAATATAAACTTCCTTATTCACAGGAAATGTAGGTTTCACCACCAAAACCACTTTAGGTTTAGGCAATAAAACTACTTGATTAGGTTTAAAAAAAAAGGTGAAAGTCTTGTTTGTTTGACCTGTTCACCACCCTGACCTCCCACCATTCTCAGACATTCACACACTTTCTGCTGCGTGGGAGTTAGTTGAAAGCCTGTTGCATCTCTTACAGACATTTAAGGGTGCCTTGTGCATCAGTATCAGAAGCTAAGGGGCACTGACCAAGATGCTGTATATGACGCCCTGGGAATGAGAACCAACTGAACACTGTCTCCAGTTCCCCAGTGATTACAAACACATAATCATACAGGAAGCTTCCTAAGAATTAACGGCTACGTATCAGTTCCTCTCTATGGTCGGGGAAAAGGCCTCTAAAGCTTAAAAAAAAATAGGAGCATACATCTATAGACACTGAGTGGAATTAGACTAAAATGATAATTCAACTCACAGACGCGATACGAGTCTCAGAATCAGTTCTTCTATAAATATGTAAATAGTCAAACTGCATCATTTATATTAAACCTGAGATAGATGACGCAAACTAACTGGTGTTGTCTTTAGCCCTAAATCTATCTGTCAAAGTCCAAATCTTGTTTTTTGACTTACACTTACTATTCTAAGGTACAGCTTATGATGAGTCCAACAAGGCTAAACAAGCTGACATAGACAGTCTGTCAGCAGGAGCCTGGCAGCTCCACTGTTCATAGTCCAAGCCTTATAAAACAATAACACCAAATAGATTTATACTACGATACAGCTGAAGCAGAAGGAGTACCAAGAAGAACAAAATTGTCAGTTTAGTTTACAGCTGAGGCAAGAAAAGAAAACAGAGATGAAACACAGGGAGCCCTGGCTGAAAGAAGAAGTGTCTCTCAACTGTTTAGAAACCTGATACAGACAAACAGTCCTATCTTACACTGTATTCTTGGCACTAACTATTTTTTAGATAAAATGAACGTTAAAGCTGAAGACATTTCTGCATCTGCTCTGATGCAGAGGGTAAAAAGAAAGGCAGCCTACCTGTTAGAGCTGTGGAGCTGGAAGTCAGATAGACAGGTTTCAGAAGGCGGAAGGAGAGATGCAGCGCTGCTTCAAATTTCACTCAGAGGGGTTGAAGTCCAAGACAGGAGTGTGGCTGAGGGTGTGTGTGTGTGTGTGTGTGTGTGTGTGTGTGTGAGTGTGTGTGTGTCCAAGTGACATGATTAATGCAAGATAAGAAGGCTAGTTAAAGGAAAGGGATGAGGTTTTTTAAAGGAAATTATTGCCAGTGCTGAATTATGTACGACAATAAACACACGCCCAGTAGATTATACAGGACAGTCATCAGTCATACATTTACTCTACTTTCATTTTTCACTTGTGTTTTTTTACCCTCACACAAATGAAAATACTTTAGGGAAAAGTCCTGACCTTGAGTTCCGTTGGTAATTTAGTTGGAAATCTCTCTTAAATTAAAGACAATCCAAATAAAGAAAAAATAACAACACTGATATGTAAAGTGCTAAGTAGTGAATCCAACACTGACACTCCTCATAGCTCTGTTTTGGTCTCTACCAACTCTTGAGAAAAATATCTGCACAAAGCACCTTAAGTTTGCTCCTTAAGTATGACACTTAAGGCTTACATGAAATACCTCGCCAATAACTGACTGGAAAAATTCGGTTGCATAAAACCGCAGAGCAGTCATTGATTGTAACAGGGCTGGTAGAGCACAGCTTTGGAAAGGTGAGTGATTCAGCCCCAGACGGTCTCAATCATAACAGACTTCTGGTAATATTTAAAGTGCAAAATCAGTTGCTCAACATTAAGCGTGTCCACCGGGTTCTCCCAGTCATGGAACACTCTTCTTAGGATTCCTTAATTTTTCTCATTTATCTCCGTAATCTCAACCATGTTGTGGTTAAGATGGAATCAGAGGTGCTTTATAAATTTGTCCTTACTTTGTTTACTAAGGTTCTTAGTGCAACCGTTAAACAAACTTTAAGTAATTCCTTAAGTATAAGACCAAGATGAGGAGAAAAACGTATATCCTTAGGTAAAAAGTTTAAGGAAACCTTAAGGAGAAGACTTAAAAAAATTTAAGGAAAATCTTATCTTAACATGCTTTGTGCAACCGGCCCTTGTGTCATTAGCTGCTAAGTGCTCCACTATGTCCTCCAGCTCATCTCCAACTGTGTCTGTCTGATGTTTGGTGCTGAGCAAGTCGTGTACTGTGGGTTTATCAAAGCTTTTTATATTCAAAACAGCTGCCTGCTGCTGGTGGGAAGGACAGTGCTGAATGTCAAAGAGACTGCAATGCTCCATTGAGTTTAACTGCAGAGTTAAGGCTTTTACACAACAGGGGTGTAATTAGGACTTCACAATAACTACTTTGGTTAGACGATGAATTATCCTAGAAATAATTGTGATAAATGATATTGTTGTCAGTTTAAACCATTTAATTCCACTGATATGTATACTATAATAGCATAATGTATAATAATGTATAATGTGCACAATGTCATGTCAGGTGACCTACCAAAAACTTGATTCATGGGTAATATTTAGCTTTAATTTTCTTGTTGAGTTCTGGGTGTAAAAAAGGACATTCAGCTTGGATTGTTTGTTCTGGTTGATAAATATATCAAAATAAAATGAAAATAATAATCATTTAATTTGATGTCTTGTTATTTCAATCCCTTGACTGCTGACTTTGTGTGTTGGTTCTGCCTTCTGCACCAGCTGGAATATGAGAGTCGCTTCAATCAAGTACGTTACTAACAGGCACGCTATCTGTGGAGATGTGCTGCACAGTATTATGAGAATAAGCAAAAAATATTAATTTAAATTGTCTGTCCTAAATTACTTTAATTTTTAACTATAATATCTTAGTTCCACATGTATGAAATGTCTCAAATGATCACTTTAAACGTGCTGCCCAACTGAATTATTTGAACAGCATGTCGTTATTATAGAATTTGTTGTTTTGGGGCGGGTCACAGATCTTGCATTGGCAGGTAGAGCTGGGTTGCTGAACTAATTTGTTGTATGTGCAGATGATGGGCAGCTGTGGTACTGCACGTCACAGTTCCAGTTTGGGAGCAAATCTTGAAAATTAGACCCATGCAGGACTCTGAAGTACATCCTTTCAAACAGAAATTTAATTCTCAAGAATATTCAGACATTGAAAATGGAATATGAAAAAATATTTAACATTTTATTAAAAAGTAATTAAAACCTGTTAATATATACAAGAGAGTATATGTAAAATCATATATCCATAATAAGAGTAGCCCAAAATGACTCAGTTTGAGACTTAATACAAAATTTGGCCAACAAAAACAAAACCAAGTAGTGCCTCTTTTGAATAGACAAGCTTAGCAAAGCTGCAGGAACACCACATAAATCGATAACATAATTATCCTAACAGGTGTAGATGTTACAAATAAACTACACAAAAATGCAAAATACTACCATGTAAATATTTTGAATCAAAACTATTCATACAGGCAGCAATGCATATTTGTGACAGTGTTCAATAAAAGGTTTTGATGCGAATAGATTCACAAGCAGCTACATGAAAATTGAAAGGAATAACAAAGTTTGTCTTGTCGTCTTGGTTCAGACTATGAGCCTCTGTGTTATTGTTTTGTAGTCCTCATAAGTATAGGGGCAACGTAGGGGCGTAAATATAGATAGTGCAGGTAGTGCAGTTGCACTGGGGCTCATGAGGTGGGGGGGCCCATAGAGGGAGTGGGCCATCCAACAATGTGTTGGGTGGGGAATAGGTCCTTATGAATGATTGCCACCTTGGAAATATGCCTGTTTCCAAAGAAGAACTCTCATTAAATTAAAAATAGTGCCATATGCTATATACGCTGTGCATGATATGTGCACAATAGTGTGCACTATTGGGCACGTCATAAAAGTGCGCACTGGGGCCTGTCGTAATTACCTTACGCCCCTGGGGCAACGTGATTGGTTGATGCATTTATTAGCGGTATGAAAGCTCAGAAAATTAAGTTTGTTTAAAAAAAAAAAACGCCCTTGATGTGTTCAGGCGAGTTTTTGAGTTTGTCGCTACAAGGGGTTTCTTTCACATTACACATTGTCACTTGATTCATTCTTTATGTAAATAAAATTTAGATTACTTAAAATACCATGTTTTTAATGTTTCGAGCACCACAAATTCAGTCACATCCATTATGTTGGGTTGGTAGATACAACTAGAGATACTGTAACAAGGTAAAAGATATTTTTTAAATACAATTTGGCTGAAGAAACTAATAGCACTCTACATAAAAGGGTAAAAGTGCCAATAATTGGAATTGTGTATAAAGACCATTCACACAATGGCTAGAGTCATTTGAGAGGAAATGAAAAAGAAAGAAATCCTAGTAAAAAAAAAAAAAAAACCTACACTTTGACCCCAAACATGGCTGTCAGGGCATTATCACTGAGAGAGTGTGGACACATTTCTCCTATTACATGCTCTCATGGTGTAGTGTTAAGCTGCTGGTGTTGTGTAAGAGGCATTACGAGCAGAGATTTATAGCACAACAAAGTGAGCAAACAGAAGGTTGCCAAGAAACACAGCCAATGACTCTGCAGCGGGGATCTCTCTCTCTCTCTCTCTCTCTCTCTCTCTCTCTCTCTCTTTCTCTCTCTCTCTCTCCCTCTCTCATATCTACCTTCCTCCAGTGGCGTCTCTTGATGGTGTCCCTGGTTATCATCATCACCGCCCAGAACTGAGTGAAGGACTGCCTCAGACGCTTGTAGTACTTCCTAGCAAAGACAGAGGGCAGCAACACACAAACACATAGTGCTTCATGTTAGTATATAACTGTCTGACCTCATTTCGGCCTGCAAGTGAAACCTTACTCCCTTTTTCATGTGAGTTAACTGGGTATGACAACACGTGGAGACTCTGTGTAGCATCCAGAGCCAACATTTGTATGTGGGGCCCATGTGGGTAGTAAATAGATTGAAAAATTGTCCCTATATAGGACTGTCCACAGGTTTCATATTGGCCCAATGACCCCATGCCCATTGCCCACATGGGTGGGTTTGCCCAAACGGGCCCCACATGGGTTACACTAGGGTTACTTGGGTACCAAGTGGGTATAGGCCCAAAATGGACATCTTATCTGGGGCCAACTTGGGAAATCCCACTCATGTGGACAGTTGGTATGGAGCCAATATGGAACCTGTGGACAATCCCATATAGGGCCAGTTTTTCAGCCTATTTACTATTCACATGGGCCCCACACACAAATGTTGGCTTGGAGGCAACATAGTAGAGTTACTGAGGTATTGTACTTGAGTAAAGTTTTAAGGAATGGTGCTTTATTGGAATTTTCCATTCCTTCAGATGCTCTTCAGCTTGTACTCCAGTTATAATGGACTTAGCCTTACATTTTAACATCCACTTTAAAGGGACAGTTCACCTCAAAATCAAAAATACATATTTTTCCTCTTACCTGTAGTCCTGTTTATCAGTCTAGATTGTTTTGGTGTGAGTTGCAGAGTGTTGGACATATTGGCTGTAGAGATGTCAATGTAATGGAACTAGATGTGGACATCTCACACTGTCATGAGCACGAGACTCTTGTCCATGAGTAGATGCACACTTCCTTCTGCGCAGTTGGAAGATCTAGTTTGGTAGAAAGAAAATAGTTCCTACATGAAACTTCTCACAACAAGGTCTGTGGATTATCTTGAGTAGCCAGGGCATGAGTTCTGGAAAGAGACATTGCTGGTGAGTTTTTCAAGTGTTTTTTTTTTTGTTTGTTTGTTTTTTCGGCACATTGAGTTTCACAAGTCAAGAAGGCAGACATCTCTACAGCCGATATCTTCAACACTCGGCAGCTTGTACACCAAAACAATCAATACTGATAAAAAGCATTACTGGTAAGAGAAAAATATGTAGGTTTGATGTTTGGGATGAATTATCCCTTTAAGACAAAAATAAAATGAGCCTATCATCTTAAAACAAAGCAACACTCAAAGGACGTGGTTTACATCTGTCAGATACCTGGGCCGATGTGATCTTTGCACTGGTTCCCTGTGTGTCAAAGACTTGATTAAAAAAACTTCTTCCAGTATTTGAAGCACTGAATTAATGAGGGCCAAAATACATTTCTAATCTGCTGTGTTCTGAGCCATCCAGACCACTCAGATCATCTGGGACAAGTCTGCTTACTGTCCCCAGAGTCCAAACCAAACATGAAGAAGCAGCGTACAGTTTCTATACACCACATATCTGGGACACATTTCACCATATTTGGAACATGCAAGAACCATTTGCAACATGAGAGCATTTCCCTGTTCAAGTGGAAAAGGACAAGCATTTCCAAGTGGTATTATTGTTGGAGCCACTGTCGCGAAGAAAAATCACTTTCTGTTTTCCTCAGAGCCCAGCAACTACCAACAACACAGGACACATTGCATTTTGTTTTCCACAATTACTTTGGTTGTTCCACCGTTAACCGTGTCCACCACTGGTGACAGCAACTGGAAAAAACTTACACTGATACTCTTTGGTAAGTGGGGATAGGTACTGATAGCTACTGGGGGAAAAAAAGTGCTGTCCTCTCCCTGCTTTGGTTGTGCAAAAGATGACGCACTTCATGTGTGCCGTAATGGAGCATTCAATTTCTCCAACAGTGGTAAACTGAATTGCTTGGTGAAAGGGAGATGTGTAGGGAACCAATCTAAATGACGATGTTGTCATTATTCTACAGCCATTACACTATGGTATCAACACTTACTTTGTAATGATGAGTGAAAGGAAAAGAATGTCCAAATTTGAGTTTCAGTGACCCAAAAAAAAAAAAGTCCCAGTTGCAAACCATGCGTGATCATGCAAGAACCCTGTAGAACTCATAAAGTTATATGTGACTTGCAGGCAGCAACCATGTCACATCATGTGACACTGCCACCATTTGTGATCCACATCAACAAATAGCTTATGTGAATCTGACAATATCATCCCCATGCTGGAGAGCCCCCATTTTAGACATGCGCATACATGAGCTTGAGAGGGTGGAGTATCCTTTTTTTTTGTGGCCCATCAGAGGCCCACAATCCCCTGTCAGTCAAAAACGTATCAGTTTTTAATTCAGCCAATCACTTCACAGTAGTGGGAGTAGTCAATATTTCAATTAGCTAGCTATCGTAGTGTTAGCTAGCGTCTGCATATCAACTTCCCGATCATAACAGAATATAGTAACTTCAACTTAAAGAGACAGTGAATCATAGTTGTTCGAGAGAGAGAAGAGAGAGAAAGCTCTTGTAGCTAAGTTAGCTGTAAAGTTGTTTATCTTCACTTGTTGATTAAAAAAATGTTGCTGTCAGTTGGTTAATGCTAGAATGGATGGTCCAGAGGAACGAGTCCACCTGTCCAGAGGTTAGGGGTATGAAACCCCAGGAAAAACGATGACAAAATCCACAGCCCCATGCCCAGGGGTCCCGCCCTCCCTCTGGTTCCTCTAGCGGAGGAGCAGAACACAGCCTGGGTCAGCAGGGTTTGCTGGAGGCTCCTCAGGGGCTTAGAAGCAGGATGTATGTCATATATTTTTACCGAGGTGAGATGCAGCAAGGTGAGAAGTTAAAGCAGCTTTTTATTCAGTTTGGCTTCATCTTGATGTTTGCTTGTTTTTTCTTAAATCCCCCCTCCAGACAGTTTTGCTTCCTGTATAACAGTTAACGTTCTTTCTTAAACAGAGAATTGGGGTGTGGTTAATAGTCATATGTAGTGTTAATCCATAACCATAGCAACCAGATTGCAGCAGTACAGTACTGGTTAAAAGCAATATGGCATGTTTACTGTTTATCAGAAGACTAATGACATAACAATTAGCACAACACATGACTCTTTCTTTCACACGTTCTCCTCTTTACGGTCTCTTCCTGCTGCAGCTATTGGTTGTGAATTGACGAAACACTGTCTGACTGCTGCTGTGCTGAGGAGCCGCACCACTACACCGCTTTTTTTTTTTTTTTTTTTAACAAAGTCAGGTCATTTGTCAAAAATATAGGCGAACAGTGTGGCTAATCAACACTGTGAAGATATGACTTATGAAACATCATAAAAATGCCAAAATACACTGGGCTGTAAATCTTATTTAAATGTGTCATCTTGTGTTTGTTTTTTAACTTTTCTTAATGCTTTTTTTTATTTCTTACAAAAAGCACTTTGGGTTACTTTAGTATTAAGGGTTTATATTATTTTCAAGATAGGCATATAAAATACTGCAGATGTTTGTTAAAAATCTCCACGTTGTCTTTTCAGAAACTCTGACAAATGGGGAATTTAACTCCCCGGATTAAATCTGAGGTGACGAGTCCTAGTGTGATCCTAGATTCAGATCTAAGCTTCAAGTCCCACATTAACAATGTGACAAAAACATCACTTTTCCACCTCAGAAACATAGCTAAGGTACAACCATTTCTAAAGAAAAGAAGATGCAGAGAAATTGATTCATGCTTTTATTTTAAGCTGCCTCTACTACTGCAGTGCATTCTTTACTGGCCTCCTGAAATACACCACTGAGAGACTTCAGCTCATTCAAAACTCTGCAGCTCGGCTATGGACCTGAACCAAGAGGAGAGAGCACATCAAGCCAGTCTGAGCTGCTCTGCACTGGCTTCCTGTTACATTCGGAATTGATCCTTGTATACAAAGCCCTAAATGGGCTAGGACCATGCTACATTACTAACTCCACTGTTAAATGTTTGTCTCCAAGAACACTGTGATCATCTGCTGCTGGTTTATTGGAGCTTTCCAGCAAGAGCCACAAGGAGATTGGGTATGCAGCCTTTGGAAATTACTCCCCAAAACTATGGAACACGCTACCTATAGATATCAGGGAAGCCAGCTCACTACATATTTTTTAGCCTTTAAAGGGCCAGTGTGTAAAATGGGTTGAAAACAGTGACATCAGTGGTCAAATTCTAGATTGCAGGGCTCACTCGCTCACCCCTCCCGTCGGGTAAATGACGGTGGCCTTGTAGGGACAAAAAGCCTTGTGCACGAGTTTTTCAGGAGTAGGTCTATCTAGCAACGAGGTGAATATTTATTTAGAAATCTAAGCCATGTTACGATATTGTAATGAATCCCTCACGAGCAGGAGACCAGAGGAGCGTTCGGGAAAAAGGCCAGTTTATTTGAGCACTCCAAAAACTCTGATAACACTCCAGGGGGTAAAAGACTCTGTCCCAAACTCCGACTCTTCTAGCGTAACAGACACACTTCATACACACATACTTGTTTACCATAACGAGTGGGGACCCCCTCCCCTCTCTGCTCCACCAACCTCCAGCCCACACACTGACTGACAGCGTAAACAGAGCTCAGCTGTTTATTTAGCCTAGCAATATCTCCGGACTATAGTAGCTGCAATGGACGACTTTGAACGCGATTTTGAAGAGTTTCTTGTAGCGGACACAGACCCAGAGCCATACCTGTTTGAGCCAGAGCATACAGATGAGGAACTCCATGTGTTTGATGCTGAGCAGGCGAGAAGAGAGGCTGAATGCACAAAATGGGATTCGGTGCTACTGATGCCATTGTTGGGGAGATATATCAACAGGAGGAAAAGCGCCGCAGAGAGTGCATCACAAGGAGTGAAGTTGCGTCTTCTTTTCCTCGCAGATGACGGTTCGGGTTCATTCTCTCCTGTTGCGTGGTAAGTGTGGTCCATTCACAAACTTTATAACTAAAAAAACTTTTCACTACTCTCTATCGACGAACTACTAACACTCTCTGCTGTTTCCTCCTCCTTCTTCCTTCCTTCCACTGTCTTCGCTGGTTCATTTATACACGTGAAACGCGTTCTCTGGCTGGCTGGATTGTCCGCTCGGTCTGCCGTACATACATGGCGGCGCAAGATGGCGACCTCTCTAAAGCAAGGCCCTTGCTATATATATATATAAAAGCATAATTATAAGGCTACGAAAACCAAACGAATTTTATTTTATAGCGATTATACACTTGTATAAACATATTAATGGGTAGAATATTCAGATTCAGATTCAGATTTACAATAAACCATGACAAATATTACACACTGGCCCTTTAACTCGCTCTGACTTTCCCAATATTGTTAAGAAACTCTTTCTTTTTACACTTCACGCTGCTGCAGCTCTTTTAAAATGTATCTTACTTGATTTTATAATGTATGGTTTAACAAGTCTATGATTTTATGACTTTTTTATGATTTATTTCATGGTTTTGAATCAGTTAATCCTTATTTTAAACTGTTTTTAAATGTCCTTTTATATTGAATTGCCTTGTTTGTTTTATTTGCCTAATTGTTTTGTGTTCATGTCTATTTTCATGTTAAGCACTCAGTGCTTATAATGACCTTATTGTGAAGCACGTTGTGCTGCATTTCTTGTAAATAAGGTGCTATATAAATAAAGTCTATTATAATTATTATTACTATTATTATTATTAGTATTAGTAGTAGTAGTAGTAGTAGTAATCAAAAGCCTTGCTCATTCTTCCCTTTAAACTTTCTGTCCTTCCTTTCCTTCCTTTCCTTCCTGTCTTTATTTCCTTCTCATTTTTTACTTTCTTATTTTTGTCCTTGAAAAAAAAAATCAAACTGCTCTTTCTTGCAGTAAGTATGTATCCTTTGGGAAATTGAGTGCATTTTATTGTGGATGTGATTGTTTCCTTTAACTTAGAAAAATAGTAATTACATTATTATCACAATAATTTTAATTCCAGCTCCTTTAAAGCAGTATTTCCTGTATTTTATTATGTCGTTTTATCATTACAGAGGTGTATAAAATATAAAGAAAAAGCCTCCTCTCAGGTTTTCCTCCTTTAGTACCTGGCCTGGTGTCCTCTGATGTGGCTCTGGATGATGATGGCTTTCTGTTTGAAGAACCTGAAGTTCCTCCTGCAGAGGAAGCCTCTGATGTTCCTCTGGATGGTGATGGCAGCCCAGGTCTGGGTGCTGCTCCACTTCTCCTCCAGCTGCTGGTACAGAAGCTCCTTGAGGAACAGCTAACACGGATACACACACACTTATATTTAAACAAGTTGATATGTACGGTAAAAATTCTCATCAGTGTCATGAGTAGGCATTTTGGCACCTTGGTGAGTCCCAGCTGGTACTGTCCCTCCTCTGCACCAACCATGTCCAGCAGAACCACTGACTGCTCTCTGTCTGACACCTCGGGCAGCCGCTGGCTCAGCAGCACCCCGTATCTTTTAAACACAACACATGCTACCTTCAAGCTTTGCTCAGAAGCTTCTAAATCCAAAATCAGATGACGTAAACAATGCATGATTTCTTGGTACATGACACACCTTCTAAACTTCTAAACACTTCCAACAGAGTGTCTCCCTGTACAAAGTCACACTTCTGGTTTTGGAAGGAACATTAAAGGAATACTGTGTCCCCCCAAATGACCATTTGTGTATCAAATACTCAGCCCAGGTTAAGCTGAATTCATGAAGAAAACATTGTTTTTCTCAGAGGCCTTTATCTTGAACAAAGAACCAAAAACTTTGAGAAAAATTTTATGAATACAAGTCACAGGGGTCCACATTTAACATCAGCAACTATATCAAAACATCGGTGTACAAACTCTCACACAACTCGAGCAGTATCATCCAAATCTCATTTATGCAGCTGTATGCTCAGCATTTCCCAAACAGACAGCCCTTTCTGATGGGGAACCAAGTTGAAAGTAAAATGAATCTATGCTCCCTTCAAAGCCAGACTCGTGTTATTGTTTGACCTTGGTGAATCCGAACAAACCCTTTAAAACACCAAAGTCATACAACAACACAAACAAACTAACTGATCGAGGCAGCAGTAGTCTAACAGCTCTCGTGTTTATCAAGGTAAAATTACCATTTTTGTCAATGGAGTCTGGCTTTGAAGGGAGCATAAATAAGTTCCACTTTAAGTTCAGTTTTAAATCCTTAAGTTTTAGCTAAAATGCATGTGTTTGGGAAGTACTGAGCATAGGACTGGATATATGATACTTTGTGTTAGATTGTTTGTAAACGTATGTTTGACATACTTTTCCTATTGTTAAACATGGACCCCTGTGACTTCAATTTATCAAGAATTTTCTCTGCTTATGGATTTTTGGTTCACCATGGAGGCATTTTTTTCTTCACAAATTCAGTGTAACACAGGGTGAGAAGCTCATATACAAATGATGATTTAGGGGGTGAAGTGTTCCTTTAAGGAGGAGGGTATAAAATAACAAGTTAACTGTGGGGCACACTCTCCAATCCAAACCAGCTCTAAACATCAGCATGAATACTGATAGACACCTTATTTTCTCAGTGGCTCTGTTATATTATTTGCTGTTTCCTTGTAAATGATTACCCCAAATATTCCCCAGTTAAGCAAATGCTATAGAATATACATTAAAAATTTATTTATAAAAAAACTGGAGCCATGATATAAAATTTCAAGAGGCAACACAATGTCATGAACCATGGTGCAGCTGTATGACAACACTCAGGGAAACCATGTAGACTATACTGAAGGGTAAGACACTGACACACTGACAGATGGGGGGCAATAAGTTACGTGTGTTTGAATGAATTTGAACTAATTTCGTGTTTACATTTGTTTTTGGATCAAGTAACTGCAGTGCAACAGCTCAGTACTGACCATCCTTCAACTATTTAACCACTGATAAGAAGCAGCAGGTACAAGAAAAAGCAAGATGATGAAAAGAAGACAAGGGAAGTAAAAATGAGACGCTGGCATTACCTTAAGAAGCATAAGCATAAAAAACATTTTAGTACTGCCGTGGGATGTATGTTTGCAGCACCTTTCCATGAAGTAGGAGTACTGTATCCGTACAGGGAAACCCTCTTTCCTGATGTGGATGGTCTCCATCATCCCAGCGTGCCTTAGCTGGGCCGACACATAGTCTACATCAAAGATCCCAGGAAGCTGACAGATGACAAAGATGACAGGTGAGATACAATATCACATATTATCTGCTAATGTTTACCAGTAAGTTAGCATCAGTATAAAGTATTTGTTGTTACCTTGACGTAGTTTGGCTTCAGACAACGAATAAAGGTAGTTTTGCATCTACGAGTTAAAAGAAATAACATTATTACGTTATTCACCATGGCACATCATTAACCTCCGACCTATATGCATGTAAAGAAACAGAGGTGAAATTTAATATTTAAAGAACACTAACAAGACGCAATGCAAATTTCAGGCATCTGGAACAAGTTTTAACCAGAATGTGTGATTGACATGTGTCCACGAAATGTCCTGATTTGAGCCATTCAGTCCGGTATGATGCCCAATTGTCTGGGGCCAGTGAAAGGAAAGGTCGGACCAGTAAGATCAGACAAGTGGTAAAACAGAGTGAAACTCTGTTTTTTTTCTGAGCAGATGACGGAAGGAGCTAAGGATGAGCTTTTCTCACTTTCCTCTCATCTCTGTTGAGAGTTGCACATGCCCAGTACCAACCAGGTACTTGGGAGAAAATGGTGGTGGGTAAACGTTTATAAGCTGAAGGGCAAGTGAGCATTACAATTATCCTGGCAACAAAAGTTTATTTGGGTGGCGTTGGAGGATGTGGCCATTTTCCAAACTCCAACTCATTTTGCTTCAAGTTTAGGAGCATGGAGGATAAAACAGGGTCAGTTTTCATGACTGTTGACTTTAGTCTTTGTTGATATTTGATAAACTTTGATAAATACACCAAATTGTGGGGAATGTGAGAAATGACATTGGGCAGATAGACTGGTTGGGCAAGTGGATCAGAAATCTTACCTGACCTGGCAAGTTAAAAAAAAAAATGAAATTCCCACTCCAGGCCTGCTTTAAAGAATGTCAAAATAGACCAACTTAACCTATATTAATACAAGTATTTTGTTTAACATTGTTTTCCCGCATAATATTTAAAATACACCCTCTGTAACAGGGTCTGGAAACAGATTTACTGTTTCTCCCTCATTGAGATATTTGCTTGCTATTGGTTTCGCATTTGTTCCCAATTTTCCTCTTTTCTCTTTCCTCTTTCCGCTTCCTGCTTTCCACTTTGTGCTTTTCGCTTTCTGCTTTTCACCAACATGCCAAGCTGACCTGTGAAAGAGCAGTAGCCATCAAGATGGTCAACATTACAATTAGAGGAAACATTGGAAAGATTCAACCATACTTGTTTGAGCCTAAGTCAAAAATCAGTGACTAGCAGACGCATCAGAATACTAAGTGTAGTTAGCATCTTTTCTATGTTTATGCTGTTTTTTAGCTTGTGGGCTAACTGGCAGTGGCTGACACAGTGTTAATGTTAGTGAAACATACAATAATATCTGCCATGATGGGGTTTTTGGTAGATAGTGGAAGGAAGCTTCAAGTTCTGCTTTACATCCAAAAACGGTTCATTCTGTTTGTAGTCAAAACTTTTACTATGCCAATGCTAACTCTGCTCTATGTAGGCCTACTGACATGTCCGCTCCACGCTGGAGGTTTCAGGATTCTTTGTTGGTATTTTGTCAAAGTTTGTTTCCCTGTTGATATGTTTGCCTTCCTCAGGCCCTGATCACACAGAAAGCATTCTGGCAGCTGGAGGTGGCTTTTTGTAATTGTTTTAAATGAGAATGAAGTTTTTTGCTCACTGTTTTTGTGTTGCTGTGTACCTCGTGTTTCTGTACTCTAGGTGCCTGGTGTTTTTGCCGGAGCGCTCTGAACTACTGGAGGTGACAAAACGTCATCTCTGCTTTTTTTTTTTTTTTCCATTGTCCAATAGGATGATTTTAGAGGCAGGCCTTTTGTGGTGGTCAGGACAACAAGTTTACAGTTGGTAAACAATGAAGGAGAAACTGGTGGTAGTGGTTGCTGGATACCCAGAGCTATACAACTTTACAAACCAGTTACCACCATCTCAATAGAAAACAGCAGGCGTGGAGGTAAAAAGTGCAGTACCTGTACTCCCCGTGATCCACCGTCTTTTTTAGGGTCTCATGTATCCACACAGATCTCTGTTTCTCTGTGCCCAACAAATTATTTGCTGACAGCCTCTTACCCTCAACCAGAGCCAGAGCAAGTACCCTCTGCCTGTCCATGCTAGAAACTAGCTACTACAAACTGTGAAATAAATGAAAATTAAAAATAAACGGTAGATTGATTACACAGGAAGGTTAGGGTAAGGAGGTGATGGGGTAGTTGCCTGGCAAAAATAAAAAGGCGCAGCAAGAGTTTTGCTACTAGTGGCATTCAATTTTTTTTTTTTAAAGGCTGTGTGGTGCCCCCTGCGTTTTTTTGCAACCTGCAAAATGCTTTCTGTGTGATCAGGGACTTAGAGAGCAAGTAACTCCTGTATTGGTGTTGTACCTAATCAAGCTAGCCTAAGGTACATTTGAATCTCAGCAGTGCACAGACATTGCCCCCTTTAGTAGAGAAATGTGACAACACATCTCTAGTGACAAACTTTGCACATATACAAGTGAGTAAAGTCAAAGTCAGACATTTTAGGAGACAGAAACAGAAGAAAAATACATTTTTAAGTGGAGGGGACTTTAGAGTTTAACCCTGGTATGATGTGTCTAATCTTGTGAAGTCTCCTGTAGAAATTCTGTCAGCGATGATTCACACCAAATCGTATTTCTTTCCATGATATTTACTAAACCCGATTTCTCCACAAACCACAGCTATTTAATTTTAAACACATGCAGTGAAATTGTATCTGTTCAAGTGACACTCAGTTGGCTTTCACACTGATCCACAGCTTTGGTGATGACGGCCCAGTGGCAGTCAGTGTGGTCAGCGTGCTGGTACCTCTCCAGACGGGTAGTGAGTTCAGTCAGGGACTGAAGGAAGTGTGAGGCGGCGGTAGAGGGCTGCTGGCGGAGGCCCCTCCCTCTCCAGCCCAGCTCTCTCTGCTGAATGTAAGCATCCTGAACCTTGCGGAACAGCTCCGACACCATCTGACAAATATGCAAGTTCATAGGTAAACTGACAAAATTCACTTGTCAATGTATGGCTTCACATGTGCAAGTGTGTTTTTAAAAGCCTATAATTATGTTAATTTTATGTTTATATACAGTATCTTCAAAATGATCACTTCTGTATTCAATGCTGCCCAGAAAATTGTACTCTCATAACTAGAATACCGCTAGTAAAGACACCCCTAATAAAACACTTGTTTATTTCATTGCCTTGTGCTTATTCATTGTTTTGTTTTTTTGTATTGTGGCAATACATATAGAAGCACAATGCATTCACCAAAGTGAAACAAAAACAGACATTTTCTTGTAATTTTACTTTATTCTATTTTGTAATGATGCAGCCCAGTTGCCAGAATAAAATGTTGGCATTGTAAGTTTCTGCAAACCACAGCTACCGTATATTTAATTTGTATGCTTCAGATGTAGTTCGGCTTATATGTATATGAGCTGAGTTGAGTTGAGTAGCAGTTGAGTATATGAGTCATCAGAAGAAGGTTAGGGTTGATAGCATGACACCTCGACAATACCAGTGTTAGGGGCCATACACATGCCGTGTCTTTTGCGCCCTCAAATTCATTGTTTTTATTGTAGACATGCGGCAGACCGGTCAAAGGCCAGAGCAGTGCCGTTGCATTGAGTTCCCGAGTGCCTATTTTTTAGGGTTCAACGACTGCGCCCTGAGATAAACAGAGTTCAACTTTTGGAACATCCTATTGCAGCCAGCAGATAGCTTTCCCTTCATCCATAAACATCAGTCTGTGGTAAATATGGAGAAGAAGTTAATCATTTTAGTATAGAGCCTTACATCTGTCCCACAGACAATGGGCCTACACACAAACAGCGCCAGGAGATCAGCCCTGCACCCAGGATTTCAGGTAAATAGGCTACATTATGGTGCTTATTAAGGTTGCCTATCGACATCAGACACAACCTGACACTGCGCTTTTGAAAACGGGCACAGAAAAGGCACAACAGTAGCCCCCAGCACCTTACCTTGCATTTTCCTGGCAGTTAAAGACATGGCATTTGTAAGGCCACATAGAGACCAACCAAAACAAGTGTTTTAGAACAAGACTTGTGGGCAGGGCAGGCCCTCGCAATTTGGCCTTGTGCCCTTGAAAAAAATATCTGCCCTAAGGCCACAGTGGCCTTGATGCCCCGCCCGCAGTGCCCCAGGTGATTTTGCGGTTTTCTCCTCTGCCTCTTTCCCGTCAACACGGCTTTGACACCTGTGTCTTTTGAGAAAAAAAATGCGTCTTTTGATGACATTCTGGATTCTTATTGGGCAACATCAAATGAGACGATGCGTACATCACCAGTGGTGGGTTTGATTCGAGCCTGGCATGAACCACTCGGACGGACTATAACAACAGTTTGACACCAATCTATCACCGGCCAACCACGGAGGGAGAGGTCCCTTAAAAAAGCTTTGAAGATGCGGCTAAAAACTGCAATAATTTTTACAGATTTTGAAAAAGCAGAGTAATGGACTTCATAATTTGCAATAGATTTAAATGTACAAAAGTTTCTTCAGTATTGGGGCTATATTTTGGTTAAAGTGGTGAAGCTGTACCACATATGGTTGATTTGTTATGAATTTTCAAGGTTTTAAACTTTAGATGCTTGCTGTAGCGCCACCATAAGGACTATTGGCTTGTGTTTGCAGCTGAGACAATCTGGCATAGGACTGGACCTTTGTGCAAATAATTAAATGCATGAATGAATTAAAAGTTAAAAAAATTCTTGTTTGCTTGAGCTTGTTTTCATTTCACAGATAGTTATACATCCTTAGTCCTTAAATTAAATACATTATGGATATAGACTTAAGACTTGGCCCTTGTGCCTTCAAAAAAATTGACAACACGAAAGGCCAAGTGCACTTGCCCCTAAAATGACGAAATTCCAGGCCTCTTTGTGGGCATGTCCAGCTGTGTTTGCTAGCGACCAAACCGGGTATTTTAAGACAAAAAATCATGGACTATCGAATAGAATAATGAACGAAGCCACAGCCAAGATGAAACAATGTGTGGACTCCTGTTTTGAAGCCTGAAGTTTAGCATTTCAGCCCTCACCATCTTGGATGTTTGGAGTCAGATGTAACCTTATATGGATGAGAGGGTGGAACTGTGGAGGGATGGATTTGACTCACAGACTTTGGTGATGCTGGGGTGTCGGTGGCTTAGTGGATAGAGCTGGCGACCAGTGTACAAGGTTGTTGCCGCAGGGGCACGAGGACTGTTTTAGAGCCAGCCTCAAGTGGTCATTTAATAAACTGCAGGTTTTGGCACTTCTGCATTGGCTTCATTTTTCAGCCATGGAGGTTTTCGCTTGGTAAAAACATGATATTTTCCTAACCTTAACCAAGTGGTTTTTGTGCCTAAACCTTACCACATGATTAGCACAACATTGTCACAACATAAAATTGATAATTGAAACGCAAAGAAATGCAAAATTCTAACATATTCACTATAAATGAAATTTACAAATGTAATATACTTGGTCTGCAGAAATGTACAATGCCAACATGTATTCTGGGAGACTGGGACGCTGTATGAGTTTAATGCCAGTTTTTTCACCTTTAAGCGACTCCTGGCAAAAAGCTCCACCACTTCTGTCCTGAACTGGTCGTGGTTCTTATTCAGGAAATTATGAACCTGGAAAAAGAGTATTTTTTCAGCCCAGATGTGTTTGCAGCACAGGCTGCTGTTTGACAGATCTGCTGTTTATAGCAGCATGCTGCACCTGATACCTGATAAGTGACAGCTCCAGCGTAGTGATAGACAGTGAAGACTGGCATTGGGTTCTTGGGCTTGGCATAGTAGGGGCTGTTCCCATGGTGGTAGTGGCACTTCTGGAGGAAGGTGTGGTCAGTGGCCTGATGAAAAATCAAAGAGGAACAATACAAAAATTACACACAGATTTACTTTTCAATATTTTACACTCCATCAAGGTCTAATGTAAAATGAAATGGAAACATTGTCTTTACACTCCTGAATTCCTGCCTGTCTTCCACACCCACCTCATCAAGGCAACTCAGGTCACCTGTTTCTGATGACACCTTGCCAGTATAAATACTCCAGCCTCACAGATTGTACTTGTCAGATTGTTGGTTATCATTCTCATGGAAGACTTTCCAGAGTTTCCTTCTGGACTGCTTCCCTGTTGTTGACCTTGCCTGCCTCTGACTCTCCTGCTTCGCCTGCTCCCTGGTAAACAACTCAACCTTCTGTCCTCAACCAAGAGCTCTGCTTTTGCCTTCCTGGTTTCTGTTTGCCTGTTCCACGTGGCTGTCTGAAAGAACTTCTAGTCAGCTCTTCGTCGTTAGTTTACTTGTTCTGCTTGCTGTGTTTTCCTGAGCTGTGGAGTGACTTGCCATGTGGCTGCATAAACCGCCTTTGTGTGTGCACCACGGAGTCTTCATGTGAGTTTACTTGCTTGTGTTTTCCAGAACTGTGGAGTGATTTGCCATGTGGCGGCATACACGGACGTTGCATGGTTTGCATGTGAGATTGCTCTCCTTCATTACTGGTGCCTCGACTCCTCTGCTTGCCTGACGATGTCTCCCGTCTGCTTCCTCATGATACCGCTACACACAATTGAACTGTTTGGTGCATGTGTGCATCCGGTGGACGCCAGAGATTCTCCTGCTCCCTATTTCGGCATGGCTTGCCAAAGCTTCTGAAATGAACCTTTGCCTCGGGAGGCCTCAAGCTGATTAGTTGAGCTTTGTCACTGTTTCACTTGCCTCCTTATTCTTTGTGTTGTGAAGTGGTTTATTAAAGACAAAACACAGACACATAGACTATGGACTATGTGGTTTGAACCCAATAACAGCACCACAGGTGCTGAAACACACACAACCCTGACAGTTTCAGGGTGTGTGTCTGTACCTGCGGGAGGCAGGTCTGATCGTCCAGTATGCGGAGAATGCCGTGTGGTCTGGAGGAGATCAGCTCCAGACAGGAGTGGAAGTTCTTGATTGGCATCGGATACCACTGAATCTGCTCTGCACTGTACTCCTCCTGCATGCACACACACACACACACACACACAGACTACACTCAGTTTGTGAAGTGTGTGAAGGCATTTATTGAAGATGGTATTGAAAATATAAGTTGTTCTTAGTAATGGCTTATAACCGATCTATAGCGAACTAACCATCATCTACTGATAATGCCATTAGTCTCTGCTTATAAACCGTTTATTAAGGGTGACTTATTAAAAAGTGGTGTGTTGAGGGTCAGTTGATCTTAATCGATCTACAGACCACTGACCTGCTCTTGGGAGATCACTGCCTTGGTGACAAAATGCTGCAGCTGCTCATTGGCAAAGTTGATACACAGCTGCTCAAAGCTGTTCACTCCCAGGTCCTGCAGAGGAACACGAAAACACTGTGATGTCACATCCATCACCACAAACAAATGCTCAGTTACTTTTCAGTTTCCAGATCTCAGTCCAGGCATAATACAAACCTCAAACCCGTAAATGTCGACTATGCCCACTGTGCTGTCCATCTCTGTGGGGCTCAGCCAGTCATTGATCTGCTCTAACAACCAGTCAAACAGCACTGAGTATAAGGCTTTGGCAATGGCATCTCTGCAAGAAAGAATGAGGAGAGATGCCAAACACTGTCCATGTTCTACATTCACATACAGTAAAATCAAATTCTAATTAACTCATGATACTATTGTAATTGAACATTCATGGGCCAAATGATCTATTCCGCAAACACAGTGATAGTCACTTACTTGTGCAGCAACAGCTTTGGTTCATTTAGTTTGCTTTATGTAGTTGACATTTGACATTTGCCACTTATCTGGGCAACCAAGCATGGATGGATGGATGGATGAATGGATGGATGGATGGATTTCTCCAAATGATTACTTTAAATTGTGGTTTGACAGACTTGTCTGCTATTTGTGCTTACCTCCAGTCTACATCAACATTTGAGGACATTTTCTTACCTGTATTCTATGGCACTTTCCACAGACAGAGGGCAGTATATCCTGTCATAGGTTGTCTCCTGGGAATAAAAAAAGCTAATCAATGTGCACATGTGCAGAAAAATGGGTGAAAGAAAAGGCATGACTGGTGCATGGGTCTACTGACCGTGACTCTGTGAGTGATGACAGTCTGCAGGGCCTCAGAGGAAATCTGCAACAAGGAGCCAACCCTCCTGACCTCAGCCTCGCTGAAGATTCGAGCCACCTCAAATGACTCGCTCTGAAGCAAAAGCACCAACTGATGTGTGAAAACAACGTCTAATATCTCACTAACTCACACACACATACACACACACACACACACACACACACACACACACCTCATAGGAGCTGAAGCAGACATTGCCGAGCTGCAGGATAGAGGAGAGGATGGCCCAGATGGTGGAGATCTGGTCAGCATGCAGACCAATGGTCTCAAAGCACTGAACCAAAAGCTGGAAGTCCTGCTTGTCCTGCTTCCCCTTCAATTCACAGGCACCACCCTGGAGGAGGACAGATGTGTGATGTATAATGGCTGAAGAGGAAAGGGAAACTACAAAAATCAGGGATGAAGAATGGTTCTGTGTTTATTGATGTACTTGGTTAAGGTAGTAATAGGTCTCGGCTCCTTGCAGGTAGAGCTCCTGTTTGTCCCAGTCGTTCATACCTGCCAGCAGCTCATAGAACACATGGTAGTTCCTCTCCTCATTGGCCTACAAGGGAAATGAAACAAGAACTAGACAGTGACATCAACTGAGTTCATTTGATGTCAACCCAATCGCCAGAAAACTGTTGGCATTAGAAGTTTTTGCATGGATATGTTACATTTGTACGCCACTATGTGGCAAATATGTTAAAACTTATGTTTCTTTATGTTGCAACAATGCTGTGGTTAACGTGTGGTTAGGTTTAGGCACAAAAACCACTTGGTTATGGTGAAGAAAAGATTATGTTTTGGTTTAAAATACCCAATTTTGGGGCACAATTCCCGCTGGAAACACAGTGATGTCTTGGTAGAAACAACTGTTTTTCATGGCACTATTTCTAGTGGAAACACAGCAGTGGGTCACTGTTGGAAACAGTGCAATGACTCAGCGTCCCGTCTAGGTGTTGCCATCTATCATTTCCTCCACTTCCCATTACATGACTTTAGAAATGCTGATTTGATATGTGTGAAACATACAAATGTAACATAACATTTTCCTCTGGTGATAAACCACAGTGCCAGAAACATCAACATAAAGAAACACATACAAATCTGAGGCTGTACTGGCTGTATTGTCCACTCAGTTACACTCCACACTTGTAGGAAGGAATGTAGAAATTAAGATCAAAGGTAATCAAGAGACAAGATTAACTGCCTGATGATTTGAACTAACAACTGCAGCTGAGGCAGATGGGAAAGTCTTTAGTTTTTCAGGTATTTGGTCATAACCCAATCTATTGGACAAATTACATTTTTGACCTAATGATGGTGCTAGAGGAAAAGTTAGGGGATCATTAAAGTTAGTACAATTCATCCTGTAGGGATCATGAACCTCTGGACCAAGTATTTAATGGCAATCCATCCAAGATTTGTCATGACATTTCACCCGGAACCCAAAAACTGCTAGCTAAAGGGAAAGTCATAAAGATTCATCCTCTGTGAACCATGAATGTCTTTACCAAATGATGTGGCAGTCCTTTCAGTAGATGTTGTGATATTTCATTAGGTAATTTAAAACTCTGACCTGTTGGTGGCGCTTGGTGAAAAGCCAGGGGATCACCAAGTTCACTAGTATTCAGTCTCTGGGGAGCATGAATACATGAACCTCTGTTCCAAATTTCAAGGCTATCACTCAAATAGTTGTCAAATTAGTCAACCTCATGATGTAGAGATATTTTGCTCAATGACTGAAAACTTTGACCTGCTGATAGTCCTAAAGGAAAATTCAAGAGATCACCAAAGTTATTGTATTTCCAACTCTGGGGATCACGATTATCCATATGAAATTTTAAAATGATCGATTTGACATTTGCCAAGATTCAATTTTGGACCAAATTGTTGGACAGACCAACCAACCAACCGACCAGCATTTTTATCCCTCAAGCTGTGCTAACATGGCTAAAAACTGAGGATCGACAAGCTATAGGTATCTTCTATCAAGCTAGGAAAGCTGAGCCTCTAATTCATTTTCCAAGAAGCAAAAGCACTCAACCAGAAAAGGAACTTGAGACTTTTTCCTACAAGTAAACACAAGCAAGCCAAATGTGACAAATAGCTGATCACTCAATCATTTACACAGTGACAAATTGTCCAGCACTATTCATGCTGTCAGTGCCAAAGCCAATGTGATGTATTGCTTTTATGTGTCTTATAATCTATTTGAACCTCATTAAAGTAGCTTCTCCAGCAAATGTAACATCATGGTGTCCTCCATGATGTCTATTTGAGCACACAGCACACCTCACTCAATGTCCTCACCTGAAAGACAACCCTGGATTTCTCAAGGAGGTATTTGGACAGCGAGGTCCCTACAACAACCCCACTGTCAACCAAGAGGAAAGACAGTCGAAAAATAAAACAGCTGCAACAAGTCCTTTCAGGGGGCGTAACAAAGGAATATATGTTAAAACAACAAAAGATACTTCCAGATATTTGGACTCACTGGAGAATGTGGATATGGAGGTACTTGCCAAAGCGGCTGGAGTTGTTGTTGAGAATGGTCTTGGCATTCCCAAAACTCTCCAGGATGGGAAAGACCTCCATGGGCTGGAAGAGGAAGACATAAACGGGGTTTAGGACTGACAGGTACTGTACATCCACCAACAAGTTGCAGTGTTGCTAACTAATAACACTTTACACTAATTAAGGTTTTCTTTTAATTACCTGTCGCAGGTTGTCGTTTCTGCCCTGATACATAGAGCTGAGGTAGTGGACTATCAGCTTAGTAGCTTCAGTCTTTCCTGAACCACTCTGGCCACTACACAAGAAATAAAAATCACCCGAAAAATTGGAAACTGAGCAACAAAAGTCCTTGTCTCGATGTGAAACAGGGAAGCTGCTGCCCATGGTTGGTACCTTAACCTTTAGGCCACCAGGGCATCCAATGACTAGACGAGATTATAGATGATGGAAAAGAACAGGTATTTTGCTTAAAACCTGATTCAGCAAAGACAAAATGCACAAAAACTGCATCGAAATAGACTATATATGATAGAATCGTCGTTCTTGTCAGTACCTTATGATGATGCACTGCTCCTGTGTGGAGGCTTGAGACTGACTGAAAGCGACATCGGCTATGGCATACACATGGCTAAAGCAGAGAACAACAGAAAGTCAAACATTAGCAATAAAAAACATGAAAAAATATACTGATATACTGAAGGGACTAAAACCTTTGGTGAGACACGCTGACAGTTGTAATTAAAAGTGTAATGAGAGAAGGCAGAATAATGGACGGCAATGTGAGAATTGTTTGCTCACGGTGGGTTTCTCTGCTGCTCTTTGCCCTGGTATTTCTGTCTCAGTTCCTCTGTGTAGATGTTAAGGGGCTTGAAGGGGTTAATGGACAGCAGCATGTTTCCAATGTAAGTCTAGGAATAAAGAAAATGTCTGCAGGCATTCAGAGAATACGCACAACAGGTACAACAAGGTGTCTGCAATATTGATAGCTGACAAGTTGTGGTAGTGACCTATTTGTCTGTGATTTGATATGTTATTGTTGTTTTTCATTTACCAAGATGATTGCTGAGATTTAACTATCATGTATTCATTTGTGGTCCTCCTTGATAAATTTGTTCAGTGTTATTTTTTTCTCTCACTTTATTACCCCCGCCAAGGAGGTTATGTTTTTGCCGGTGTTGGTCTGTTTGTCTGTTTGTCTGCAAAATAACTCAAAAAGTAAGTTCTGAACAGATTTTGATGAAATTTTCAGGAAAGGTTGATAATGGGACAAGGAACAGATGATAAAATTTTGGTGGTGATCGGTTGAAGCGAAGTGGATAAAATAATAAAATGGCGGGAAATCCGAGCTGCTTGGCGGAGGTCTGTGCTCTCCAAGTGCTCTAGTTCTGTCTTGTTTCAGGTTTTATGTAAGTTGTTTCCAAATCCTCTTTTATCCTAATCCTAGAACATTTTACCTGCTTCAAAATGCGTAATGAAATAATAATAGTAATGAAACTTACATAAATACAGTCACGTTGGAACCTCTTCTTCAGATTCAGAAGCACAGAGCTCTCACACACCTCTCTATGAACATAAGACAAACAGTTGAAATAAGAGCATATTTGAACTGGACTCAAGGTACTGTGTGTGCGTGCGTGTGGGTAGGTGGGTATGACTTAGGCTACCTTCAGGGACACATTTCAGACCTAAGACCAGTTATTTGCGGATGGCTTGTCCAACTGAGGACAAAAGCTGTACCTGAATTTTAAAAAAGCTGATTTTGGGGCCAGTTGTTAAGGTTAAATTAGGGCAAAGTTAGGGTTAGACAAGTGAGGTTAGGGTTAGGGGTTACTCTCCAGGAAATGAATGTAAGTCTAGGGTAGTTTCCCCAAAATTAACCTAAGTAACATGTGTGAACTCACTCCAGCTGGGACAGATCCTCCACCTCATCCACCTCTACAGTTCTTTTGCTGCCAGGCATCACCATCTGAAAAAGGCAGAGACATGAGCAGATATGAGGACATAAGTCAACATTAGAGCCCTCCACCCTGCATTCAAAACATCGTTTCAGTCAAGACCATTAACTTTAGACAGCTTTGCCCTTACCTGCTCTCCACAGCCATCTTCTAGTCTCGCTAACATTGAATTAGATGCATTCTTCGAAAAGTCAATGAACCTTCTCCAGAGCCCTTTCTAAGATGTGTTTTGTTTCTGCACTTCCCTGCTGCTAATGGTCCACTACACTCATAAACTTTGCACAGCAGGTAACCAATCCACTTGCAGCGGTGGAGCAGTGTGATAGCTGATATACTGCAATCTCATAGCAGCGTGCTGCGGTGTGATGTATGCTCTATTGTATCTACATAGACCAGGAAATAAATAAACCAGTAAGTCTTTTATTTCCTATTGTCTTGTGTGCACACAGGCTATAAGTGAGGAAGTAGAACTGATATACTGATATTCCAACCCTTTGACATTAGACAATGGTAGTTAAACTTTTCTGGATTGGAAGTTATGTTTGTCTCTTTGGTTTAAAGGAAAATGCTGCTTGACAAACTAAAGGGAGAAGTTAGTAACAGGGCAAACACTGAAACTCACCAGTGCTACAATGTTGTAATAACATAGAGAATGGCCGATGTGCAAGGCAGTCTTTTGCTGCTGACTGCAGAGCCAAAGCATAGGGGCATGTGTCAGTCTGTTAGTCAGTCAGATGAACATTCTGTCACTTTGTTCCAGACTGGACAGGCACTGGATATTTTGCCATGTAATGTGGTATGAATACTAATGAAGATGACATTTGAGTCTAGTACCACCATCAGGTCAACATTAAGACCTCCTAACCTGATGTGCAGGTTCAAAAAAGGGCAGGCACTTTCAAAAAATACTAATAAACCAGGTGTCCTTCCTCACAGAATGTTGACTGGCCAAAATACTAATGGTTCAGAGACAAACAAATTACTTGAAGCCTGACAAGATTTTCACATGATGGTGCAATATTGTGAGAATCCAGAAAAGATCTCGCCTTGACAAGCACTGTGGTTGACTTTCAGACTTTTACACAAGATGTTTCAATTGCCACTGGCTCTGTTTTTGCTCCCCCTGTTCACTGCCTGCTTTGGAGACAAGATCCTGGAGCTATATTTGGGAGCTGATGCTAACTGTGAGTTCCAGGTACTTACAAGGGTCGATGGCAGTGATGTCTATTATGATTGGTAAAGCAGATGTTACTGTCACATCACAACAAGGTAGAACACAACAGACACATCTACAGTAACCACCATTTTACTACTGCATCTGTATCAGTTAGCACAACTAATATTTTCAGTGGTCTGCACACCTGTAGTGCACAACACAGGACTTTGGGGGCAAATGCACACTGTGGTTGATTGGTTTCATTGCAACTTTATCAATTGGTTCATCAAGATGCATTGTGATTCAATCACTCAAACCACTTGCTGAGGTCGTCTGGGACGCTTTGACCATGCTAATGCGTCCTGATGCATCCCCAACAAGAACTATATCATCACTGCAGGCCTTAGTGGTTGTTTTGGTGACAGCGCGCCAATGTTCAATAACTTGCACATTTAACATCAAGTTGAACAAAGTGTTCAACATCATTTTGCCCTATGGAATGAGACATGTTGAATTCTGCCAACAGCGATATCTTCATTTTTACCAACACAGCAACTAACATGACTAGCTAGCAGCTAGCGAGAGCGTGAATGAAAGAACTGTGTGCAGGGCCCTTTGACCTCCTATTGTAACTAATGTAGGCAGTAACAAAATATGAACACAAAAGATCAGTTGGAGATGCACAATAGACCCAGGTGTGCATGGTGATGTGTCTTGACTGTCCTCTTGTGTTCACCAGGTGTAAACGTTCCTATCTGGGTACAGATTACGTCTACACAGTCATTACTCTGGCTGTTTGTGTTGAAAAAAATATGGACTGCACAATTAATCCAGTGGCAACAAATGGGGTTTAGTAAAGATTGGCTAAAATTTGCTTTGCATTTAAGCCGAATGTGAATCTGAATGTGCCTAAAGCCTGGTATACACTGTGCAATTTTGGGCAGGACAGGACAGGACTTTCTCTCAATGCAGCATTAATACCTGTGTGCAGACCAGACGACTCTCCAGCATCTCCTGGGTGGGGTCATCTGATTCCCAGGGGCCCCTCCCATTGTGGGCAGGAATGGTCCTGGCCTGGCCCTCATCATCATAGACTGTCCACTTGGTTAGCTTCTCCACTGTCTGGTGGGGCAGCAGGTTCTCAGCACGCAGCCAGTCCTGATCCCACACACAGCAAAGACAGATGATTGACCTTAAAAAGAATCATTGGATCACACTGATTCAACTAAATTCAACAAATCTTTTTCACACTCCCTCTATTGGCATTTCTTTAAGCTTTGTATAAGTGACAGAAAGCAGTTTCTTTGTCATCATTCCATACCAGTATTTTTAATGAAGCATCATGCTCTAAAAATGTATCACCTACCTGAGGGTCTCCACTCATCCTTGGGTTCCCAGCCCAGTGCACGTCTGGTTGGGTGATGGCATACATTCCCCCCTCACCCATCAACTGGGCTACTTCCCTGTCTGCCTCTTCTTCATACAGGGACCGGACACCAGGCATCACAGCATTTGCCTCCCCATTTGGAAAGGGCTGAGTAGTGGACCTGGGAATCCCAGCTGCAGCCTCGCTTTCTGAATCTGGTCCCTTGGCCCGAGTCGGCCCTGACAAGGACATCTTGGTCGGGTTGATCTGGGAGGGGTTCAGTTTCCCTCTTGCAGCCAGTAGCACACTGACTCTATCTTGATTGTTGTGGGCATGTCTCCTGTTTCTATCCTCGGTGCTGGATGGTCCCTCTGGTGTACCACTGGAGCCAGGGCTCCTCTCTGCCACATCTGCACCTGACTGTAACCCTCCAGGCAAGGACTTCTTGATGGACTTCAGGAGGCTGAGATCTGGTTTTACAGGGAGCACAAGCCTGGCACCTGGTTTTGGGGGTTTGGGCTGTGATGTAGTGGGTTCTCCTGATGGTCCAGTGGTACTTGATGGAGTAGAAGATCCAGGAGCTGCTTGGGGCTCCTCTGCTGTCTTTGCCTTTCCCAGTTTGTTCATCCTGGGGAGTACCACAGCATATTTGGCCTCTACCTCTTTCTCTCCAACTGGGACTGCTTCCTCCCCTCCCTCCTCTGCCTTTCCCTGAAGGCTGGCATTCTCTTTCCCCATTTTGTCCACAGAAGACCTTCTACTTTTACCGGCCAAGCTGGTTTTACTGGCAACTCTCATGGCCATCCTGTGTTTGAGGATATTGCCCTTAGATTTTCTGGGGCCTTGCTTCTGTTTTATTGATCGAAGGGAAAGCCAGTGGGAAATCCCGATGGCTTTAGTCCAAGCAGAAAGCTTCTTTCTCATATTCAACCCCCGTGGCACATTTTTCTGAATCCAACCGGACACTCGACGAAGAGTGGTCATACCTTTTCTTCGCACTATCAAACATTCCTTGGGTTTGCTGGACGCTCCATCAGCGGCTTCACTCTCTGATGTTTCCTCGTCAGCCTTCGTTAGCATCTTATTTGCTTTGTTTCGGAGAGATGCCATCTTGACTTTCCCCAAGAGCAATCCCTGTGGCCGCCCTTTGACGGTACTTCCAGCGTCCTGCTGCTCCTCAGGCTCCAGAATGGCTTTGAGATCCTTACCTTTGGCTTTGAGAAGCATTATTCGGTTTTGGCCTTTGATGGCTTTGGTCAGTATTGGTTCAGCCTTCTCCTCCTCTACCTCATCTGGATCTGCCTCTACAGGAGCATCTTTCTCATTTATATTTTCATCTTCTTTGTTGGTGGGAGGATCTTTTGTTGGTTGAGTCTCCTCTGTTGTAGAACTTGGTTTGTCCTCTTTTTGTTGTTTCTTTTTGTTCTTTTTTTCTTCCTTGGCTTTTTGTTTGGCTTCCTTTTCTAACCTCTGCTTCTCTGCTTTGGCTCTCTGTTTCTCAGCCTTCTCTGCCTGCTTATCTGCTTTTGTTTTTTTAAACATCTTGTATTTTGGTGCTTGTGCAGGCTTCGAGGGACGGGGAGTTTGTCTGTGTCGTCTGCAGGCTGTATCAGCTGGTGGCTTTTCAGATGTGTCCTGGGTTATCGCCCTGTCTTCAACCACATCACTGATGACCGCCTCAAATACTTCAACTTCCTTGTTGTTTTCCTCTTCTTCTTCACTGGAAGTGGCTGGTTCACTTCTGGATTTGACTTCCTCTGAAAGCTCTCTGTCCGATCCCTCGCTTGCTGTCTGTCCTGTATCTCTTTGAGTATCCGATGCCTCCTCAGCCTCCTCAGCCTCCTCTTCACTGCTTTCCTCACTCCCATGTGTCTCAGATGGCTCTGTTTTACTGCCCTGCTCCTCCTCTTTCTCATCGTTACTAGTTTCCTCTTCCGTCACCTCCTCTGAGCTTCCTGCATCGCTCTCTGATTCCTCCTCCTCACTCTCTGTCACTTTGTCACTTCTCTTGTTCTCAGGCTTGGTGGGGAGGTTGTTGTTGATCCTCCCTTGTATGGTTGGGGCTGCTTTTAGTGGAAGTTTAAGTTTAGTTGTCTTGTTTATTCCTGTCTTACTATCTTTGTTATGTTGACCCTTTTCACGATTTACAGTTGTTCCGTTTCCTAGCGTGCTTCCTGCTTGTTTCTGTGGTTCTGGACTTCTCTTTTTACTTGGATCTGCTTTATTCCTTCCACTGCTCTTCGCCTTATCTGTCTTTCTGTACTCAGGAGTTGGTGAATTCCCTCTAACTTTTTGTTTTCCATTAGGCACTTTAGAGGGAGACTGAGGTGGTCTGGAAACATTCTGTCTCACTTTTTTCTGTTGATTTCTTGCCCTCTGCTTTGTGGCATTTATTCTACCTTGGGACTTGACTGGTGACATGGCTAACAATTCTTCAGGGATGAAATTACCTAAAGAACAGAACAACTCTTTAACATAAACAAATAAAGTTAATAAAAATAAAAATAAATAATGTTTATACAAATATAAATAAATAAATAAATATCAATAACACACTTTGACAGATAAGTTAGCCACTCAATTAAATGAACAATCTCGAGCTGTAAGTTGAGTAACATGTCTGTCAAACGCAGTGTAACCAGGTCCTTGGCTCAATCCATCAGCATCTATACCAGGTTTCACACTTTAAGTCCCTGATCCTTGTCCTGAGGCTAAAGACACTCAGGTCAGACCTCGTTTAGCCACAACTAAGCTGATGTGCTATCTAACAGTCATTACCAGGTTAAGTTTAAGGGCTGCTGTGCATCACCATCAAAACAAAATTGACAATGAATCAATAAGACAAGGCAAAAGCACAGCAAAAGGGACTCTTTTCTATGCTGGATGGAAATGATTCCACTTCCTTTTTGTAACAGCAAACTGCTATTATCTGCAGGTTAAATCTAAATGGCAGTGAAAGGCTATCTTTAGATCTGCCTAAATGTAGTTGTATAGCCTGCGCACCCTGGGGGGAAAGCAGTGAGAGCTCATTTCAGTGTAATATAGCTTACCAGGCTTCTCAGGTGAAACCCAGGCATGGCTGGGGGGCTGCAAAGTGCTCCGGTTTGTCCTCGAGAGCTGGTGTCACAGATACAAACACGCACCCATGCTCGGGAGGAGAGCTGAGGGGAAGTTACACACCAGTATCCCACCCACTAACATTATTCAGGAAGGTACACAGCCAAATATGCAATACACACCCACCAAAAGTTTGTGTGTGGTTTATGCTTGCACACAATGCCCCCGTCAACAAAGGTGAGCTGGCGTGCACCGATGCGCGCACACGCAAACACAAGGTGCCTTTTGAATAATACAGCTCTGCCTGGCAGGTCATACAGCTCTGCTGCCGTTCATATGGCCAGCTGGTGAATGCTTGGGAGGAAAGGTGAGAGGTGCTGCTCGGAGTGATCAACAATGGGTGCTGATGGATGAGAGAGGGAGAGAAAGATGGAGGGGAGAGAACATGGGTTCATTACCTGGCTTTTTCCTCTGGGACAGGGAGATTCCATCAGTGTGTGCTGGAATGCTGGACAGGCCATTTGTAAATGATCAATATATGCAGGTCATATTTAGAAAGGGACATATTTTCATGTATTGGCTCTGTGTTCCAGCAAATAGCAATTACAAATTGGCTGTAAGGTGAAAATTCTGACTTTTACTGTAATTTGATTTTCATTTTTTTTTTTATATATTTCTTCATTGAAGGCAACTCCAAAAAATATTTAAATTGTAACATTTTACATTTTAATATTGCCCACTACACCTTCACCCACTCCTCTATCAGCTCTTATCCCTAACCCCGGTCAGTAATTTACAGTACTACAAGTACTGCAGGAATATAGTTTGATCCAACATGATGAAGCTGAACAGAACTAACACAGGAGTAGGAAGACACACAAATGTCAGTATAATAATTCCAGATGGGGCATCTCTGAAAAAGAGATCATGGGTTGCCGGTGGAAACAGAACATAGCTGAGGATCTTCTTAATCCAAATTTAAATTCTTCAGGTTTCAGGAATAAAAAACACTTTTATAGTCAGGAATTAGATAAAAGAGAGCTGAAGATTTGAAAAGGTTTTCCTCCAGTGCTGCTCCCATGTAACCTACTCCCCCTAAAGAAAATGTGGTGAATGGCAATGGAGGTGAACTAAATGTAAAATTTCTAACTTGACAGTATCCAAACAGAATGAATTACAGAAGTGAAAAGAGTTATTAATATGGGTAAAGCTGTCAAATATACCACTTATAAACAGATAGCTGAGTGTAGAAAAGCCCTGTCTCCATAACGGGGTAAACCCCCTTGTCTTTAAACTAAATTTGTTAAATATTTTGTTGGCATGTATGATGTTGGTCTGCAAACCAAAGGTTAGAGGTATGATGCAGAATTCAGCCTCTAGATGGTACCAACTCTTCTGTGGTTCACTGAACCATAGTGCTGTTTTATGGGGATTATCTTCCCAGTAGAAACATAATAGATTTCGTTTATAAAAAAAAAAAGAAAGAAAAGTCCACGTAGTCCCTTTTCCTCAGCAACAGTCTCACTAAATCATGGTATTAAACTGCCTCAAATAAATGTTAAAACGATGCATTAGAAAATGATTAGTGGAAGTTAAATGTGTTGCTCCTATATATGGATATTATATATTTTGGCAAGATTTTAATGGGTTGTATACTGCAACCTTGACAGGGTCAGGTTTTTTCCAACCCACTTCACATCAGCAGTGTAGGACTCACTCTTCATTTTATATCCTATAGTCCCCAACTTTTAGAGGACCAAATGTGTCTGGATGCCTCTCATGGGTGGACATGTAAGTTATCATCTATGTGGTGAGATGTCTGGTTAGGGTAAATCTGGTTGAAGACTTTATAGACCTCTAGGTTACATATAACCATAACTGCTAACTGAATAGTTCTATTCAACGTACAGGTCTAAAAACTCTTGTCAACCAGATTTTGTGAGGTTTTGATTCAGGCTGCAAGATAATATCAGTACGTCATTGGTATTGGCCGATATCAGCTTTAAGATGAAGTATTAGAATTGGCCAACATGCTTTTCCTTATTTTGCCCAATGAATGAATATTAGACTTTGAAAAGCATTCTCCATCATCCAAGAGTGAATATATTGGTACTGTATCGGTTATGGGCCAAACAAGTTGTTGTATTTGACATATCGGATATCCACAAGAAATCCAATATCATGCATCCCTAGTTTGAAGCAAGACATCTGATGTCACCAATGACAGCAGAAAGACAGCATAGATGAATTAATACATCTGAGGAATACTTCACCCCCCAAATGACCATTTGTATATCACTTACCCCGTGTTACACTGAATTGTTAAGAAAACTTTGTTTTTCTCACATTCTCCCACAATGAACAGAGAATCTTGTCTTGAAATCTTGAAAATTCTTGTCATAGGGGTTCATGTTTAACAGAAAAACATCAAAACATCCACTTACAAACTCTCACAGCTCCTGCAGTATAATCCAAATCTCGTTTATCCCGTCATGTGCTCAGTGCTCCCCAAACACATCTTTTCACTTAAACTTTACTGTAGAAAACACTTACACATTCTGTAGTCTCATGTACGCGCGAGTAGTGTGCCTGCGCCATTTATGTGGAAGTGTTTAAAATAATAAAGTTTTTGTGAAAATGCACGTGTTTGGGAAGCACTGAGCACATGACTGAACAGATACGACTTGGATTATATTACACCAGTTATTTGAGAATTTGTAAAGGGAAGTTTTGACACGGTTTTGTTATTGTTAGATGTGGACCCTTTTACTTCAGTTCATCAAGAATTTCTTTCATTTTTTGGATTCTTTGTTCACCGTGGAGGCACGTCAGAAAAAGCAGAAAAAAAGGAAGTTTTCTTTCCAAACTCAATGTTCCACGGGGTGAGTGACATAAAAATGATCATTTGGCAATAAAGTATTCCTTTAAAACCTTGAGGTCAGTGCTTCATTGCTCAGCAGGACAATTATCCTGAATAGAAAACCGAAGTCACAAAGCCCTTTTTCAGGCCGAACAACAGACGTTTCACCACTTTTCACCTTAGGTCAGTCGTTTGACCTCGATCTAACTGATCACCTTTCTCGCTGCTAAAGACTAGACTTGAGGCTCCCACTAGCTAGAGGTGATGTCATATGCAGTACAGGGCTGGCAGAGGATCATCAGTGAAGTACCAAGTGTCTGCTGAAGTCAGTGAGTCAGAGACTTCTGTCACTGACTGCAAAGAATTTGGAAGCAAATCTTAAGTATGACTTTAAGCTTTATGCTCAAGGAATAGTTCCACCTTTGGAGACATGTTCTGTCAGTGAATGAGATGTAAAGGTTGATCTTAATCTCATCTGCATCTGATCAGTTCTGTGCAACGCAGTAACAATGCATTAATTTAAATACCAAAGTCCCAGGTATCCAGGCACCATTTTATAGCTCATTTAACGTCTTCAGGTTGCAAATGACAATGCCTCATCTTGCAGGGTCATCTTCTAACAGAGCTGCTGCTGTTAGCTGGCCCAGTCTCAGCCAGGTCCTCAGAGAGCTCAGGTTGCAGCGAAGCCACAGTGGCTAGAGGCAATTAGAGGACAAAGCGCCTCATTCTATAATGGATGATCAAAACTCTTGGCTGTGCATGTATGACAACTGATCCCTCTTTTATCCACTTCACCAGAGATGGCCCGGCCGCGGCAGCTCACAAAGACCAAGATTACAGCTGGGCTTTAGGAAGAAAGCAGAAATTGAAAAAGAACACTGAGTTTTGGAATATAATCAGACAGGCCAAAATGATATGTTGGGAATCTAAATGTTATGCTTTTTTTCAGGTTTCAGTGGAGCATACAAAAATTCTGAAACAGCACTCAGACACCGTCAAAGACTTTTTTGCGGTGCAGCAGACATGAATGATGTGGATAACCATCGGGTTACAGACTTCAGTGTGCTGAGAAAATAAAAACAGACACAATCATTCTTGGGAAAAAAAACATGTAATAATTATCCACAAGAAATCTGTAGTGTGAAGTTACAAATAAAAAACAAATTAGGGTTCTTAATCAGTTCACTACAAAAATATATTCTAGGCTGATGCTAAATACCCAGCATTCTGAGACACAGTACCAAAATATTTCCTTGTGCGATCTAAGTAGCAGCCAACCCCAGTTACAACAGGCCCACAGGTACAGACTGAGTCACATACATACTGTATATATTAAAAACATTTCACTACAATAGCTTACAATTACATTCCTAAATTACATTATTCATTGCTGGCATAAAAATGGTTTACATAAAAATAATAAAAAACCAAACCCCTTAGAAAGCTGCTCCCCCCAAAAAGTACAGCACTGTGAGCTCCGCAGTAGTGGAGAAGTACCTATGGCCGGTATGTAAGTATAGAGTGGACGGTAGGGGAGAGGGCTCTGTTAGCAGTATACAGGGGGGCATTATAGTTTGTAATGTTACCACTAATTTAGTAAATGATGACTGAAAAACAAAAAAGTTAAACACCAGTGTGGTTCAACTTACATACATACAACTTTTGCATCTTTTTTTTCTGTGGCATCACTGAAAACATTGATAGTTTATCTGAATAGTATGGAAGCTCATTTGAACCAAAATAAAAGGAGGGAAAATGATGATGTGTAATGATTCACAACAATAAAACCTTTCATGCACAGTCAAAGTTTTAACTTACCAAGGTAGGATTATGAAAAAGTAATGGGTTTTTTTTTGCATCGATATTATGAAAGTTTCAAGGACAAGTTAGGTCAAAAAGGTACAAAAAATGCATGTCAATATTATGGGATACTAAGTAACAGTTATGACTTTACAGTCAAAATGATAACAGTAAGTCAAATGTAGTCAAGTTGTAAGTATGATATTTTCTAAATATGAATATTTAAAAATGACAATGCATGTAAAAATTACAACATGCTAAGTCAAAACAGTGATTCAAAATCATAATTTTACTTAAAGGGATAGGTCAGATTTTTTTTTTTTAAGTAGGGTTGAATGAGGTACTTATCCATAGACAGTGTATTAGATACAGTGGATGTCAGGTGGCACACAACCAGTTAGGAGAAGCAGGCTGGAGGACCGTGCAGAAGCTAAGCAATGTACTGCTGTGGTTGGAGGTCAGCAACAGAACATGTTTTAGTCACCTTAAAAAGTCCCACCTAAAAAAATCAATATCAGTTTAAGTGTACACTAAATTTAGAATATTTTCATTGCTTTACCTTTCTGTCAGACAGGCCTTTCTGACGGGGGAAGCCGTTAAGGCTTCAGTTCCCCATCTATGCTCTTGTCAAAGCCACCAGACTCCATTGACAAAAACAGTAATTTTAGCTCTGTCCACAACAGCCGCTGGTCTAATGCTGCCTTGATCAGTTACTTAATTTGTGTTATTGAGTGACATTGGTGAATCTGAACTAACCATTTTAAATTCCAACGTCAAACAATGAAACAAACAAGTGAACTTATGTAGGCAGTGGTAGACCAGCAGCTTCTGTGTTCAGCAAAATTAAATCAATGTTTTTCTCAATGGAATCTGGTTATAAAGAGAATGATATAATGGCTTCATTTTCCCTTTGAAATCGCTGTATGATGGAAAGGTAAAGCAGTGAAAACACTCTAAATATAGCGTACAGTTAAACTGATATTGATTTTTTCAAGGTGGGACTTAAAATACATTTTGTTGCTGACCCCTCCACAGCAGTACAATGCTTAGCTTCCATGTTAGACTCTAGCCTGCTTCTCCAAACTGGAAGCGTGCCAAGAAACATCTACTGTATGTAATATACTGTCTATGGATAAGTATCCCCTAACAATCCCACCTCAAACAATCTGATCAATCCCTTTAAGTAAAATTATGGCTCTCAAGTAAAAATGATGACACTAGTGAGACTGTCCAGATTCTTGACTTACTGTCTCACTATTTTGATGACAATTATTTGCATAGTATCTCATAATATTGACTTCTCATATAATGTTGATTCACTACAAGTCATTTATTATCATTCCTATCCTATCTGTTATTTCTTTTCCTGGCAGAAATGGGCTTCCATAGTATAAATCTGAAAATTCTTCAAATAAAAAAAAAAAAAAATCAGGCACAAATCACATAAAATGTATCCTGTAAAATATTTTCATCAACATTATCCAAACCATCCCCCACGGTCCTTCCAGCTCTATGTCCATTTGGGGAGAGGAAGGCCAGTGAGATTGCACAGCAGAGAGCGTGGTGATTGGACGAACCATTTCCACTGGCAGAGTCCACATGAAAAGGCTGGTGGCGGTGATAAAGGCTTGCAGAGTGAAGTGGGTATGATTGTAAAGTCAAACAGCTTCAGTAAGCGGCATCTATGGCAGATGTGAGATGCTGGTTTGATGCTGGCATTGATCTTGATGTGATGAATTATGGCATTGGTCACATGTGAGGAATGTGCTTCATGTAGCTTTGGGTTAAATGGTTGTGACCATGCTGTGATCATGTGTGTACAGCATGTGGTCTTTAGGCACAGGTGGTGTCTCTTCCTTCAGCCTCCGTCTGCACCGTGAGTGAGCCTTCAAACAGCATTCTTGTGGTGCTCGTGAAGCACGACTGCCAGGAGCCATTTGGTGTCTCTCCACCAGGGGTCGTTGTGAGCTGAGAGTGGGGAGGTCAGTCACTGAGGCGAGGGGTCGGGGGTCAGTAGTGGTTGTGACAGCCGAGCAGGAGGCGAGTGCTGCTACAGGACTGCAGTACGCTTCATACACATCAACATGTCAGTTCACTCTGTGGAGACACAATGAAAGACACTATGTTGTTTCCAGAGGAGTCAATGGCATATCAGTTTTAATACCACAGGTAGGGGTGTGCCATATCATCTCATTCACGATAATACCGTATAAGTTTTAATATAGTAAGAAAAATTCACATCATGATACTGCTCAGAGGGAACTCATTCAGCGGCTCCTCTGGCAGCAGCACAGCATCTCTCCCTCTCCTCTCTCGTTATTAAACCTTTGGTAATGTAAACCCACATGACGCTCGCAGCTCGACACTATATACACTAAAACACTATATATATGGGAATGTGCTATAGTTATGGTATCATAACAGCCTGTCACAGGTTACAGCGTGATGATTAGAGGAGAAATGGCAGAGCATAAAGGTCCAGGTGGAAAAAAAACCAACTCAATCATTTAGGATTTTGCTAAAAGAGAAGGAAATCACCTGCTGACATAGATCCCAGGGGACATTTTTTGTATTTGGGAGCTGTTTAAATGTGTAATATGTGGTAGATTTTATTTTGTTAAACTATTAATATTTGTTGTGGCAATTTCTAGCCAATCTGCTCGGGAGTCAGCAAGCAAGACTGAATAACTTTGTGCATGAGAGTTTATTCTCTATAGAGAAGGGGCAACCTCAGGCTCAGAGCTCAGAGGCTGTGCCTAGAACAGTGAATACAGGGCATCTTTATACCTACGCTCAGATGACAAGATGATGAGAAATCAATTGTAGCCTTCTTGGGCTTTCCAGATTTAATTATGTTCTCTTGATTATATCATACACCTGATACAACATGTTAGGTAATCGGCTGTATCTGTTAGACAGTCAATGGACTGTCTTTGAAGGCGAGATTATAGTGAATGTAAATCTCTTGATGATGTCAAGTAACAACAGATGTTTACAAAGAGGAAATGCAAAGGTCACACACTTACAAACACATGGGAAGAATGACACAATATAAGCATATGCATGAAGAAGACAAAATTTCCACCACATATTGTAGACAGAATCTGAATCTCACTCTGAGATTGTTTACAAACTTAAGTTATGAGAGATAATTTTTCTTTAGTTTTTACTGAATATTTGAAGTCAACTGTTAGGTTGACATGTCGAACTATATCACTTTTTTAATTGAAATTCTATGTTCGTAAATTAATAATACAATACTAATTTGTCATATTGTCAAACATATCTTTATGGCAAAATACCCTGAAATATTGTGATATTATTTTAGAGCCATATCGCCCACCCCTAAGCGAAGGTAAAAATATGGCACTACCTTTGTCTCACCTCAACTGTCCAGAGATGTCTCTCAAGCTACAGCACTCTTCACATTGTTCTCCATGAATGACCTGTGGCAAACACACAATAGCTTCCATCAACATGACTTTCTCCAGCTTCAGGGGGGCATGTTTACCTCTACAGTTTGAACAACACTTTTTTTTTGTTGTTGCAGTGTTTATGCCGCATTCATGTCATATAGGAACTGAATTATGATTTTCAGACTTCTGAATAATGTTCACATGAAAATCTAAGTCCTCCTTATTATACCTAACATATGACAATTGGTATATCATTTACCCACCCTGTGTAAGAATGAAAAAAACTTTCCTCGCATGCCTCCTCAGTGAACAACAATTTATGAAAAATCCCAAATTAAAACTTATACATAACATAATTTAACATGTTCTAGTGGGAATATGATCCAAAACAGGGTGAAAATTTACAAGATCATCAACCAAGATTACATGTTTCCCTGATGTTAGCTTGCAGCTGCATGTAGTAGTGTGCCTGCATCCGTGGATTGCCTTTATTGGAGAATAGCAGCACTTTCTAAGATGAAAAATCACTAATAAAAGCTTCAAAACACAATCAGACATGTTCCATCAGTGATATCATCTGAAATTGGGCAGAAATTAACAACAAAAAACAACATTACATGTTTCCCTGACTTTAGCACGAAGCTACATGTAGCAGTATAGCTGCAGCTGGGAAACCGCTGTGTATAGCGACATTTTCTCCTGTGCAAACTCATCAATAAAGGGCTCTAAACACAACCAGACATGTTCCAGCAGGAATATGATCCGAAACAACCAAGATTACGTTTCCCTTATGTTAGCATGTAGCTGCATGCAAAAGTGTAGACTACATAATGTAAACACTTGCAGTAGCCTTTCTGAAGCAGATGACCATATAAAGTAATCTGTCACAAGCTGATGTCAGCTTGTAGCCAAAGTAGAAATAAAAGTTGAAAGAAAGTATTCAGAACAGTCTGAAGTCTGATGTTTGTGCTCACAGGGATTACTTTTACATACTTAATCTTATTTTCTGATACTTTGCCATGTTTACTATGAACATCTGATGTTGTAACATTATTATACAGTGGTGGAAAAAAGTTTTCAGACACCCTTAAAATTTTCCACAATCTCAAATATCATGAAATATTTGTGGAAAAATCTTTTTTGTGTTTCAAAAGGTGTGGCTGCATTAGACAGATACAAACAAATACAAATTATATTTTTTTGTTTATTGTTTACAAGAAAAACTAACAAAACTAAATTCTTGACAGTTTCATTATGTCAGTTCTCAACATTGTCGGTATCAAAGTCAACAAATAACAGAGAATGTGTTCAAAACTGAACAAAAAATAAATAAACCATCACATCATCAAATTAATATTTAGTAGTCCTGCCACTGGCACGTAGTAGAGCTCTAATCCTGGCTGGCATGTTCCCCACGAGCCTTTCACACTGTTGAGGGGTAATCTTGTCCCATTCTTCTTGAATTACTGCTTTTAATTCTTCTAAATTCTTTGGTTTATGCTTTGAAACAGACCTTTTGATAATCCACCACAGATTTTCAGTGAGGCTCATGTCTGGGGATTGAGCTGACCACTCTAAGACCTGGATACTGTGCTCCTGCAGCCAACTTCTACTGGCCTTGGATGTGTGGCAAGGGGCATTATCTTGTTGAAACATCCAGTTTTTACCTCGACAGAACAGTGCACGCGCAGAAGGGAGCATGTGGGTTTCGAGAATGGTACAATACTTGGTCGAGTTCAATGTGCCATCACAGACAGTGAGATGACCAACACCAGCAGCACTCATGCATCCCCAAACCATGATACTGCCTCCACCATGCTTGACAGTACTGTACATGCTGGAGATAATGCTTCGCCTGGCCTTCTGCGTACCCTCACATTAGTAGGAGGAAGATAAAGCTGGAAACTGGACTCATCTGACCACAAAATCTTCTTCCAATTCCTGGCTGTCCAGTTCTTGTGTGCCTGGGCCCAACGACGCCGGGCTAACCTCTGTCTCTCATTGATCAGGGGCTTCTTGATAGCCTTGTAGGACCTTAAGCCATGATCTAAAAGTCGGCAACGTACAGTGCGGGTGGACCACTGCTGCTGAAGCTCCTGTGATGTCATTCGGCGGTTTTGCCTGCACATGCGGATCAGGATGCGGTCATTTCTTGCTGAACAAAACCCTTGGACGCCCAGATCTTGGTTTGTCTTCCAAGCTGTTGGTTCGTCTGTATTTCTGCAGAGTGTATCCAACTGCTGAAGGACTGCATCTGCACTTCCTGGCTATCTGGCGGCAGCTGTACCCTTCCTGGCTGAGAATCTTTATCTTCAGGCGTGTTTCCTGCGTTAGGTTCCTTGTTTTAGCCATTTTTGTGTCTGAAGAACTTTCAAATGTGCTGGCTTTATGTAGACACGAAGCTTGGCAACAAAAATTGTGTCTTTTAATAAAAAGAACGACCTTCATCACTGGTACCAAAATGACCCAATACTCAAAATTTCTTATGTATTTTTATGGAACCAATCAATTTTAAGTTTTTAATGGCTTTTTTAGGATTTATTTAGTATTTTGGCTGTGACTGTACTAAAAGAAATTGCACTTGAAGACCTAAGAGTGATTCTTAGTGCAATATTTCACAAATGCATGGAGTGTCCGAAAACTTTTTTCCACCACTGTATAAGACAAGAAACTCGGCTCTACTGCATGTCACTAACTCAGCTTCTCCAGAGCCTTTGTGCTCCACTGTCTCTCAGGTTAACTCGTATTGCAGCGGTGCCTGGATAGTGTGATGTGTGTGGTTGTGCTGCTGCCGTGGTCCTGCCAGATGCTTCCTGCTGCTGCTGCTGCTGCTGCTGCTATCATTAGTCACACTTCTACTGTTATTATACACATGATTATTGTCACATATGTATATTATCATATATTAATACCTACAACATATTGTACCACAATAGCCGTAATTATTATTGTAATATTAAATTAATGTTGTTGTAACCTATTAACATTATCGTCTGTCCTGCATCTCTCTCTCTCTCCGTCTCTCTTTCTGTCTCATTGTGACATACAGATTACTGTTAATTTATTATGCTGATCTGTTCTGTACGACATCTATTGCACGTCTGTCCGTCCTGGAAGAAGGATCCCTCCTCAGTTGCTCTTCCTGAGGTTTCTACCATCATTTTTTTCCCCCGTTAAAGGGTTTTTTGGGGGGAGTTTTTCCTTATCCGCTGTGAGGGTCCTAACGACAGAGGGATGTCGTATACTGTAAAGCCCTCTGAGGCAAATTGCTATTTGTGATATTGGGCTTTATAAATAAAATTGATTGATTGATTGAAATTGATAATAGGTCCCCCTTTAAAATCAAGAGGAAACCATGCTGGTGTCATTTGCTTTAGCAATGACTAAATTAGTGATGGCTGATTACTTACGTCTGGTCTCCTTCTAGTGACTTCTGGATCTCTTGAAGTACTTCTGCAAGACAATAAAACATGACTGTAACTAACCAGTGTTCTCAGCACAACACTCAGTTTATGGCCTGTAGCAGCAGTTCAGTCACATTAGGACACAGCCTACTGGGATCAAAGGGAAGTTAGATGAATCATGCGTTGGGGTGATGTTGGGTAAACACTGCTGTATGATGCTTCAGGTTTCCAACCTGCTGATGAAGGTGTGTCTGATGACAATGGGAGCACAAAGCTGACATACCAGTTAGGAGACGCAGCACATGGTACTATTAAAGCTCAAGTCAGACTTTAAGGGTTCAAATACGGTAACAAGAGGGGCTTCCTGTATCATATTTCTACTACATAGCTCCGTCTCTCGAGTACTCACTCTCGTCATTCAGCAAAGCATGCTCCATAACACGTCTAGCTGCACTTTCTGGAACACACAGGCAGCAGGCAGAGGACACGTCAGTACAGTCAGCCACAAACAAGTGTGTAAAAACAGACAGCACAAGCACAGAGCTTATCAACATCACACAGAACACTACATCTGGACATGTAGTGTTCCCTCAGCCAGTGGCACATGCACGTTTACGTATGATGCTTTTAGCGTTTACAAGTCTCTGACAGACATTTTACCTGCATCCTCACTGTCCTGTCTGGCATTTCTAGAAAGACAAAGAAGATAAAACTCATGAGTAATGAAATAAATAGTGAGGTACAGTCAAATATGGAAACACAGAGTGTGCTGTATATACCTATACGCAGAGGAAGCTCCATCAGCATGTGGCCTGTGTTGGGTGGGTGAATGAAGCGGAACCTCAACCAGACAACGAGGCTCCACCAGTTGGCGTGTGGACAGAGAGAAGCGCTCAAACTCGGATGGAGAGATCAAGTAGAAGCCTGAAGGAGAACAAAAGCACACAGAACAATAATTTCGCTAAAAACAACACAGAGGTTCTAATGTGGACCTATTTTAGGGAACTCTAAAAAAGCTGTAGTAAGAAACAGACATGCACACCAGCAACATTACTGTATCATATGGACCTAAAGGTAAAAACACAATGACAGACTTTTTCTTTTGGAAGAACAACTCTTTGAAAACTAGAAGTTGAGCTCTGACCTTTTGGATGTGAAATGTCATCACTTCATCATTTTATTATATTAGAGATACGTGTGAAATTTTGTTAGAGTATGAATTCTTGAGTTATGGCCAAAAACATGTTTTATGAGGTCACAGTAAGCTAGACTTTTGTCCAACAAATTCAGCTTAGTTCATTCTTGAGTCCAAGCGGACGTTTGTGCCAAATCTTAAAGAAATTCCCTAAAGGTATTGTCAAGATAATGCATTCGCGAGAATGGGATGGACTGACTTGTGGGCACTAAAATAAATTGTGAGTTTACAGAGTAAAGTACGGAAACACAGTGTACAGTATATACATACGTAAGTACAGTAAACACAATTCCTCTGGTCACAGCTATTCCCGACGCAGAGAGATATATAATCTGGTTATTGTTTCAAAAGACTGGATTATAGCAACTAGACTATACAGTTTCATTAAAGACACTGTGACCTCTAGTCTAGCAATATGTGCTAGCACAAAGAGCAGCAATGGTATCAAGACTGTGTGATTTGTCAATCATTAAAATAACCCTTTTCACATCAAAAACATCTTCGGATCACTAGCTTCCAGACAAACTGAGATTTACCTCCAGCTGCTGATAGAAATCTGAGGATAAACACATAAACTGAGAATAATAAAATGTGTATTTAACCAGTTAATTTGAAAGGTCAAATTTGTTGTTAATTATCATCAATGATACCAAATATATTTAATGAAAGCAGGTGAAGATGTATTATTTTATTTAGCAGGACTGGCCATTATTGTCAGTGTGTGTGTGTATTTTTTTGTAAGTAAATGTTAGGCATGTAGTTGTGATGGTAACAGCTGAAAGCTAAAAGATGCATTTTTATCCCTGAGGGGCCACTCAGCTATAGAAGTACAAAAGTGTGTGTCAACGTGTGTTTACCCACCCTGGCCATGTTTGGTGAAGACACAGGAAGCGATGCCGCTGACGTCCTCTCGGCGTATGCAGGGGTAGTGAACCTGCATCTTGACTGTCGGCAGAGACACCACATGGACGTCGCCCTGATTGGTCAGAACCAATAGGCCGCTCTCACCATAGTCCTCCGACCGACTGCTGCCAAACCAGGCCACACCAACCCTCCGCACTCTGGAGCCGTCCATGGCTGTCAGCTTCAGTTTCATCTTAGCGCTCACCTTTGGCAGGGTGAAAACCTGAACACACATGAACATGATCAGCTAAACAACTATCAATGTGCGGTGTGTCCTTTCAGACAGCTGAACACTACTGAATGCCATTGTAGTTTGGGAGCAAGACATTTTTTTCCCAGAAACAAACTGTTTTTACATCTTAATCTTAAATCATCAGAATCTGTGATGTCTTAAATAATTTCTAAATTTAAAGCCTGAATAAATTTAATTCTACCACTGCCAATTCTACTCAATTCTTTTCTATCTTCAGCACATACAGATCTTTACCTCTTGCAGGTTGTCTGGAATAGAAAATGTAAATAAACAACTGTTAGTTGAATGAAAAAAAAAATACGTATGTATCGTGTTGGGTTCTCTAGTGTTAAGCCAATTACAGCCTGCCACTCAAAACCACCATGTTCTTGCTCTTTCAGCCAATCAATGAGTACAGATTTTTAATAATTAAAAAACTGATTTACTCTCAAATGAACCTGATAAAACTCAATAGTGGATTTCAAGATGATATGATACTAGATTCAATAAAGTGCTATTAAACCCACATCTGTAGCAAATGCATCATAATTGAGGTGAGTGAACATTAAGTGAAACTTTAATCTCAAAAACTGATGGACTGCTACATCTATACAGGTTCTGTGTGTCATATGTATAGCTGTTTACAGGTGTTTGTGTTGTGTGTGAAGGCTTCTGACAGTGTGTGATCCTGACCTTAAACTGCTCCTCAGATATGACCAGGAGGTGGTGTGAGCCATGCATGTCAGGTGAGCGAGCCAGGTCGTGGGCCACCTCAAGGGGCTCAGGTAGAGGAGCCCCGTGACCATCCAGCACCACGATACCAACAACAGGAGCCCGGTGCATGAGCTGGATCTCCTTAGCTGGAATAAAGGAGGAAGAGAAAGAGAGGTTACAAGAGGACAGAGATGAGAAAGCATTCTACCCCAAACATCACAACCTATGTTTCTCACCCTGATGTGCAGTGACTGGTTCGTCCGCTCTGTGCTCTACAGGAGGAAGGCGGAGCATGTATGCAAACACACAGCCACCATTGGTCCCTGCCCATAGGGAGGGTGTGTTGTGTGAACCTACATGAACATGAGGAGACATGTTAAAAACCAGAAGTACAATATCAATGTTTACCCTTTACTTACTCATATTCAAAGGCAATAGCAGCCTACAAATCTGTTTTTTTAATGCCAGATATCCAATCCAGTGTTTCCTTTATAAGCATTCTGCAATGGCTGAGTTATTGTGTTTTTAGCTGAGGTTGATTGGCTGTTTTGCACTCAGAGTACTGCAGGAGCGACAATTTTTGTGTGCCAAACCCCAAGTTAGTGTTCGCCTGGTTCCCTCATCAAAAAGCCAATGGGATTTTCCACCTGATTTTGGATTATTGCAGAAAATAAGCTCAGTGTTAAACAAAAGTTTATGATACTTGCATGTTTTATTCAGCAAGATAATCTTCACAGATAAACACCACTTTTATGATTTTTTAAGCATAAATGCAAAGATAAAAAGTAAAAGGCTAACATTAAGCTACATGTATAAACCAGCTACACCACGGTTGTATGACTTCAACGTTTCCACCACCACAAAGCTGTAATGCCGTGTTTGGCATGATGAAGTTCTGTAGTCTCATTTCACCACTTGTTAGCAACCGCTTTTTTAAGACTCATAAAAGCTTCAAAATTCACAAGTGGGGTATTCACTGTCGTATTTTATGTCATAAAACAAATCATAAAAGTCTCTTAAGCTTGTGTTAACTACAGATTGCATTTGTAGGCTTCCAACCCAAAAGCCATTCAAAGCATACATTGACTTTAAGACGAGGGAACCACCAGTGGAAAAAAATGCTTTTTTTTTTTGGTGTTTAAGACTCATTCCTACACCACTCTACTGTTCTCCTTGAAGTGTGCTGGATGTCATATAACGTGACGTTAACCAGTCATGTGGTAACCTAGTAGGAAATTAGACCTTGTGTGCTCCTGGTATTACTTTGTTTAAATGAAACTCAACTCCAGACGTTTGCTCCTGGTGTTCTTCACCACTGTTTTGGAAGAATGAAATAACGAGAGTAACAGGCAAACCAACATTTTTAAATACAGTGTGGTGGTAGGCGGTAGAATGAGTGGCCCATCTGCTGACCCCAAGCAGTCAACCTAGGGTAAACACCGAGTTCAGAAAATGTAAAAATAATCAGTTACATTCAGAGTTCCATGATGTAACTTACTGTCTGAGAGGAAGGTGTCCGCGAAGTAGATTGTCCGCACAAGACCGGTGAATGAGTCATCGGAGGAGCGAGCCTCGATCTTCCTCTGAACGGGAGCCAGCTCCATCTCTGCAAGTTCAGCCTCCAAACGAGCGTTCGCCTCCTGGAGCTGCTCAGAGAGAAGACAGCGATGAAGGTTGGGGCAAAAAAAAAAAAAAAAACAGATTAAGAAGATGACAGGACTGTGGGGGTCTCATCAGTGCCAGTGATGTGCCTCTGATTCCCTCACTACTATTTATTTTGACTCCCACTGAACAGAAGAGCAGAGAGCTATACAGCTACCTTGGCGGCGTTGTTGACGTGGTGTTTCCTCAGCGAGACTCTGCTGCGTCTGATTCTCCTGAAGGACTGTCTGAGGGATTTCTTTATGCTCTTCACCCTGGACAGAGGACCCTCCAATGCCAGCTGATCACTGGGGTTTAGGGTGCATCTACAGTTGGATAAATATTGAGTTAGTACATAAATTAACTGTTGATGTACACATTAACCTGAAATTTCACAAATCAATTTAAAACCTCCTGTCAGAGTAATTATACAACCACTGCTGAAGTGGTAGTGACAGGGGTGTCCTGTAGCTCACTGAGTCTCCATTTTGTTGTGTTTGTTTCGAGCAAAAGGTTGAAAGCTACTTATTTAGGCCACTTTGAACTGATTCTTCTTCATTTATGCTTCTTGTACTTCTCATGACAGCCATGTACTTGAAAATCCCATTAGTGTAGCGGTGCAGAAGAAATATTCCCTGAGCAGGAAAAGAGCCCTGTATCAAGCAAGCCACCGAATGAGAGAGTGAATGCCCCTTTGCAATCAGTCCATCGTCTGTGTATGTGTATGCTGCATTTTCCTTCATATTTCTTCTTCCTAGTTCAAAACGTCATGTGTCACCCTAAAGCACAGAGTCGTTTTTGGCCATTTTTACCCAGGATTGAATTAAAAAAAAATAAATAAAAAAAACCATGGTAAAATAATACCAATATTCATTACCCACAATAATGATGGTATCAACATGCTGGTAACACAAGAGCAAATGTAGCAGGTCTGCCAATGTTCAAATGTCAATCAGGAGTAAACTGAGTAAACTGCAGATATGCATGAGCATCATGATGTCACTTTATAATGCTTTATTAAAGGAACCCCCCAAATGCTCATATGTATATTGATTACTCACCCTGTGACTGTTTTTCTTACATGCCTCCACAGTGAACAAAGAATCAAAAAAAAAAAAAATAAATAAATAAATAAAAATTCTTGATGATATGAAGTCATAGGGGTCTGCGTTTAATATCAGCAAAACTTTATCTGTTTCAAACTCTCACACAACTTTTGCAGTATAATCCAAGTCTCATTTATCCAGTTATATGCTCTGTACTTCCCAAACAGACAGACCTTTAAGACAGGGAACTAAACAGAAAGTGAAACTCTATGCTCTCTTCAAAGCCAGACTCTATTCACAAAACAGTAATTTTAATTTCACCTTCCTTCACCAGAGCAGGTGGTCCACACTGCATCAGTCAATTACTTATTATTTACTATTGTGGGACTTTGGTGTTTTAAAGAGTTAGTCGGGATTTACCAAAGTCTCACAATAACATAAACTAACTAACTGTTCCAAGCAGTGGTAGACCATCGGCTCTTGTGTATGGTTTTTGTCAATGGAGTCTGGCTTTAAAGAGGGTATGAATAAGTTACACTTTCCATTCAGGTACTGACCGAAGCACTGGGCATACAACTGGATAAACGAGGCTTTGATTATACTGCACAAGTTGTGTGAGAACTTTTAAATAGGTGTTTTGTTATGGTTTTGCTATTGTTAAAGACGGACCCCAAAGACTTTAATTTGTACAGAATTTTCTCTGTTTTTGGATTCTTTCTTTGTGATGTTTTCTTCACAAATTCATCGTATCCTGGGGTGAATAATTGATATACAAATGGTCACTTAGGGGAGTTAAGTATTCCTTTAATATCTGCATCACAGCTAATGTGTGGTATATTTTGACATAGTGTTACCTCTCAAGTCCCACTGCATGTGAAAATATGTGTTTATGTGTGCAGTCTTAAGGGGACTGTAACTCGAAGCAGCTTCAAGAGTCTAAGAGCTGAGGAGAAGGCTTGTGACAAAAAGACTGAATCCAAAAACCACCCAAAAAAATGTAGATGAAAAAAAGTGGCTGTGAAAGCATGCATCTACACAACTGCTAAAACATGAAGCTGAGAAATCCTGGAGGATGTAAACTTTCTATGTACAATTACAACTTTAATTTTTTTCTGTGCATCTCCTTACTTGACGAAGACGTTGTTCTTCTGTTGGTAATCGTACAGGCCAAAGCCGTGGCTGGTGCCAAACGCTACCAGCTTCCACTCTGAGTGCAGGGTGAGGGCAGTGACCACAGCAGGAGGCTGGCACTGGACCAGAGCAAAGGGCTGGAAGCCTGGAGGAAACAGCACTGGCTCCTCTCGCATATCCAGCTGAGTGTGACCCTAATTAAGAACAAAACCAACAAAATACTTTAACTCTGTGGTGCTGGCATAGTGTTATTGTCAGGTGATAAATCATATTCAAAAGTAACTAGTTCAAAAGGTGCCTGTTAGGAGAGGGACAATTACAAATACTGGCCTGTGGTATTGCTGCTCATACAGACAACTGCACACTCAACCCATCCTTGGGTCCTGAAAGTTACTTTATATGATGCTTGAGATGTTTGAGTTTGCTACAATGTGACATATCTGGTCTCTTTCTTTATTGCATCTTGATTATGCTGTAGCAAGCGACAGAGAGCAAGCTGTGCTGGGTATTGTTTAAAAAATTACAATACCAGTGCATATACATATACAAAGTGATACTGATCCCAACAGAGTAGTCCATTTGATACCTTTTTCCCCCTACTTCATATGACAGTCATCATATGAATGGAAGAACTAAGTTGTGTAAAATGCCATCAGACGCCACAGACATGTTGTTTAAACATACTTTGAAACCTTTTGTTTCTTGCATCTTGGCACACTGAACTGCCAACTCTGTTAAACACACTGCACTTGACGTCACCACACCACACTGTATGGGTTGAAGCTGGTAGCAGGCCAATCACTCGTCAGTAAAACTAAACAACGTATGCAGTGATGAAACCATACAAATAGTATATTTTTTTTTATAGATTTGGGCACAAAGTAGAATTACTGCCTCACACCCATGTCTGTGAAAACAGAGATGCTTCACACTCACAAGATCTGAACAATCAGCACAGTTTCAAGGTGGACACCCAAAAATAGTGCCACTAATTAAGTATCTGATTAAATGTCTTTCCTTCTGCTCCTGACATATGACATTGAGTAATGGCCACAAAAATTGTTTTATGCCGAATATTATGATGTCACAGTGAAGTTGACCATTAACCTTTTGGATATGAAATGTCATCACTTCATCACTATATCCTATTAGACATTTGTGTGATGTCTTGATATAGTTAGCATAAGAAAACATGTATTGTGAGGTCACAGTGACTTTGACCGACCGAATTGTAATCAGTTTTTTCTTGAGTCCAAGGGGACATTTGTGCCAAATTTGAAGAAATTCCCTCTAGGTATTGTCAAGATATCGTGTTCCTAAGAATGAGAAAGATAAGGGGACATTGGCCTTGACCTTTGAGATACTGCATTCATAAGAATGAGGTGGGTGCAAGGACACACTGACATTGACCTCTGACCACCAAAATTTCATTGTTAAGTACAAGTGAACATTTTTGCCACATTTGAAGAAATTCCTTCAGTGTTCTTGAGATAACGTGTTCACAATTGTGTCTGTCTGAGACAGACAAAGTAACAGTAACCTTGACCTTTGACCACCCTGGCTATTGTCAGCACAAAGGCATAAAAATGATCGAATGCAGGTATTGTTTGCCTGTTTTGACACTACTTGGTACGGGGCCATTTCAGTCAATACCTTAAAGGTATCAAGTACTGATACCCAGCTCTACGCTGTACCTAGCATGCTGTTGGGTGATGTAACAGTAAATATGAGTCGTTGTCAGGAGTTGGCAGAACACTGCACTTCCTGGGGTCCTCAGCAATACAAGCCAAGTGTTCAGTAAATTGGATGAATGGTTGACAAGAGAGCAGACAGACAGACAGACAGACAGACAGACAGACAGACAGACAGGGGCTCCTTCCAGTTTAGTTAGATGATACAAGAGATGTAACAGGAAAGTAATATATTGTAACTAGCACAGAGATATCACAGCTTTCAGAGTGTGATGAGTAAAGAACTGAAATGGTGAAGTCCCAAGTAATGTATTTGTTTTTGCAGTAATCTGTCCAACACTGCTCATTACCTTCCAGCGGAAGCCCTCTTGGCCCTGCAGCAAATCCACAACTTTGGCTTCAACCGTCTGCTCTGCTGCCTCATCATTCAGTTCCAGCACCAGGATCTGACGAGACAAACATGAAACACAGTGGAATACAAGAGAATAAGATGAACACACCCTATTTAAAAACTGATCTCAAGTTTAAGACGGCTGAAGAAAAGGACTCCAACTCTGTTTAACTCTGGTCTTTGCACATTCACCAGTGAACTCTGCATGTCTTTGTGCAGTTTTGTGGAGGGTTAGTGAAGTTGACTGACCTCTCATACTCCAGTAAAATCCTTAACAGAAGTGCACATCATAGAATTTAAATTCCCTCGACACTTCATCAAATGTTATTATTGTCACGCTACATATCTCTTAAATTGTTGTTTCATGGTGGATTTAGACAGTGAGATCTGGCAAAGTGGTGACATGGCTAAAGAGAAAGTTAGGCAGGTCAAGACATAAGTAGTCCGGTGATCAAACAGGTTGTAAGCAGAGCACCAGGTAAGCCAAACCCATTTAAAAGACAAAAAGAAGACAAATGTCAAAACTTTCCTGTCTGTTTTTAAACTGTCTGATGGTGTGTCTGGTGATTCTTCACCAGTCAGACTTTGATGCCGCTCTGTGAGATCCTAGCAATTAACTTGGTGCAAACAGATACAAATGATGGCTAAAACTATGAAAGACAGGCTCATGTTGTAATAATAATAATGACCAGAATTATTCTTTAGAATAAAGTAGAGAAAACATCACTGGATCCCTTGTTTGTTTATACTGTATATGAATGTATCAGTTTTTAAAATATCAAACATGCTTAGTCTTAAGGGGTGCATTCAGTTCACAGCATAATATGTACTTGTTATTTTTTTGTTTCTTATTATTTCCCCTTCATGTGGAGAACCCTTTACAGCCATGAGCAGGACTTCATGCAACATTCTTTAATTTGTTACCATGTTAAAAATTACAGTTAATGTTTAACGGTTATCTCACCTGTCCAGCAGTGCCAGCTACAGTCAGATAACCACTGTATTTACAAAGGTGGATCTTCTGAATGCCGAGCCTTGGGTCATCACTGTAGGGGTCAAAACAGCCGACCTGGACAAAAGAATAAAATAATAGGTAAGCCAGCAATTTACTATACTTTTAAAAAAGTTAGGAAACTTATGTGAGACAGATTTTTTTTTTTAAATCAATAGCTAAAAATTAACAAAGTCAAAGCATCATCATCATCATTTATAAATAAAATTGATTGAATGATTGATTAGGAAATATAGTGACTTTTAGTCCCTAGAATGAGTCAAGCTCCAAAAACGATGGTTCTTACAGTACATTTCCCACGATGCAACTCAACAAAGGCTTCATTAAACCCTCCATGATTGACAAACACCCTCTCCTTATAAACTCAACCTCCAGGTTGTAAGACTTTAAGTTATAAATCAATAGTGACCCTGATGACATCATCAGGGTCATTTTCTCAGACTTGAAAAAGCTTCTCCAATCCTCAGAGGACATCATATGACTGATCTCACAGGCTGAGCAGTGCCACTGTGTAGGCCTGTCACAATTATAACATGATAACCTGATCACGATTATGTGAGGCGACTGTGATCATTCGGTCTAATTACACAATCAAGGGAATTTAAAGCCAATGTTACAAATGTGGCGACAATTAAAAAGTGAATTGGGTGTGTTTCCAACAGCTGGGTGAATAAGGTGTGTACCTGAGCACAGAGTTACAAAGTCAGGAAAAATTATTTATCGCAGTTATTTGTATGACAATTAATTATCAACTAAAATTTTATTTGCTCTTCTATTGTGAAGAATAAACTACTACTAAAATAATATCTTGGCTAATAGGTGATACCAGCTTTTTTCTGTTTCTGTTTTTGCAGACACGCACCTTTCTGAATGGCGGCCACTCTCCTTCAGTGCCTTGGTTCATGTTATCGTTCTGATCAGCGTCTGTGTGGAAGACTCCAGCTGTGCTTAACTTATACATAGGATACAGACAGACTCCTGATGCATCCCAGAAACGCACTGTCCCATCCTCGTGCCTACACACACAAATAAATATGATACTGATAAATGTGTCAAAGAAATGGTGCCAATGGATATTTGCATGGTTGAGAACTGACCCTGTGAGCAGCAGGTCTCTCTGTGGAGGGTCTGGGGCCAGGTTCTGTCCTCCTGTTATTGGCCATGGCTGCATGGAGAGAGGGGAAATGAAAGTTTAACAATAATACCAACATAATGCTTCTGTTCAACCAGAAATGAAGGAATGTGTCCATATTCAGGACACAGCATACCATGTATGATGGAAGCTTTAGAGTCTAAAGAGAGTCACAAGCAGGTTTTGTATCTGGGTTAATGCTACATACAGATGTCTCTCAGCCAGGGTACCATTATACTTCTCTTAGGACCTTTCTTAAGAACAAATTTAGGAAAAGCTTAAGAAAAGATCGGTGAATCGGGCTCAATGTGATTTGATTAGCTAACACTTTAATTATTTTCAGTGACATCTGCCCAAGGTGTACCTTTTTGGAGTAGTGTGTGTTCTGCAGGTCTCCAGCAGCGAGGACCCTCTCCCACAGTTTGAGGGGAATGGCAGAAACATGGTGGGAGCAGGTGATGGCTGAGCTGTGAAGGGGAACCAGGTAAGGTGTCTGAATGACTGGCCAGCCTTCTGTTTGCAGGTCAATCACGACCAGCTCCTCCTCAACCAGGACCACCAGCGCACTGGGATCTCCTGCAAATGGACAGAAAAGAACAATCACAGTATTTATTGTTGTGTAGACACTGACCTGGGATAGGTTGGTGTCTCTTGTCTAGACTTATTTCTACAGTGTTATACAGTGTCAGAGAACATCTGTAAAAGATCTGGGCTTGAAAAAAGCTCTAGTAAAATCATACTAAAAACTAGAATTGCTGCCCTGCTGTTGTATGCCTACACACACCAATCAAGTTTGTCTTACAATTTACATCCATGTCTGTGAAAACATTATAAACATTATGATGTCACAGTTAAGGTGACCTTTGTTTGACCTCTTGGGTAAATGTCATCACTTAATCATTATATCCTATTAGACATTTGTGTGAAGTTTTATCATAATTTGCAAAAGGCCAAAAACATGTTTTGTGAGGTCACATTGACCTTGACCTTTGACCACCAAAATCTAATCAGTTCATGCTTGAGTCCAAGTGGATGTTTGTGTCAAATCTGAAGAGTTCCTTCACAGTGTTCTTGAAATGTCATGTTCACAAGAATGAGACGGACAAGGTAACAGTGGACATTTGTGCCAAAATTTAAGAAATTCCCTCCAGGCATTCCTGATGTATTGTGTTCACAAGAATGGGATGGATGTACATACAGACAACCTGAAAACATATTGCCTTTAAACCACTTTCGTGAAAGCAAAACCAAAAGTGAACACATCCAATGTCTGTTAGGAGCAAAACTGGTTGAATGGTCCATGTGTATCAGAGATGACATATCTTCAGACTGTTTACATCCTTCCCATGTCCACAGTGGAAGTTTATAATGAGTATATTTATATGCAAACTAGAACCTATATTACAGAGAGAAATCAGATTACAGGAGAAAAACACTATTAGTTTACATTAAAGGTGAAATCTTGGGATAGTAGTACCTGCCTGATAGCTAACTGGCTAAACTTAGTCTAATGTGTAAAATTGGCATAGTGATGCTTACGCAGGGCAGATACTGTACGGATTACTGTGGATCAGGAGGAGGATATTTTGAGCAGCCCTGCTGAAACTGAAGTGGACAACAATCAACTGAGCACAAGTGCTAGTGGGTACTAAAGCTGCGCCGATAAGGGTCTCCACTGAACATGATGAGGGACTGGTCATTGTAGTGATGAGACTTGTGTATAAGAGTTAAAATGCCGATATTACTATTACCCCTTTGTACAGCATTGCTGTTGCTGACAACAGTCAACTCTGCAAAATGTTTTGATAAGCAATAAACCTGCCTCCTGCGTGAAGTGTCATAGCTGAATAGGGTGGGCCTATGCTACTCTATTTTGATGTCAGTCATAGTGGTGGTACTAAGAGAGTGTTGAATTTTCAGAGGTGGTCACACATTAAGTTAGCAAAGAAAATAATTAAGCACACATTTGTAGGTGCCTGGCAAGTGAGCTGACTGCGATATGCCGAATAGGGCAGGAGAAACACTGATTTGTATCATGAAACTGCAAATTTGAGCAAGCCCTCAGTGCTTACTGTTAATAGCTGAGTCAGTGTTTTGGACATATTTCAGTCAATACCAAGTATTAAGACTTGATACCCAGTCCAAAAGCTGCATTTATATCAACATAGTGTGTCACACAGTTTCTTTCTAAATTTAAGTAAAAGGACGAATGCATAAAAAACAGTAAAAAAAACCCAGCTGGATCTGACTTCTTTGGAAATAACTTGCTCATGCTCACCTACTAAAATTGTGCAATCTGAATCTAAGCAGTTTAGTCTACAAAACTTTGCCAAACAGCTTCCTTTCCATCACTGTGTGTGGTGTGTGTCTGCTGTACATCAGTTATTTGTGTTGGTGTGTGTTGCCTGCCTGTGTGCTGTGGTCCGTCTCTGATGGCGAAGAAATCGATGATCCTGGAGGTGAAGTCCAGAGCCACGTGTGTTTTACCGTGAATCACCGTGATACAGTGTCTGTCCCCATAGCTGGCTCTGGGCATACCACCACTGAAGAGGAGAAACGGAGGCCTAGGCACACAAACACAAACACACACACACACACACACACACACACACACACACACACACACACACACACACACACACACACACAAAGGTTCAAGTTCAGTTCAGTTTGCACTGAGATTAATGTGTAACAACAGGTCATCTAACACATCTGGGAAATTAAGTTAAACATTAGAACGGTGAGGCCGTTAGAACCACTTTCACTGAGGGAAAAAATGTAACAGATGTCACAAATTAATCAAACTTTATGAATAAAGTGAACTCACCCTTTTTCTGTAGGTAGCTGAACTATTTTAGAAATGGCCTTGCAGGGAAAATGTCCTGCAGTGACAAAAGACGAGTCATTATCAGTCTCCAGAAAAACACATTTCATGCAGGAAAGAAAAATACACAGCAGACATATCTTCATCTTCACCATAGGGGATGTCTGATTTCTCCTCCTCCTCATTCACATCGTCACCATTCACCATCCATCGACAGTAACTTCCATCACTGTGTGAACTGAGAATGTAGGCTCCGTCCTCTGTCCACCACACGCTCTCCAGTTGCTATGGTTACATTGAAAACACGTAAGGCAAATACCAAGGTTAAGTTTGCTGGTTATGACCACAGTTTATCCAGGACTGGTTGGTTATACTGAGTTACAGAGTACTTACCTGTGTGGCGGGGATGTGCTGGATGGCGCGCTGTTTCTCTAGATCCCAGATGACCATGAGACCTCGTCCGTAGCCGATAACTACCTGGTTTGGGTTGACTGGGTTCTCCTGTAAGGCCTCTACATGTTCCAGATTCCTGCGGCCAATGTAGTCGTCTGGGACACTGGAGGAGACAGAAGGAGGATAAACACAGGAGAGAGGAAAGAATGAGTGAGAGAGACACAACAGAAAGACGGGAGACAGAACATCAACCTCATTATTGATCTGTTGGGACTGAGATGCAGTGCACACAGAGCTGCTTTGTTGATGACAGTGATGTATTCTATTGTGTGTGTGTGACAGCAGTTTAGTCTGAACGATCAATACACATTTACGTTGTTTATAGTTAATCCGTTTGAAATACAGGACCTGCTGTGCAGTGCGTTTCCTTGGGAAAAAGAAAAAAAAAACCCCAGAGAATCTGAAAAAGGCAAAGCTACCAAATATTAGTGTAAGCTTGTGCTGTGGTTTTTTTCAAGCTCATGCATTTGTGCTGATCCCTGTCTTGTAAGTCAAACTATTTAAAGTCAGGAAGACACCAAGGTTGGATTAATAAGGGCCCCAGACCCTTACTGGGCTTTGACACCAAACTTTAAGCTCCACACAGATAACAACAACGATCCATCAGTCTGGATCGATGTATAGATTTAGTGATCAACGAGCCAATACCATCAATGCAAACTGAAAACATCAATCCATATCATCATCTTTAGGATACTCCTTTATTTTGAAATTCTGTGTCACCGTCAAACAGCAGCAGACACGGGGCGTCGGTGGCTTAGTGGTAGAGCAGGCGCCCCATGTACAAGGCTGTTGCCGCAGTGGCCCGGGTTCGGCTCCAGCCTGTGGCCCCTTGCTGCATGTCACTCCCTCTCTCTCTCCCCCCTTCACGCTTGTTTGTCCTATACATTAAAGGCCAAAATGCCCCAAAAAATATCTTAAAAAAACAAAACAAACAAACAAAAAAAACAGCAGCAGACAGATTGTGTCAAGCAGCCAAGAAAAGTCGATGAGGATAACATTATTTATTCAGGAATAAATAAGTAGCATTGAAGTATTTTGCATTTTGGAGAAAGTATGGGTCAACCGACAAAATGCTAAAAGCTGTATGTAAACAATACAGCTATAAAATAAAATACTCAGGAAGCACAACGAACCTGGCCAAGCATCTCACTCCACCAACTTGTACCAACACAGCAACATAAGCTGCTCTGTTTCAAATATGACAACACAACTGTTTTGCCTGTGAACCTTGACATTGAAGAATATTAAAACTTAATAAAGTGACATATTAACAGCCTTAGCCTTACAGTGGAAATTAAAACAGATTTAGCCGTGCAGGATATTTGTGCATGCCGTGCAAATGGAATTTTGTCACTGACATAAGTTTTTTTTACTGCCAATTACATCGTGTAGCCTACATAAAGTGTTGAGTTGAATTGTTTTAGTTCCTACTTTCCCTGAAGGCAACATGATAGGGGAAGGTCCCTAGCCTTTTTGTTAAGGTGTCTGTCATGATTCTACCACCCTCTCAGTTGATGCCACGCCCCCATGCTAGATCAGGGCCAAAAGTCTGAAACTGAAAAGAAAAGATCTGAAAGTGAAAAAGAAAGATCTGAAACTGAAAAAAGATTTGAAACTGTAAAAAATAAGATCTGAATCTGAAAAGATAAAACGTGCAACTGAAAGAAATAGGATCTCAAATAGCTAAATATATGAAAGTGAAAAATGAAAATAAAGAATCTATTCAATCATTATTGAATCATAACTATATTTAACCTGAAAAAACTTTTAGTACACTTATTTTTATTTTGAATACATTGCTGTATTTGTCAAAATTCAAGATCAAAACTTGAATTTTGAGTTTCAAATTTTATTTTTTTCAAGTATAAACTTTTGGCCCCAATATAGTTCCACATGATGACCCCTGGAGAGATTTTAGCCAGCACCAAAAGAAAAGAATTGAGAATAAAAAATAGCTATTCAAATCTTCTCAGAATGTGTTTAATAGCTTTTTATCAAACAACTGCTGAACAAGCAGAACGTAAACTTTCATGCAACATCTCTGACTTCCAACAATCAACTCCAATATCAACCTACATTCTACACATGCGGCTGGCTCTGGTTAAGCCAGCTAAGCTGCATTGTTTTAATTGGGCCTGAACACTCTGCTGTGAAGCTAGAGCTAATAGGAGATAAGGCTTCCTGTGATCATAAAATAAAAGCCATTGCATTTCTGGAGAAAAGCTTAAAAATGCTGATTTGTCACCGCAGTGTACTTATTCTGTCATGTCCTGCCTCCTGTACCCCCCCCCAACAGTGTTTCCAATAGGCAAAAATGTGCCTAACACGACAATCTCCTGCTGTGCAACATGTGTGCAAGGGCAAAACACGAGAGATTGTCCAGACATGATTCTTTGGACATTGTAACATTAATGGACACAGATCGTCTTCACTCAGTAAAACCAGTTTTGTTAATTTGGGGTTCATTAACCTCGCCATGATAGACATTTTAGTTGATCAAATGGTCAGACATGAATGGCGTCGGGGCTCCAAAGGCCCCACGTTGTCTGTATGGAATTACTTTGTGGTAATTTAACTGCAACTTTGTTTGGCAAATACAGGCTGTACGACTAGAGCAGAACAAAAACTGGAAAAGTAAGAACCCTGAGGCAGCTCCTCCATTTTTTCCTCATCTTTTTGAGGAGTCAAATTTGATTATATTTAATATTTTGGTTGATATTGTGTTAACATGGAACATTTCACTAAGACATTTCACCAATAGTAAACCAAAATAACATCATTTTTGCTGACCCAGGTGTTTATGTTATTTAACTGTTAATCCTACCCATGATACATGCCAACATATGTGCTGCTTTGCTGATTAGACTGAACAAAACACCTAGCTCTAGTTCATATGAATGTAATTTTGTATATTGTTGACTAGACAAAGATCTGAGTGAGATCCTGGACACACTGATAATGGATGTTATAAATGCTGTTGATCTGTAGAGTGTTATCAGCTAGGGACAGCTGCGCAGAAATCTCAGCTCCCTGATTAGAAAGATCACACTCATTGTCATGATAATGTGAAATCAGTGCTATAAATGATGTTCATGGTGTTGGTGTGCTGTTGTTGCCCACCTGCTGGCCACTTGGTCGAGACTAATGTTTCTCTCTTCCAGCTCTCGGAAACCTGGGACTTCAACTATAAAGACATGTCCTCCTTCTGTCCCCAGCAGCAGCAGCTCCCCTGAGGAGTGAGCCAGCACTGCTGTCACTCTGGTCACACTTGGAGGTGCTCTGAGGAGGAGAAGAGGGAGGTGAGATCAGTTGGAGACATCATGGAGGGTTGCGGTTTGTATAAAGCACAGCTACAGCTAACGATTAGTGTCATTATTTATTAATCAGACAGTTATTTTCCACCATAATCATGTGGTTGATAAAATGTGACAAAATAGTGAAAAAGGCCAGTTTGAATTTCTTGTAGACTGAGGTGGTGTACACATGTTGCTTGATTCATTCAGCCAAATGGCAAAACCTCAGAGATATTCAGTTTACCATTGTAAATGACAACAAAATACATCAAATGCACACATTTGAGAACATGCAATAGAGCTGCACCAAGAAATTGGTGTGCCATTTATGGTCAAAAAATGAATGAAATGATTAACTAATTTTAATCGTCTCACTGCTGAAGCTCTACGATACAGCATGTTTATATAGAATTTATAAAACTGGGTAAGTGAGCAGTGCCTGGATGAATAAGCCTTCTTGACCAAATAATTTCAAGAACTTAGGAGCTCTAGGAAGTAAACCAATTACAAAAAACTCCCATTCCACTCTTAATACTAATACAAGCAACAACCAGTGTTTGCTGCAGTTGATTTGGCCTGAAGGCTTATGTTTGATCATTCAGCTCCACCTTGATAACTTCTGAAGGATGGGAAAGTACCACCTCAGGATCGGGAACTTTTGTGGACCAGAAACTACATCCCAGAAACCAAGACTGGAACTTACATCCTTTGGTTGAAATGTAGATCAAATTCAGAAGCTCTTAAAAAAAAACTACCGGCACTGGAAAGGGGTCAAGAAAGAGGAAAACATGTATTTGTGGGTGTGTGTGTTTGTGTTACCCAGGCGGTCCAGTGAGTGTGAAGCGTCCTATCTCCAGCAGTTCAGAAAGTCCCTTGTGAGCTCTTAAAGTCCACATGTGCAGACTGTTGTCATCCAGCAGAGTCACCAGCTCAACCTAAACACGAGTCACAATCAATCAGTACTGTCCTAAAACCTAAGGCACTGACTGGTGGCTGGCAGGGAATACAATTCTACACTTAAAACACTGTCTCCTTCATGTTAAACAAAGCAGGCTACTTTAAAAAGCAAAATGTGGCTGGGAGTGTGTTACACTGTACATTTTCTTACCTGGTGGGGGAGGAAGTGCACCTGTGTGACGGCAGCATTCTCATCATGGAGACCCATGAACTCCACACCTGGAGCTCCATACCTGACCACTGGTTAAGGACAGACTGGATTTGTGATAGACACAGTGCTATTTATTTAGTCTTGGCTCATTCAAATAGTGACGTTCAATGACGTGAACATTTTCACGGCAACTCAGTTAAAAGTAAAGAAAGGCTGCTGTGAAAACAGAGAGGAAACCTAGGAATACTCAGGCCTGAAGAAAAAAAGAAGGAATGTCTGATGAGGTTTATCCGACCCAAATGTTGCATTTACACTTAACTGAGCTCATAGACAGTATGTGGATATTTATGTTTAAAAGTGAAAGCAGATATGCTGTTTGTTATGCATCTAAACATTTTCAGTCACCTTTTGTTTCCCTGAGCAGCAGTGTTAAAGTAACCTGTCAAGTTTTTGACTGCTGGTAGCAGTATTGAGTATCTCTTTTTGAGCAGGTCCCTGTTTAGCTTGTCTTATATTAGTGCACTATGACACAAGTGCACAGGCATGCACTACAAACTTAGAGAAACTTATGTGCAACTTTTGTTACCATCAGTTCAACTGTACTTTACTATCTATTTGTTAGAAGCCATGTTTTAACCCCCGAGTGGACACATGGCTGTGTAAAAATGGTTCTTTCTTCTCTAACAATTATCATGGAAAGCAAATGCTTTTACTGATTTATCATTTTTCACCTTATTATGAACACATTACTTTTGCCCATATTGGGATTCCAAAGAAATAATTTCACAGTGAGCTGATTGGTCAGTAGTAAGGCTAATAATGCACTGGGTATGTTTACATGCACACCAATGTTCCACTATTATTCTGAATATGACAATATCCTGAATTTGATACGGATCATGTAAACTGCATATATAGTTAGGATTTCTTGAATTGGGCCTTTTTTCCGAATTGAGCATTTTCCAATTAAAACATGTAAGATATGGCGGTATTATTCAGGTTTTAATAGCATTATTTGGACGTATATATGTATGGACACTAAATTCAGAAGACGCATCTCAGCTGGAGTTTTTACTACAGTTTGCGACACATGATCTCTTGTTTGTTTACAGTCAGCTCTGTGAGTTGTCATGGAGACATTGTACATAAACCAACTCACCAACAGTTTGTAAACCCAGTTCAGATCAAAGATTCACTAGCAGATGATTTGAAACAGGCAACTACTTGCAATGTGCTGTTCTGCAATGCTCTAAAACCTGCTGGTTCACATCGATGCAAGTAGATAGACAGTGTAGCATCTATGCAACAACTCTCTGTACTTCTGTTCTGATTTCCAGCTTTTCAGGCTTATTTTGTGTAGCATCTTAAAATATGAATGAGGATAGTGATGGTGAGATACTGGCTACAGCTGCATTTGTAGTAGTGATGAAACGGTGAAAAACAAACAAAAAAGCGAGCATCGGATGGACTGTATTCATAATAAATATGCCAAAATGATATAAATATCAGCGCTTATTAATCATTCAGTGATAATGTGCGTGAGGGAGTATAAGCACATACCCACCGGCGATTTGACCAGCAGAGTTGCAGGTGACACCATCAGCCGTCTTCAGTCAAGCTCAGACCGGCCGCAACTTCTCTCTGAAACTTTCTAAAACGGTTTCGTCTTGTCGCAAATCTTTGGTCTATACTGGGTATAAGGCTTAGTAGAAATGCATGGTCAAAAGCCCACATTTCTGCTCAGGAGAAGAAACATACCTATGTTCAGACATGAAAGGAATGAAAGATGAGGGTTGTATTCATATGGTTGAACAACTCTGCTACGGGCAAGAAAACTGAAAAAAATCCTATATCTATGCAAAGAAGCAAAATGACAAGTAGATTCAGCTGTTCCACTTCTCCGTATTTTGACGTGACAACATCTCGGGGCACTTAATTCAGAAATAAAAAATAACTTAATTCATACAAAGCTGCATGTCAACAGCAATGTTAATGGGATATGCATTTTCATTAGACATGTAAACAGCATAGTAGAAATATTGTCCTTGTCGGAATATGGTTAAAAATGCATGTAAACACAGTCACCCTTTCTATAACAAAATCGCAATTATAAAGGGCAATTTTTAAATCGCAAGAGCCGTGAATTTAGTTATAAAGTATTAACACTTAATGGCATAATTAACAATGCTCAGTAACACAAGTGAAAGTTTGAAAGTGCACAAATTGTGTGAGTTTTTAAATGGATGTTTTGATACAGTTTTGCTATTGTTACACGTGGACCCCTATAACTTCAATTCATCCAGAATTTTCTCTGTTTTTGGATTCCTGGTTCATCATGGAGGCATGCCAGAAAAACTAACGTAACACAGGGTGAGTAACTGATGTACAAATGGTTATCTGGGGGGTGAAGTGTTCCTTTCATCTCTCATGCTGCTCACATGTCAATGAGCAAACCATTGCACCAGCTGAGCTGCTGCTGTGTGTCTGACCCTGACCTCAGTGTGGAGAAACAACATCATCATCCCCATAGAGGAATACCATTATTACATGATATATGTCTGCTATATAAAAAGAACAGAAGCTGCTCTGTACTTTGACTGACAATAATCATTCAAAGATTTTCCCTCATCTGTGCCCTCTTGCATTTTTATCCTGGAACAATCTGCTGCATTGTATGAATGGATTATCCTAATGAGAGAAGGTACCGCAGTTATCAAAACCAGTGTGTGTCTCAGTGTCAATGGGGAGAGTGTACTGACTGGCTCCGCTGCACTCTCAATGAGCATAATTGTGCGAAAGGCGACACAGACTCCACTGTCTGAGAATGCCAGGCGGCGTTGAGCAACAGCGTGGGAAAATGAAGCACCTGAAGCAGGTACCCATGTGAACCGCAGACAAGGATTTAGCAGCGTCACAGCCGCTCATTAGCTCTGCCTGCCTCAAGTTCAAACATGACACTCCGATTCCTCCCTGACAACTATTAACACACAGGTAGGGTGAAGGATACAGTTTGATGGCCCCGGAGCGGGTGCCGATGGCCAGCAGCTGCAGAGAGGGACTGTAGCCCAGAGCACTGGGCTGGTGGGGGAATCCATGCTCCACAGTCTGAAGAGAGAGAGGAGACAGACAGAGGGAGGGTGAGACCGAGCTGTGACAGTAGAGACAATGTCAGGACAGGATGGAGAAAACAGACTGCAGATAACAGCATTTGGACAAGAAGTAAGAAGGACTACAGATAACACAGAAATAAGAATCCTGCTGTCTCAAACCCAGCCTCTGTCACTTCCTGTGTCGTATCTGGGAACTGTAAAGTATCTTGCAGGAGGACTTCTTGTTTAGTTAACTGTTGAATAAGCAATCAGGATAAAAATACTTCATGTAAACAGCTCAGTCAGTCTTTTTTGGAACATCTAAAAGTTCTGGATGTTTAGTATTCCCCAGGGACCAGATGTATAAAAGTCTTTGAACACCAAACACTTGAGTCAGACTTGAGTCACATATTTGATGACTTTAGACTCAACAAAATCAAAAAAAGACCTGCAGCTCAACTTTTACTTCAACACCAGTGACTAATGACTTTAATTGGACTTGAGCCTTTTGGTTGGAAAATATTTAACCCCCAAGCCTAAGGATTATAAAGTATATTTTAAACGGTGCCACAAATCAATTAATTTCCTAAATCATTGAACATTAACACCATTCATTCCCACAAACTTAATTCCTGAGGTGATCTGCTTTGTTTGAACCAATTCAACAGCATCCAGTCCAGTTCCTGAAGAGAACTATAAAGTACCATAAAGCCAATGAAATGCAGCAGCAAGACTGATGAGAAAACATATGTGCATGGGGAAAGAACCTGTGGTTACAGTTTCCTGATTGTCAGGTGGGTCTGCAATGCTGGTCACATAATGTCCCCTTGATGATACAGCTGCACTGTACTTTGAAACGCTTGATTAAATTCAGTGAAGCTGTTTGTTTCATTGCTTTATATCCATGTAAAATATACAAATGTCAAATAGAAGGTAATCTGAACAAGAAAAAGAAAAAAGGTTCTGTTATACTAATCATCCGCTTACAGTGATCAATTTCCAGGACAGACATGATCACCACTGTCCCTGTTAATACAGAGTACGGCAAAGAGGAAGCTCAGTTTCACACTGGCACAGTCCTCTGACAAGACAACATTAATCGTTGTCCACAACACTTACACACAGATATGTGTGCCTGCATTTGGCATCCAAATTATTATTTCATCACATGCATTTTATCAACAGCAGAAATATTGCAGCCATCATCATTAAGGTCAGAGAGGTAATCAATGATTCTGTTAAAGGACCTAAAATCCAGACTTTACAAAATGATTCACAATAAAAGCCCGATTGAAAAAATCAGAACATGTAAAAATATTATGAAAAATATACTGCCCCTAGTGCAGATAAAAGATAATACTCACAAAATAAATCAAAATTAAGTTTCTAAATCGATTTTTGACAAATTAGTTGTGCAAACTACAAAAAATTAGCTCATCAACACGGACAGCTGCTGAAAGCTAACATGGTGACAGACTAACTGCACATGTTAACAGACTGGGGGTGCTTATCATTATGCTAATGTGTCTCCTCACTTCCCCTCTTGTCTTCCCTGAGTCCTAGCTCCTCCCTGCAAAGATGTGAGGGAACACTGCTATGAAGAGACCATGAACAGATATACTCAGAACCATTCATTGTCTCTTCAGAGTTTTAGTACCCTAGCTTATGAATTTGGGAGAGAGCTGTTCATGTTTACTAATATTTTTGGACTCAGAGCTTTAATGGGAAGATCCTCCATGATGGCAGAGGGGGAACGATTTTCAGGTCACGGGAGGACAGAGAATGTGAGGAAGCATAAGTTAGTATGATGAAAAAGCAGCCAGAAGCTGCGCCAACGAGCGAGCGAGCGGAGTAGTGTGTCGAACATAAGGCAGCAGATATTACTGATGTTGCAAATAATGTCACAATCCAAGCTGCAGAAAGTTTCTGCTGGTAACGTTCTGCCATAGTGGGCCACCACAGCCAAAAAATACCAAAAAAGGAAAACAACAGTGTTTATAGTATGACTATGAGCAAATATTGTAAGTATGAGAACTGCAAGGAAGGAAGGAGAAGGTGCGACAGCGCCTAGACGTGGGCAAGTGATACTAAAAATACTGGTGTATGTCTGAGAAATCATGTATGAATGATTGTGTGTATGCATCATTTCTACATCTGGCCCCTGGATTTAAATGCTGTGTGCAACTCGCCTTCTTTTGTTTAAAATCAGCAGTAATAGTTTCTGTTTCTACAGTTAACAAGTAATAGTGCTTAACACTCCAAGAAGCTCCATCTTTGTTAGAAGTCTGCAGCACCCTCTCTTTTTGACTTGTGACTGTTGAGCTTATAAACAGGATACACTGAATGCTGTATATTTAGCATGTTTGTTCTTATTTAGATACTTTCCTGTGAATCATCATTCAAACGATTTTGACTCAGAAAAGAGGATATTAGCTCATGTAACCACAGTCTTTTCCATACTTTGACCTATTAAATAAACCAATGTATAGGTGTAAACACTAAATGACACAACAGTAGCTAATGAACCCTTTTTTAACACCAGCTGACATTTGGCAAATCCTGCTTAGACCCTGTTAAAACTGTGCACCTTTCTGCAGTGCAGAGAGCTCAGGGGTATACAAACATCAGGAAGCAGGTTTGTTTTGCTTAAGTGCACTTTTGATGTGTCCTGTACTGTGTGTTGTGTCAGGGTTCACTTGCCTTGTTGAACTGGAAGAGTTCCTGTTTGAGTCGGTCTCTCTGGGACTCATGGCCGTGTCTCCTGAACCTCTTCATACTGTCTCAGCACTGGCGTGGAGCCTGCGGGCCCACTGACACACGCTGTAGGGAGCAGAGACGCAGGACATGAAGAAAGAAGAGAGGAGAGAAGGACAGAGTGTTAAACTATGAAGTAGGATTTGGATTTAATGAGATAACTTCGGGGTTACCTCTGAGTTTTCAGTACTATGAAGCTGGTTCACTTTTTACTGGGATAAATCACTGTGGTAACTTACGCTAAACAGCTAAACTTCAGATCACCAAAGAAAGGAGTATCCATGAACAAAAGTCCACTGACAGGTAAAAAAGAGTAGCCTATATAATTTAATAGGTCAGTAGTCATTTCACTTTTCCAGGGCTTTATTTCCACTGTGTTTAAAACAGAGCTTCTAACAAATGGAGAGATCCTTTACAACACTGAACTCGTGATTTTAGCAGTATTATAACTTCATTCATTCATTTTCTGTAACCACTTAACCTATCAGGGGTCACTGAAAGGTTGACAGACAATGACAGGGCTGACAAATAGAGACAGACAACCATTTACAATCACGTCCACACCTACGGCCCATTTAGAGTCACCAGTTAACCTGCATGTCTTTGGATTGGGAGGAAACCTGAGTGCCTGCAGAAAAGCCACGTGGGCACGGGGAGAGCACGTAAACTCTGCACAGAAGGGCTTGGTCTTGGTCTACGTTTAACAGTTGGAAGTAATTTTGCTGTGTTTCTGCATCTTCTGTTATAAGTTAATCGGTTATCATTTACATTTCACACTGATTTTTCACTTTTCACTGTCCCTTAGATAAACAGTCCTGCACAAACTAGCCTACTTCATTCATGGCTCTGATGATGTCACCCATAATTATCACCCCTGCCTCTTTCACATGAACGCGCTCGTGGCTGGATAGGAAAACCCAGAGTTGACTGAACTAGTTGATAACCAACTTCGTGATACCGGTTATCCAGACAGCCAATGTTAGGGTTAGTTGAGCCAGATAATTAAAAAGATTTCCAGTGTAAGCTGAACTGGCTTTGTAGTACAGGCCTCAGTTTAGTGTTTACATTTTGGTCTCAGTGCGGACTGTGGATGTTTAACGAAGTGTTTGTAAGATGGTTGTGAGTTCGCGTGTGTCTTAGTTAAGACATCCTCAATTAATTTTTCCTTTTACCTGACAGATTAAGTGTTGTCCTATTTGGCTCCAAGTTAAATCTTAGGACATGAAGTACTTAAACAATATGAGGGAGGGGAAGCAGAAGAGCAAGAAAGAAAACAAAATCAACTAATTTCTTGAGGACTATTTAGGCCCCTTTCAGACACACATTTCATTACATAAATCTTACTAGATAGACCTGTAACACTTCTGTAACACTTCCAACACAGAGAAAGTCTAAATTGAACTGGGCACACATTTATAGACAGGGGTGTCCCCAGAGTCAGTGGAAAGTGGGACCACAGCCTAGAATCTATGGAGCCTCAGTCTCAGGTAGCTGCCTGTGTGTTTTCTCTAAAGGCCCAGCTACACCAAACCGACTTCAGAGAACCAGCAGTGACAAAGGCCCCCTGCAGCATCTCCTCACATCGCCCTGTCTCGGCCAAAAAGTTAAACATAACACACCAAACCAATGGCCAACAAGCATGTATGTTCTGCACCTGCATGAGAGGACATACCCCTCCATACCAGCATCTGAACATCTGAAATTGTTATACAAAAAGGGAAACCTGAAGACCATCTTGTCGCTAGTTAGGCAGTTAGCACGATAACAACACAATCCAATGTTGACAGAACAAAGCATATTTATCATGCACCAGTGAACTGTAACACAAACCATGAGGGAACATTTTTGCTAAAGTGCTCAATGGCTAAAGAAAAATAATTTTGTTGTTTTGGTCTCACTCCCTCTTGTCTTTTGCTCTTTGTTTACTTTCTCACTTCCAAATCTCTTCTCGTGCACTGAGCTGAACTGCCAATTCACTGATGGGCACCTCAGTGAATTGGCCAAATTAAAAAAAAAAAAAAAAAGTAACAGACCTCAGGCAGAGTGGGCACCACTACTTCCCCCTCCATCAATGTCAACACTGGAGCTCCCCAAGGCTGTGTTCTGAGTTGCTTCTTATACACATTCTACACCAATTACTGTATTAGCCCATCCCCAATCACAAAATACTTTAAATACTCTGATGACCCAGCCATACTCGCCCTCTTCACAGACAGGGACTCAGACACAGCGCCTACTCAGTTAGCTCATATTTGACACCCAGCATTGCAATACACCCACCACCCCGGCATCACTCTGGATAATAGACTGAGCTTCGATCATCACACCGCAGATATCCATAAACGCCGCCAACAAAGAGTCCACCATCTGCAAACTAAGGGCTCTTTTAGTCAAGCCCCACCTCCTGCTCCTTCTGTATCGAAGCATCATTGATCCCATCTTCATGTACTGCACCACCTGCTATTTTCCCATGCTCACCCTCACCATTAGAAACAAGCTCTTAAAAATCACCACTATTTCTTCTAAAATAACTGGCCTCCCCATCCCTAACCTGCTGGCCCACTGACACTGCTACCACTAGCAGAGCACTGATCAAAGCACACAACCCCAACCACCCCCTCAACCCACGCTCCATCCTCCTCCCCTTCGGCCGCAGATACAGACAACCACTCTGCAAGACGTCCTGCTTTGGGAAGAGTTTTGTGCACTCCGCCACTACTTTTTTAAATAGCCTGGGTACATTATAACAGACTTGTGCTGCGTTTATTGTGTGTTCTTCTGTGTATATCCCATGTGTTACCTGTTCTGAGAGTTCATTTGTACTGACTGTGAAAGCAAATTTCCTTCAAAAAGAACAGTACAATATGAATCTCAATCTAAACCATCAACCCCATAATAATACATTTCTGGGAATTGGAGGCTATGGCTTTGCCAAAACCAATCAGATGAAACGTGATGGAAGCAGCCTCCCCCAATTGCTTTACTTTTCATACACACCGCAGTGGAGTTGAGAAGATGGATCTTTTAGTATTTAATGTTAGATGGTGGTACTTCTAATCCAATTAAGACAGTTTTAATTTGTGCAGACAATGGAATAACAGATAGCTTCTTACAACTGGCAATTGACATCAAACATAATGGAACTGTACATACGCATTCCTGTATGCTACTTGCTGCAAATAAAACTGTTTATTCACAATAAGAAATCTGATATCATGTTACAGCCAAGGTCTAGTTTGTAGGATTTAATGGTACAGTGGCATGAAAAAGTTTGGGCAAAATTTTATTTTATGTAAATAGTTAAGTGTGTTGCCAAAAAAGGCATGGAGTTAAAGATGAAACATGCTTTTTAACATTTTAAGCAAAATTAGTGTATTATTTTTGTTTTGTACAACTTTAGACTGAAAAAAGGAAAGGAGCACCACGCAAAAGTTTGGGACCCAAGATATTTAAGCTCTTAGACAACTTTTAGAACTTGGAACTTAGAAAACTAAAATAACTGATGCCCACAAAGCAGCAGAAGGCTATACAAGCGTACCAAAGTGTTTTCAGGTAGCTGTTTCCTTGGTTCGTAATGTAATCAAGAAATGGCAGTTAACAGGAACTGTGGGGGTCAAGCTGAGGTCTGGAAGAGCAAGAAAACCTTTATTTAGAAAGCTGCTAGTAAGACTGTTAGAAAGGAAAACCAAAACCCCCGTTTGACTGCAAAAGACCTGCAAGAAGAGTTAGCGGACTTTGGAGTGGTGGTGCACTGTTCTACTGTACAGTGACACCTGTACAAAAATATCTGTCATGGAAGTCATCTGAAGAAAACCTTTTCTGTGTCTTCACCACAAAATTCAGTGTTAAAAGTTATGTACATGTACATATAAAAGTCTCATTCTAAGAAAACACAACTCTTGTTTTCAGGTGGTTATACACTAATGTTTACATAGTTATGAATATTATTTCCACTTCTGCCAAAAGATGCCCCCAAATACTGCACACTGGGGAATTTAGAGGCAATACACAACAACATACATGCCTTGCTCACTCATACCGCAGCGGTGCCTGGACAGTGTGACGTGTGTGGTTGTGCTGCTGCCGTGGTCCTGCCAGATGCCTCCTGCTGCTGCTGCCATCATTAGTCATTAGTCATACTTCTACTGTTATTATACACATATGACTATTGTCACACAAGTATACTGTCAGATATTAATACATACTTTCAACATATTGTACCACAGTAGCCAGAACTATAACTATAATATTATTACTTTCATTAATGTTGTTGTAAGCTACTGTCATTACCTGCATCTCTCTCTCTCTCTCTCTCTGTCTCATTGTGTCATATGGATTACTGTTAATTTATTATGCTGATCTGTTCTGTACGACATCTATTGCACGTCTGTCCGTCCTGGAAGAGGGATCCCTCCTCAGTTGCTCTTCCTGAGGTTTCTACCGTTTTTTTTTCCCCGTTAAAGGGGTTTTTTTTGGGGAGTTTTTCCTTATCCGCTGTGAGGGTCTTAAGGACAGAGGGATGTCGTATGCTGTAAAGCCCTGTGAGGCAAATTGTGATTTGTGATATTGGGCTTTATAAATAAAATTGAATTGAATTGAATTGAATTGCATGGTATTACCGTCAGCGGCCAGAATACTATGTTTGCTAAAATATTAGCTAAGTCACCATCTCGTTTTGTCAACTTAACAAAACAGAGCGTAGCCTTGGCTGTTTTGTTAAAGTTGTCCCCACAAACATACACAGACTGAGTGAGGTAAGTGAAGCCAAAGTCATTCTACCTACAGTATCATCTCTGGCAGAGCTAACACATTCGCAGTAACGGTAGTGCACATTAGAAAAGCTACAGGATAGACTTGTGACTGCCTCCCATGCAACCCCAACCAAAGACTGAACACTCTTTGTGGCGTCCCAGCCTGACCTCTCAGATAGCTTTGTGAATGATCTGATTGGTTTAGTGTTATCACAGTGGTAGTTTCAGGAAAAGTCTCAGCACTGAAGTGTATTTGTGTGTGGCAGCATATGAGTTCACTCATTCTAAATGCAACTTTCCAAAGCAAATATATAA